CACTTTAAAGCACCTCGAAACCAAGTCATAATAACAATAATATATTATACACAATATCAGTCGAAAACAAATCTCACTGGCTTTTCTTGAAATTATTGATAAACTTATTAATTTATTCCACATATAAATAGTTCGTTCGCTTATCCAATAAAAGAATTTATATTATCTAATTAGCGAAAAAGCACTTTGGATAGAAGCAACTAACACAAGTCATCTGGCAAAAGGTATTTATGCGACGTAATGTTTTATATTCATGAGTTACTCGGGACGTCGATGTCGTGATTCTACATTCCATTTGTTTGCTTGCTTGCTTCTAAGAATATTACGATCAAGACCGCATTTTGCAAATCCCGTTATCCTTATGTTACACACAAAATTAATTCAAAAACGAGCTTATTTGAGAAAATATAAAGCACTAAAACGTACTTCTGTAAACGAAAATGTCAATATTATAAAAATAACACGTATCAAAAAAACATACATAAGACGAACATAGAAACTACTTTTTTTTGGAAGTCGACTAAAAATAGATATTAAAACTATCTTTTCGGATTATTTCGCAGATTTATTTTGATTTTTAGTTCCCGACGTTTCGAATGCTTTACAGCAATCATGATCACTAACGGAAGAGACTAAGGTTATAGACATCTCAAACACATATACTTGTTACAGACAGTGCCTACCCACTATTTTACATAAATGATTCCAAAAATTATTTTAATTATTATTTAAATTAAATTTATTTAAATCCGCGAAATAATCCGAAAAGATAGTTTTATTTAAAATGTCAAATATTCGCGTAAATCTAAGAAATTATTAATAGATATTAATTTGGATATTCAAATCTAATATATAAATTTAGTAGTAGACACTAGACAATAGTCTATTTATGTTATATGCTTTACTGAAAAAATGCGACCTTATAATATACTAGCATTGCCCGCGGCTCCGTCCACGTTCAGATGACCAAAAACCAAGTTCTTAGGTTTCATCAAAATCCCGTCAGTGGTTTTTCCGTGATGCGGTAACAGACAGACAAAAATTCTAAAAACTATAGATTCGGCCTCTCTATCGATAATAATGCCTATTTCAATAAGATTTTCCAAAAAATATTTAATGTACAGATTCGGCTTAGTTACAATTTTATTATATGTATAGATTAGGTACTAGTTTTTGATCTCATCTTCGTTTACACGATTAATTGGTTAACGCCATGTGTCAGTCATATATACATACATATGTATGTATAATAAAATTCTAAGTCGAATCTCTACAATATATGTTTTTGGAAAATCTTATTGAAATAGTCATTATTATTGATACAGAGGCCGAATCTATAGTTTTTAGAATTTTTGTCTGTCTGTTTGTGACCGCATCACGAGAAAATCACTGAACAGATTTTTATGAAATTTGGTATGATGATAGCTGGTTAGCCTTGTCAATATATAGGATAATTTTTACTGCGGAAAAATATCTCATCTCAGAGAAGTCTACACTAAACGTTAAAACGTAACTAGGGACTAACCCGAGCGAAGCGAGAGTAAGTCACTACTTGATATATAAAAAAAAATATCGATGGTGGTAATCAAAGACACATATTTGTAACCTTTGTCTCTATTTCAAGTTTCACTCAAATCTCTTAAGCCGTTATAATATGAAAATGTGACAACTGTACACTCTCACTATTATACTTTGGCAATCATTACATTGCCCGCGGCTCGCCCGCGTTCAGATGACCAAAAACGAAATTCTTAGGTTTTACATATTAGTATATTCTTATAATGCAGTTTTTATATTTTTTCTCAGAAATGAGACATTTTCCCGCGCTAAAAAGCGATCACCATATCAAATTTCATCAAAATCCCTCCTGTGGTTTTTTTGTGATGCGGTAACAGACAGACAGACAAAAATTCTGAAAACCATAGATTCGGCCTCTGTATTGATAATAATGTTTACTTCAATTACATTTTCCAAAAAATATCTAATATACAGATTCGGCTTAGTTACAGTTTTATTATATGTATATATTATCTAAATATAAATAGAAAAATGACAAGACAAATCATCAGCGCTCTCTGGTTCAGTTGGCAGATTAGTCAACCGTTACATAAAAAAAATGTTTTAACATTAAATAATACTAATTACATTTTTTATAACTTTACTTAAAAGCAAGCTTGGAAAACAATAAATTGCGTTTTCAGATTCTCCATTACATCGCTCCAGCCAAGTATTGCCATTGGAATTAATGCGCCGCTTGCCTTAACATCCAATCTTTTTGTTCCCCTCCCCCTTTCTACTAATGCCAATAATGGCCTTACTGTATCCAATTCGAGCTAAATGGACGATGTTTGGCGATACATCTTTTACGTTTATTTTAACTGTTACTTACTATCGATCGGTTTCAACTTTCAACTAATCAACATTTTAATTGTGCCTGAAGTTTCTATAATAATTACTTAACATTTGTGTATTAATCAATATGCTTACTTCATACTTAGGCGATTGTAATGTCAATTTGTTTTTTATTTAGGTAACTACTATCGTAAAAATTTAATTAACATTCGTCATTGCCCTAATTCCTGAGTTTGAAGAGGTATACTTTTATTATTACGTAGGTATATATGTATGTAATATTAATGAGGTGTCTGCGTGAGACTGCGTGGTAATAATAAGTAGCCGGTACTACCCCTCGACACCCGACCCCCACCCCTCCGACCGCACGCGCCGCGTCACCACACAAAAGCCATCTTAACTTAAACCGGTCCTCGATATCGCCAACTTTTAATTTAACATAATGAATGAAATATGAATGTGACCTAGATCGTACCTGTACCAAAGTCGTACTGAGATAGCTATGTAATAAGTTAAAACTTGGAGTTTCTTTATACACAGTAGTATATAATAATACGTTCTATATTGAATAATATACTTAAAACAAATGTGAACGATATTAGAATGGGCCCTGCCCCGACCCGGGCAAGCTTTTATCATATAAGATACCTACAACATAATACGTATACACGCATTTAATGTGACGTATACATTATACATATAATACAACATAGAATCTAGTTTACCAGTATCATACGAAACAATTTTTGCAACAGAAATTCTTTAAAATATAAACTCGAATTTGTAAATCTTTCATATATGTAAGATTTATCAACTCTTTCTGTAATAAAGACTTTTTTTTATTTCAACTAATAACTACAATTATACAAATGAATCGAGTCGGCAGACATGTTGTGATACGAGTACGCGTGTCGTAATGGCGGCAGATCGGCGTATAAAAATTATAAGCTGGCGTGAGCACGTTTTGGTCCAAGAGGTAGCGTCACAAACGTCGTACCGTTTATTTTTTAACGAAAACTATTCCATTTCGTCACTACTATGTAAGCGTTAGTTACTCTTAGATTAGTAGAAATTAGAATGTTCCATCATCTTTCCCAATCCCTAAGAAGACAATCTTATCTCGTCATTTGATCGTTATTTTTATCATTATATCATAAAATACTTTTAGCGAAATGTAAAAGATTCATTGACTTTCTATCATGTTTTTATAAAACATCCGAATAAGAACCAGTACTCAGTAAATTTTTTGTTATTGTTATCATTTATATATTATTAAAGTAAATTAAAATATTTTTGAGTTTCTGTTCTTTTCTATTTCTATTCTACATAATTTTTTTTTTTCTTACAACCAAGCTACTTGGCTGCTGATGCTTCTCTCGATTGTAATCAATACTGCATATGAATAATATTAAGCAAAGTAAAATCATTAATTACATTGTAATTGAAGAGGCGTGAAATCATCATTTAAAAATAAAACGGTATCTCCCGGACCATTTCGCAACGCACCTGGCCGACCGCGCCGGCGTCGACGTCTGCTGAGGTGCTGTGCCAATACTTACACTTATAGGCAAACGTCTCGTAATCAAATAATTTTTAAAATTCTCTCAATCTCATTCGAACCGTATTCCAATTAAATTAATTATATCATATTTAGATCAATAAAAGGTTTCCTTCTAGGGGTCAGTTACGTGTTCATAGTATCAACACCATGCTATATCCGCATTTGAGTAAATCTATTTTGTACCGCTTACGTTACTATGTTGGTACGTTTCCATTAATGGTAAACATGATTCATGGAGTTAGTACCTCTATCTGGAGTGCTTCAAAGTAGATCACTTTTATGTTGTAATCCTAACAATTAAATTATTATGCCAACAGATTTCATTCGAGATTCTATCAATAGCATATTGATAACTATTTTTCTAAGGAATTTTTATTAGATTTATTTACTAAAAAGAAAGATAAGTTCATGAATTATATAAATTATTAACTCATTAATATTACTCAACAATATTACTCAATCAAAACTATTTAATATCTTAAAAACAATATTACTCAATCAATAATTGCACTAATGTAAGATCACAGCTAATTCGACTTTTACCAAACCCTCTTACCTGTTCACACTTCAATTTTGCAAATTTTAATACAAAGGAAAGCCAGCGGCACGCATTTGTGTTCTTGGCTGGCTGCTTAGTAGCAAAATACTTCCAAGCTTTGGAAGGAACTTTATTTATTCTTTATAATTCTTAGTCCGAGTTTGAATCCCGGTTGATAGTACTTAAACAGTATCAAATACTGTTATAAATTAAATTATTACGAATCCAAAATCTGATTTTTTTTCTATACCAAAAATAGTGTTTCTTAAAGAGATTATGGAAAACAAAGTTAATTTTGCCACCTTATATAACTTTAGTCATATATACTTTTTTATCTTATATTTCATTATTTGACTTCAGCATTGTCTAGCCGTTGCTACTTGCTTCTGAATAAAATGACTGACAGACAGACAACACAATCATTGGTATCTAGAAGATATAAACATAAATCATTTATTTTTAAATAATTAGAAGTTATAAATGATATTTAAAAGAATTATTCAACTTTTTTAGTATTTTAAATAACCGTTTCATTGTTATCCGTTTTAGTGGCGATGGAGGAAGAATCTACGGATCTCCCAGGTACAGACGGGCTCGCGCCGAAGCAGCGGCACCAAGCGAAACACCGTGAACTATTTCTATCACGGCACGTGGAGACGCTGCCCGCCACACACATACGCGGCAAATGTACCGTCACACTCCTCAACGAGACAGAGTCGCTGCTCAGCTATCTCAATAAGGATGTGAGTATGTACCGCACAAGGGACAACACACGACATTGGTTTTTATATGATAGGTTTTTTTTATTTTTATTTTACTATTGTTTTTTTCTTCGTCTTTTTAAAATTTTTATCGCTTAATTAATCTACGAAATTTTAATTTTAAGGCTTTTAATTGTTATTATACCTACGTAATTAATATATTATGTATATTGTATATTCTTGCAATAATGTAATTTTTAGCCTTGAAGTATGTATGGGAATCATTTCAAAGATATTGTTAAAAACATTATGAACAAATTAACAATATATAAGTAAATGTTACTTAAAACTATTGTAATATAATTTGTTAGTTTTATAAATATAAAATATTATGACAAACCTTGCGGCACTGTCACAAGTTTTGCATTGTTTACTGCGCGGGTTCAATTTCTACATGGGTTTATTCTAAACCATGAATATATTATGCTTATACCATGACTAAAAGCCACTGCCCTATTAGATGCCCCCATACAGGCGGAAAGTGGATTATGAAGTGCGATTTCTTCAGGTTCTTTTTGTCCACCATGTTTAGGGAAAAGGAGGGTTGTTATACAAAGATATCTATGTACATATTACAAGTGCTTATAGTAAATTTGAAGGCAGTGGCAGCCCAGTGGTAACGCTTCACTTGGTTACCCGAGCGAGCGCTCGGGTAACCGAGTGAAGCGGGTTCAAATCCCATTCCCGGTTCACACCTCGCACCTCTGATATTTTCATGTGCGAATCTTTTTCAACATGATTATCACTTGTCTAACGGTGAAGGCAAAAATCGCGAGGAAACCTGCATGTCTGAGATAACCTAACACGATTTCGAAAGACATTTGAAGTCCGCCAACCCGCACTTGGCCAGCGTGGTGGACTATGGCCTGATCCCCCTTGTATTGAAGGGAGGCCCGTGCCCATGAAAAAGTCAAAAAGGGCGGAATTCATAGTAAATATGATATTAGACAATATTTTAATAGATAGAATTACATACATATATTTAGGTTCACCTACGTCCGGTACGGATCGTAACTCCAATAATATTCCATCTACGCTAACTAATAAGGAAATGAGCATGCACTTGCCGACTATCTCGTATCGCTGTCCGAGCTTCCTGTTTGCTTTATTACGAGCGCCATATAAAGATTGATATTAAATTTAATCATAATATTACAATCGAACATTTTGGACCACGTTGAACATAAAAAGGATTGGAAACCTCGTTTGTGAATGCCAACTTATTAACAATGTTGATATAACCATACTCTTTAACTAATTTAAAAAATCTAACTAAGTAACTAATATAATTATTACATTAATATAATTTTGTTTATTAATTTTATTTTAACGATCTTTATATAAGGATACTAATTTAAACATGCAAACTTCCGTCTTGTAATTGCAAAACGCGAAATATTTTCGTTTTTTTTTTCACACGTTTATGTAATAAAATTGCTTGACCTGGCTGATTCATCAATGGTCATGCTTAGAGCTAAAATTTTGACATTCTATTTTATATCGTTATAATATATTTTTAAAAAGGTTATTTATGAAATTCTACTTCTAAAGGAGTGGTAAAGTTCGTATGGTAAAAGATATTTTTCTGATATAAATTAAAAATCAGCCCGGCAAAGCCATTACACGTATCAGGCCGTTATAAAGTTATAATATAATCGCTAACTTAGTTATGTGAAAAGTTGAAATAGTGAGTACTTTAAAAACGATTTTTTTATGCACACAGCATTAAATAACTGTTTACTGTGGGAGAAATCATGTATTGTTTCACTTTTCAACTACTCTTACATACCTACTAAACTTAAAGTAAATTTACAAAAAATTATATAATTTTTGTTTGCTTATTGTTTCAGATATATTTTTAATTAAATTGATCGACATCATGTTTTAATACACGCAATCTCTTTGTTTCAGGACGCATTTTTTTATTGTTTAGTATTTGATCCTTCACAAAAGACTTTATTAGCAGATAAGGGAGAAATCAAAGTTGGAAGTAGATATCAGACTGAAGTAACTAATTTATTAAAAGAAGGTAAGATTTTTCTACTTGAAAAAATTACAATTTTATTCAATAACGTACCAATTGCAAACTGTATAAATGTATACTGTAGTCGTCTTTGAATGTTCCACCAGAATCAAAAACTAGACGAGATGTATTTGTTAGCACGCACTAAAGGAAATTGTGAGACAAGTGAATACTAAATATGAAATGAATATACAAGCATCTGAACTTAGAAATATACACCTAAAGTTAAGTTTATAGATTATGATGGAGCTACATTCACTAAAGTGCCTTCTTTTTGGATTTACTAAAATACTTATTTTTATTACAATACCTAGAAGTCACCCTTGACCTTCGCGTTTATTATATTACGGAAATTCTCAAGAAAAACGATATTACTATATTATTATATAAATTCTTTATAGATAATCCCTTTCTTTATTGGTGAAACTCTTATGAAAATCGTTGCAATAGTTTCTTATATTAATTAGCCCGAACAAACAAATTATGTACGATGGGGGGTTTTAATATGCAGTGATATAAATTGTTTTTTTTTTGTTCTGTTATTTAGGGATGTTTAAAACAAGCACAATTCATATCGTTCCCTAAATAAATAAATTACAAAAATACTTTACCATAAACAAAATTGTAAAGCATCCTAGAAAATAAAAAGAAATACTTTAATATATGGATGTACGCTTGTAACCCTTTCATGCAAAAACTACTGAACGGATGTTGATGAAACTTTACAGTACTATAGCGTATAAATTAAAGTACCTAATACATAGGATAAATTAATAAAAGAAAACATTTTTTGTATATGTAATATTTGTTTATTAATAAAGATATTATAGTTAGTAATAAATAATTAAAGTACTTGGTCGAAGCAGCGAGCAATTGTTTTCATAAAGCAAAACTTTAATTGATATACGTGATACCGTTTTAGGCGAGGAGGACACACGCAAGAGCAGCGAGTTAGAGACGCTGGTGTGGACGCCGGCGCACGGGCTGTCCGACCGGCAGATAGACCAGTTCCTGGTGGTGGCGCGCTCGGTGGGCACGTTCGCGCGCGCGCTCGACTGTTCCTCCAGCGTGAAGCAGCCCTCGCTGCACATGTCCGCCGCGGCCGCCAGCCGGGACATCACGCTTGTGAGTACCACGGCCCACGCCCAGTTGCGGACTTAGGTTCGATGGCGTGTAGTTTGAGTGCTATAATTTATAAACAATTTAATAAGATTTCTGAGTTCAAAAAGCCTAACTAAAAGAGTAAACTGTAGTACCCGTTTTGTAAAAATTAAAGCGCATTTTGTATGTGCATTATTCACTCCTACTGTCGTTTATTTATATGCTAATATGCTATTTAGCGTCTATAATCTAAATTATAATTAGATATATGTATTATATATTAAAAGTACTTTGTAACTTATAATTTCAAAGATGTTTCGTCCATCTTTTGGTCAAAAGCTGTGTTACGATTTGACACACGATAATTATACAGTATTATTACAGATTTAACGTGTAGGAGTTAGGATAGATTTATGATATATTTCCCGGCAGTAAAAAGTATCCTATATGTTGATCCCGATAACCAGTTATTACCATACCAAATTTCATCAAGATCCATCCAGTGGTTTTCTCGTAATGCGTTCCTTGACAGACAAACAAAAATTCTACAAACTATAGATTCGGCTTCTGTATCGATATTAATGATTGTTTCAATAAGATTTTCCAAAAAAAATTTAATGTACAGATTCGACTCAGTAAGAATTTTATTTAATGTACTATAGATTATTTATTCATTGCGGTGTTTTCTTTATATATATTTAATCAATAATAATCATTTTAATTAAAGAAAACTTACGAAATGATTGCATTCAAGATAATAAACTTTACACGCGTTTAATCGTAAACAATAAAATGACATGAGTTTTATGCCTGGTAATTAATTTCAGGGGCATTTATAAATATATACAAGTGTTCATTGTTGATCGAATTATACTCGTATGCGACACAATATGAAATTGTAAAGTGTACATCATGAGTACTGTTCTTCATAGCTTTGTATCGACTTATCAGAAAAAAAACTACGAGTAAAAATAATGAATTTTTAATTTTTATTGATCTTTAGATCAAAAACTTGACGATTTAACAGTGCTTAGGTAAAAGTATATTTTTATACATATAGTATGTTTATATTGGATTTATATTACGTGGATTAAAAGTAAATTCAACTCAAATTATTTATGACCGTAATAGTGCATCAACATTTAACGCTGTAGTAGCATATTGAGATGGACATCGTCGGGGCTATATTTTATTTTCTTCATTTAATTTTGAATCTTTACGTCTTAAGTACCTACTTACTGAGCATGAAGATTTGATAAATGAGCTGTCATTCAATTCATCTTGATGACGCGGTCATAAGACACGTGACGATTAATATTTATTAGTAATTATTGTAATTAAAATAATACTATGTCTGAGAAAATATAACCATAATCTATCAAATTGTCAAGTACTGGTTGGCGGGCTTTACATATTTTTTAAAAGCTAGGTTCTTTCAGACATGCAGGTTTTTTCAAGATGTTTTCCTTCACCGTAAGATAAGTAGTAATTATCTTGACTTTAATGGGTGCTATTGAATTTTTACTTGGCCCTGTTTAGTGAATTTCTGAATCACTCATGCACATCATGTAAATTTTTGTCCCAAAAAAAAACTCGTACACGTAACCTCCGGCATTATACTTAACTCAAACCACCAGATCGACCGGTCGTTTATCTTTTTCTAAAAATAATTATAATATAAAGAAATGATTCCCCTATAAATATATCAAAGATTGATTAAAAGTAAATTATAATAAAAATTTAAAAGTATGTTATAATAATACTAGAGACTCACCCTCGCTTCGCTCGGGTTCGTCCCTAGGTACGTTTTAACGTTTAGTATGAAATAAAAATCTTTGAATTTCTCGTCTTTTCTGTACTATAATATGCATGTATCATACATATAAACCTTCCTCTTGAATCACTCTATCTGTTAAAAAACCGCATCAAAGTCCGTTGCGTAGTTTTAAAGATCTAAGCATACATAAGGACAGACAGACACCGTGAAGCGACTTTATTTTATACTATGTAGTGATAACACTTTCGTCGCAAACAGTTCCACGCAATGGACACGCTGCACAAGTCCGGCTACAGCATAGAGGCGGCGCTGTCGTCGCTGGTGCCCGCGTCCGGGCCCGTGCTGTGCCGCGACGAGATGGAGGAGTGGTCCGCCTCCGAGGCCAACCTGTTCGAGGAGGCGCTCGACAAGTACGGCAAGGACTTCGCTGATATACGACAGGACTATGTGAGTGTTAAGTCATACTGTATAATATAATATTACTAGCAGTACCCGCGGCTACGCCCGCATTCAATCTACAAGAAAAAACTCTTTGGCTTTATGTTATACGGCAATGTATAACATAAAGCCTATGTATTTGTATAATACTCGTATTGTTCATACAAAAATACTAAGATCGCGATTGAAAAATGTGGGGTGAGGGTAGGAGGGTGAAAAGTACTTACCAAATATACAAAAAAAAATCATTAAAATCGCTCGAGCCGTTTCGGAGGAGTGCGACCACAAACACCGCGACACGAGATAGATTGTATATAACACTAGTTACTCAGTACCACATGAGTAAGTATTCCTACAGAGACAAGACTTCAAACTCCCGCGAAATTATGGGTGCACTACAGCATGCCCTCTTATGTTATGCGTGACGGCTTACCGACGCGTTTACTGAGTCCGTTGACAAAACGGGTTCTTTTCGGCCAGACGTTCACAATGTCAGGCCGAGCGCGTATCGCTCGAAAGAAATATACCACGTTTATACCACAGCCTTATGGACCTTCTTATGAAGTTTTCTTTCGCTAGGAATATTTACTTATGTGACTCTTCGTCCCTAGGTGTTATTTTAGTTACTGAAAACTTATTGTTACTAAAATAATATATTGCCTGTGCTAATTTTGGACAATTTGGCTTTTAAATTGTGAAAGAATTTATTAAAATCTATTCAGTAGCTTCAGAGATTTTCATTTGCAAACAAATTGTTTCCCTTTATAATTTCAATATAGATTTCATTTTAATATTATTAATTACTAGCGACTCACTCTCGCTTTGCTTGGGTTAGTCCCTAGGTACGGTTTAACGGTTAGTATGGAATAGATAGACTATATATTATATTACTGCTCCGCTCCCTTGGGTAGTAGCATGATGAGTATATAGCCTATAAGGCTTCCTCAATAAACGGGCTGTCTAATGTAAAAAGACTTTTTCAAGTCCGATTAATAGTTCCTGAGATTAGCGCGTTCAAACCAACAAACAAATGAACAAACACACTCTGCTTCTTTATAATATTAATATAGATTAGTGTTGTATACAAAACTAAAATGTTGCGATTTCATTCTAACTGTGGAAGTTTGTTATCCGATACTTATTGAAATGTTTATTTTTAATGTCATGAAAAATTAATGTATATTATTTATTTATCTATGATGATCGTATAATAAACCCTAATAATGAAATATTAAAACAATATCACGCATTCGGTTACAGTTGCCATGGAAGACGCTAAAGAATCTAGTGGAGTACTACTACATGTGGAAGACGACGGACCGCTACGTGCAGCAGAAGCGCGTCAAAGCCGTCGAGGCCGAGTCCAAGCTGAAGCAAGTGTACATTCCCAACTAGTGAGTGTTTGTACCGACACACAATTACTCATATATATTATTCTTATTTTGCCCCATTTGTTATAGTTTTTTTGTTTGAAAACGTATTCCAAATTTAATTTCGCTTTTTCAATAAAATATATAGTATAAAAAACGAGTCATTTTATGACATTTATGTTTTTAGTAGTTCAATAAATGTATGTATGTGTACAATTACAGCAACAAGCCGAACCCGGCGCTAATATCGAACACGAGCGCTAGTAAGGGCGCCGTGCTTAACGGTGGCACAAACGGCACGGCCGCCGTCGCGCCCAGCCTCTGCGCCTCCTGCCAAGGTACATATATAATAATAATAATAATATTTCAATCCATTTTTACGTTTCCACTGCTGGGCACCGGCCTTCCTTAAATGCGGGAATCAGGCCATACTCTAATGGACAAGTTGGCCCAGTTTTGTCTCAAATCTTTTGAAAACTTGCTATATTCTGCTTGCTGTGCTCTCAGACATGCAGCATTGCAGACATGCAGATTTTAGACCAATTTGAAAAAGGGTTAATTACTTGGTTACCTATGTTGATAAAAGCTATCCATGAAATAAATTCTATATCTCACGGGCAATGAAAGTGAAGTAATTAATATATTTATCTATTGATATAATTCTTTTTTTCATTTTTGTTGTATTCTGTATTTTTCATAGTAAGTTAATAGTATAGATCCACCAGTAAACATTATTTAGATCCGTAATATCTTGTTACATATTATTCAATTATAACAATGTATATTGTGTTTACTGATCTTTTTAAACAAACTAAATTCTGACAAATTACAATTTTGTAATTATCTAAATTATTTTCTGTTACATTGAATATAACATAATAATATACATATATGATTACGTCTAAAATGTACTTAATATAGTCAAAAAAAGCTAACATGAAATGCAGAAGAAACTTTCGTTCTTATTGTTCCGAAATCCAGAAGTTTTGTTCATACTATATTTCATTAATTTCAGTGACAAATTCAAACCAGTGGTATGCTTGGGGTCCACAGCATTTACAATATAGATTGTGTGGCTCTTGCTGGCAATATTGGAAAAAATATGGAGGTCTCAAGGTATATATCATATTATCTAAGTGTTATCTTATGCAGAGCTTTTTTTTGTCTTTATTTCTTATTAAAGTATTCTATGACGGAATAATAGTCTTTGCTCTAAACATATGCTTACATTGTGTAATGTATTTTACATAACTGTCTCGGTGACTCCAGAACTGGAAGTGCTGGGTTCGAGTAACGAGTCGGGTTTACTTTAATCATTGAGCTCTTCTGTTAAGTAATTCCTAATAGTAACTACGGTTAAGTATGTGGGGGTGTGTCACACCCGTACCTCGCAGAATACGTAAAGCTTGCTAGTCTCAGTGAGATTGGCCGCCGTGACCGAAATCAGTCAGGAGGACATTATTATTATCACTTTATATGATTAATGATGAATATGAAAGAGGTTCTATGGTTTGCTACTTTCTGTTTATGGGCGCAGACAGCGGGCGTGTTCGGCGAGAGCGAGGCGGAGACGACGCGCACCGCGCGCGCCGACGGCGAGGAGACCGCGCTGTCCGTCTCGCACCGCCCGCACCGCTGTACCGTTATTAATTGTGCTAAGGTATGCCGTGTGCATCTTTATATAATATCTATTAAGTTTTTGTTACTTCATCTGTTACTTGTTTATTTATAAAGAGGTATATTTAATTAATTTCAAATATATGTAGAAACGTTATGAATAGTACAGAGTTTTATGTATAACATAAGTTATGCAGTTAGTAATTTGATCAAATAATTCGTAACATTATATATATGGCTTGTACTAGATATTTATAATGTAAATATTTTATGATAAATACCAGCGGTTTCGTTCAAGTGCGCTCCTACCTATGTGTTATTCCAGGTCATAGGCCGTGTGCTAAATTTTATTCAAATGCATATTATAGTCGTTTTAATGTGAAGAAGTAACCTCCGTATATGGATGCATGTTGTTGTTGTTTTTTCACACAAAAACTACCAAATGGATTTTGATGAAATGTTACAGAAATGTAGTATACAAGTACATACATCAGCGTAGTACATAGGATGTCATTTAAATATATATGAACATACTATGTGGAGGGGATGTTATGGGAAAAGCTAGTTTATAACAGTAATAAAATATAAATGTTGGGACATAGACACACAGCACCATCTAGTTTCATGGTAAGCTACGAGGCTCGTGTTATGCATAATAGATAGTTCATACACTACATATATACGTGTATAACTTTAAATACATACATATTATAAATATAAACACCCATGACTGGAGTTCAAACATTCTCGTGCTCATCACACAAATGAAGCTAGGCTCGAACCCGCGACCGCTGGCACAGAAGTAGGGTCACTAGAAACTGAGCCAAACGTGTCGTCAAAACAATATATAAGAAGACCGTTTAGAGTACATAGCTAAGTATGGTAACTGTATGTGACGTGATAACGCTGCAGGAGTTCAAGCTGCGCGCGCACCTGGCGCGGCACGTGGCGACGGCGCACGGCGGCGCGGGCGAGGGCGCGCGTCCCGTCATGAAGACGCGCGCCGCCTTCTACCTGCGCGCCTCGCCCTTCACGCGCCTGGCGCGCCGCCTCGCGCGCGCGCTGCGCCGCCCGCGACACTACGCGCGTTCGCCCTTCTCGCCTATCAACCTGCACCAGGTCAAGCACGAGTGTGAGTGCGCGTTCAATATTAGATGACTTACTTATTGTTCTTTCTTTTACGGTGTAATTATCCTAATGATAATTATAATAGAGTTCTAAAGTAGGTTTGGAAAAGTTAAGCAGTGATTTTGAACTAAGCAATAGATTGGACAGGCTATTTATTTAAAATTATAAGGTTACGTTGATGTTATTAGAAACATTATCTAATCACAAATATGGTATAACGCAATTACAGAAAATTACTCGTTTTGGTTTTTGCATTATAAAATTTATAAATATGTCTAAGATGAAGTACCTAACCTAAAGTTTAACTATCTCAAAGTAACAATATTATAAAAAGATGGATTCGCTTGTAAAAGTAATGCGTCTGAATCAAAACTGTGTATTTAGATATGGTTCTATTCATTGGTTTTATAAGAGATATTTAAAACGTGTATATGATTGATGTGTTTGTAATGTTAAAGGCACGATAGCGATGGCGGGCCTAGGCGCGGGCGCGGAGATGCGCGGCGCGGGCACGGGCACGCCGCGCGCGCGCGGCGCCGTGGGCGCGGTGGCGGCGCGCCTGGCGACCGCGCTGGGCACGGCGGCGCCGCGCGCGCAGGACTGGCTCACGCTCACGCCGCGCGACCGCATGCCCGCCCCCAACCACGTCGCCTTCCCCAAGCCGCCGAAGGCGCCGGGTCAGTTGCTATTTTATTTTTATACTTCTATTTATTTTTGGTTGATAGTTTGATAAATTGAATGTTTTACCAAGTATTATTATTTATTTATGCTATATATTTTTTCTTAGTCATTTATGCAATAAGATTTAATCTCGCAAAATATAAGTTCTCTTGTTTCTTTTATCGAGTACAATTTTCTCAAACGAAGAAATACTTTTATTTCGTTTTCTATTATATTTTGCGCTATTGCCAAGGCGCACAATTGACCATTTTATTTACATACTAGCAACTCAGGATGAGTTACTCTTCGCTCATGATCGTCCCTAGTTTGCTTCCCCATACAAACGTTCATCCCCATTATGGGATGATTTCCGGGGTAAAAACTATCCTATGTCCTTCTCAGGGTCTCAAACTACCTTCTTAACAAAATTCATCTAAATCGGTTCTGTAGGTTTGGAACCTATTCGGTACAAACAAACAAACTTTCCTTTTTATAATATTAGTATAGACTTGCATTTAAATGTCGGAACCGATATCCAGATATCAGAAACGAATTAATAATTTTACTAATACATAATAAAATACTTACATAATCTTTTACGGATAAGTACGTAATATGAGGAGGTTATAGAGTGACGTCCTCCCCCCAGACGGCAGCCTGATGTACGAGCGCGTGGTGTCGCGCGCGGAGCTGGAGGCGCGCCGCAGCGAGGGCGCCGCGCCCGCGCCCGCCGCGCTGCCGCCGCACGCGCTCGCGCCGCCCGCGCTCAAGCGCCGCGCCTACGACGACATCAACGGCCTCGACAGTCAGTATCCGCTACTGAAAATATTCTGTCTCGCTCGCTCACTCTCTCACACTCCCTCCATCTCTCACACTCTGCCTCATGCGCTACCTACTACGCGCTTATACTTTTATTGTTTTTTAATTTATTTATTACACTATGCATTTACTCTCTCGTGCGTATACTATGCTGTTCTACTTTGATTGTTTTTTATTATTACTCTTTTTACTCTAAACATTAATAAGATTATGTACAGAATAATAACATATTATAATAAAATTGGTCTTATACTGTACTCTCAATTATTTAAAATAATAAATCAGGAGGTACGTCAGCAAGTGTTAATCATTTATATGTTCTCTCATCATATCATTTAAAAAAACAAAACAAAACTAATTAAATTTTCGCTTAGTAAGTAAATATACACTACATTTTATTATTACACAATTATTATTATCACTACACAATTCCCATGATTACTGAGTAATAAAATGTTACAGAACATTCTCAATAAACACCTTGCACATAGATCTCTTATGCTTTATGTTGCTCCCCGTTTTAAGCTTAAGCTAAGCTTTTATAATCTTTGCTGTTTTTCAGAAAGTATAATGACTATTTTAAATATTTCCAAACATTTCTACTTCAAATAGAACATGAGTATTATTAAGGACAGATTTTTTAATTTTGCTTTTTAATTAGTACTTAAAAGTAGTGTTTTGAATACGAATCAAAGCTAAATATTAGACCATTTTAAAAATGTCAATGACGATTTTGCAAAATATTAAAAAATAAATAATGTTTTGATTGAATATTCTAACTCTCAGTAATAATTTAGTCTATCTAAATGTAGCTAACTACAAGAGAGCACTCAGTCCTCTGAAAATTCTTATGACATGTAATAAATTCTATGAAATGATATTTCTCTTTTTTGTGCTGCTTAATTTTACCGGAGTAGCAACAGGTTTGAAGTCACAACACCATTTATGCGAATAAATCATTTTTATATGATTGTATTCATTTCCCACTTTCATATTTATTATTATTACACAGGCCAGCTTTACTGTAACTCTAGTACTAATAATTGCTGTTAGATTATCTTTTTTAAACATTTTCGACGGATTCTTTGATGCCATGCGAAATCATTTAAGGAATGCTGTAGAGAGGTGAATTTGGTCCTTAAATTGATAAGTAATGGATGTTTAACATATAAAGCTCACTTTATACTATTTTGTATATTTTTTCTTTAAATAAATCTTTGCCGAGATAAAATTATTAACTTAAATTCGTCTCTTGAACATAATGATAAATTTATTTGGCGATAATTGGAACTCCATGCTCAAGGGATGCATTTCGTTTGAAATGATACAATTTTGTCAAAAAATGTATTCTGATAAATCGAAATCGTATCGTTTCTGTTGGCGTTGTCGTATTTTTAGTATGCTTGTTACATGTTAGCTAGAAGTTAGAACCAGGGCTCGAAACCGGTTTAAAAAAACCGTTTATTTCTGTAATGAAATGGCTAATGCATCGTTCTTTCCTTAAACCGGTAAATGAAAACGAATGGTTTAGTAAACTTGAAAAACTGTTAGGTTATTCTTACAAAGAGGTTAGACTTCGGTTTTAAAAGGAACCGCTTAATTCATTCATAAGTAAGAAACATGTATGTATGCTTCTATTACGCCATTCATCATAAGCAAAGATTCGCCAAATGTAAACGCACAAATACACATTTTAACCAGTTAATTTCGATCATAGAACCCAAATTCATTAAAAACCGTTCCCCTTGATTTAATTGGTTAAAGAACGTAATCATAACTTTAAACTGAAAAGCCTTTCGCTTTAGGGTCAATGACCAAAAGCGATTTAGAACTTAAACGGGTTCCCGAGCCCTGGCTAGAACAAAATGTACAATGAATGAAATTTGACGACACGTTTGGCTCAGTTTGTAGTGACCCTACTTGCTGTGCCAACGGTCGCGGGTTCGAGTCCCGCTGGGAGCATTCATTTGTGTGATGAGCACGAATGTTTGTACTCCAGTCATGGGTGTTTATATTTATAATATGTATGTATTTAAAGCTATATATGTATCACCTATCTGGTATCCATAACACAGGCCTCGTAGCTTACCGTGGAACTAGATGGTGCTGTGTGTTAATGTCCCAACATATTTATTTATTTAATGAAAAAGATATGATGGTGAGTGTGTCGGTGTGTTGCAGGAGGCGCGACGGTCGCGGCGCGCGAGCCGCACGCGCCGCCGCCGGCCAAGCGGCCCAACAAGCACCCGGCGCCTATGCAGCGGCCCTCGCGCGAGCAGTACGCCGCCATGTGCGCGCGCGCGCAGGCCACCGGCCAGCCGCTGCCCGCACATGTTTTTACTCATGTATGTACAATAGCTAATATTATTTCAGCTTTTTCTAATAAACATTTTCCATTTCAAGATAGCTAAGTGTGTGTGTGTTTGTGTCTAAGTAATTATAGAATAATAATTGGATAGTTTTGTTTGACAATGATATATTACAGTATATATGTATGTGCACAATGTATGTATCCCTTTAACAGTTATATGTTCCGGTGGAATGTCAAATCATGCTCTCCGAGGTGCATTTAAATGTATAGAAATTTTCAACTTCTCAAATCTCGACTATTACTAAATATTTCGTGGCAGAAAATTGGTCCGATCTGGGAACCGAACCCAGGACACTCTTAGCGTACACGCCTAGCTGACCAACGAAGTATCCACGAAATTGAATACTTCCATCTTCTTTTAAAGTCATTTTTACTATATATTTGGTGTTTGCTATAACGGATTACTTATTTATCAGAAACCCAATTTTTATGCTTTATACATCAATATGTGTAATAATACTTGCTGAAGTAAGTTATTGGATTTAATAATATACATATACAATGTACATGATATTACGTAAAACACATAATATAACACACATATTAGGCAATACAACACCTATCATTTAAATATTTATTTCCAATGACGACACGTTGGGCTCAGTTTATAGTGACCCTACTTTCTGTGCCAGCGGTCGCGGGTTCGAGTCCCGCTGGGGGCATTCATTTGTGTGATGACGAAGGTTTGTACTCCAGTCATGGGTGTTTATATTTATAATATGTATGTATTTAAAGTTATATATGTGTAGTGTATCAACTATCTGGTATCCATAACACAAGTCTCATAGCTTACCATGGAACTAGATGGTGCTGTGTGTAAATGTCCCAACGTATTTATTTATTATTATTATTGTTAATATTCAATAATTACATATATATACTAATTTGTTTTGTTTTCAACAGATAAATGGTAAACCCACAAATTTGACCGGTCGCGGCGGACGACGCCACGTCATTCCGTGGATGGAGGCCCCCGACGACCTCTACTTCAGAGCCACCGAGACCGCCAAGTATGTATAATTAGCATAATTATACTTTAAAATGAATTACTTTTGAATTTTGATATTCAAAATATGTGGATGATATTTCTTGTAACTCGTAACATACTTTTAATAATCACGTTAGGTTTTGCTTTAGCAGACAATTTAGTGCATCTATAATTAAAAAAATCTATTTTTTGGTTATTGTTCGTCCCTAGTTTGATTCCCCATACAAACTTTCATCCCCATTTTCAACCCCTTAAGTGATGATTTCTGGGATAAAGAGTATCCTATGGGCTTCCCAGGGTCTCGAACTATCTTCTTACCAGATATGTATCATCTAAATCGGTTCAGTAGATCCAGAGATTACCCCCTATAACGTTACAAACTCACAAACTTTACCTCTTTATAATATTAGTATAGATGTTATTTATCTGTTGTCCTCCAGAGCCGCGCGACGGAGCCTGAGCGGCGGCGAGCTGCGGCGCGGCGCGCGCGCCCCGTGGCGGGCCATGCGCGGCGCGGCGGGCGCGGGGGGCGCGGGCGCCGGCGGCAAGGCGGCGGCGGGCGGCGCGGCGCCCCTGCAGCTCGTCATCCTGGACTGACAGGAGCCGCCGCGCCCGCCGCACGCGCCGCACCCCTACACCATGGAGGCGCTGCTCGGCTGAGCCGCCCGCTGTATAGAGCTCGTGTACATAGCCCCGAGCGACCCACGCCCACGCCCACGCCCCCACGACACCGACCGACCGCGAAGATTGTATTTTTGGTAATCGAATCGCCGACGACGGATTCTGTAGATAATATTTTAAACTATATTGTTCTTATGTGGTTTGATCTGGCGATGAGCAAATAATGTATTTGATACATAAAACGATATGTAAGTCTATTTCATTCGGAGATTCATTGTAGGATAATTTACAATTTTTTTCATAAATAAAGCACAAATTGGAATACTGTGTATTTTATTTCTTGATCAGCTTTCTATTTATTTTCCCATCTGTCTATATTATGTTGAAGATTGTCTCTTAGTAAAATGTATATTGTAATTACAAATTTTTGTTATATATTATATAATGAATATATCATATATTGAATAATTTAAAATTAAAACGAAAGACAGAATTTACTACATAGGTAAAACATATATGTTTTATAACGCAAAATCACGCTTTCGCGCATTTGTCAAAACTAATAAACCCAAATTGCGCATTTATTACTAACAATCTACTTACCCTCGCTTCGCTGGGGTGCAACCCTTGTTATAATTTTTACGAGCCCTAATTCTTTTTCTAAAATAAAAGTAGCCTAAGTTACTCCATTTACATCAGCTATCTGCCGGTGACAGTCAAAATAAGCTCAGCCGTTTCGGAGATTAACCGGAACAAATGGACAGACAGACATTTAAAAAAAAATGTGTTTATATTTTAAGTACCGTATATAATTTCATAGATGCATTTAGTAAAAAGTTATTTTGAAATTACAAACAGACACTTCAATTTTATTTATCTGTATAAATTATTAAAAAGTTCCACCAATAAAGTCGACTATATATTTTCTTTGAAACATAGTTTTTGAATCTTTTTAGAATTTTTCTTTATTTGTTTGTTAATAAATAAAAATTCCAAGTTTCGTGGAAATTTTTAAAATTTTTAAAATTTGAAGTCCCGCTCATATGCCTATTAGAAATAGATTTAAATCTGTTTCCAAGATTTGATTGCTTCGTAATATACAGAGTCGACTTGTAATAAATAATCCAATTGTTATAAATACATGAAGGAAGCCTTATTCCTAATCAATTACTGTTTATGAATAAATGGGATTTCAAAGAAAATCCTAGGTAGATAAAGTTTTAGCATTAAACAACATTGACAGTAGGACAAGTGCGAGTCTGATTCGCACACCGAGGGTTCCTTAACATGAAATTGATTACAATTAAAATACATTTTATTTTTTTAACATGCATTTGATGTTTACTTTAGAATAAGCTTGCATAGGTTCAAAATAAAAAGTCACTAGAAACGTCTTGCTAAATTGAAATAGATACCCCACACTTTTTATTGTGGAATTTAATTTAATGCACGTCACAACTCACATCTATGGAGTGCCACCATTTGCTTAGCAGTTTACATGATACACCTATTTTATGAGTTCCGTACATTAAAGATATCTTATAATTTCGTTATGCTGACGATACATAATATCATAGCCATTTTACCTTGATACTATATTGCCAATATTTTGTAGGACATTTCAGCAATATAAGCTGCAATTGTTCTATTAATATGGCTGTGGCATATAAACAGACGGACATAACGAAATTATACATGTTGCGTTTTTGCCTACAGAACCCTAAAACTCATGATAGTAGGTGCATATTATTGTATAAGCAGCCTGCGTCTTTTGACTCCCCAAGTTACTATTTTTGTTTATTTATTTAGCATATAACAAGAGCTTTACAATAGACAGCACTTAATAATAAAACAAGCTACATTGTAATATGTATACACTGATTACGTACTAAGATCTATTATATTCTTGTATCTTCTCAATATAATAAAATTCTTAGTTTCATTGAAATGTGTTTAGCCGGCCCTAAGTAAGGCAGACACACAAAATTTAAAAACTGTCGATTTGACTTTATTAAACCAGATACATCCAAACTAACAAACTTGCTAATTGAACTTACTCTCGCTCCGCCCGTCCCTAGGTGCCTAACAGCCTATGTGTTACTGCAGGTCTACCAACCTACCTACCTACTATACCTACTAAATTTCATCCAAATCTGTTTAAACGTGATGGAGTAACAAACATACAAATATTTAAAAAAAATTAATAGTACCTAGTCTGGATATTTACGACAATGTGAACGAGTTGAAGAAATAGCTTGTATTGCATTAGAATAATAATAGTGTAAATCTAAAGTAATCTGACCATCTCTCGACTTCTTCATGGTTATTGGTTACATTAACATATATAATAATGAGTATTTTGGTTTAAAATATTAAAAAGAAATACTCGAGGTCTCCACTTCCTTATTGCTACAAGGCCCTAAAATCGTATGAAATAAAACGGCACATTTTAAAAAGTTATATTTATTCGAGTACATAACTACATTCTTAATATAAATGGATAATAACTATTATTCCGCAAGATAAATATATTTTAAGTTGATTTTAAGACACCTGCGTCGTCACGTCTCAGTTTATTTGAAAAGCGCTATCACATACATTACAAATACACGTTTGCCTAGAAAAATATTTCAATTTGCAATAACAGTAGCTAAAACGTCGCGGACGGGATGCAACTGAGTTTATAATTTATAAAGCCCTATATCTTTAAAGTAATACTTGATGGCACATATCTGTACTTGTTGTGTTAGATTTTCATTTTTATCAAAACTTTCACATTACATGATAAAATTGATTAAACATTTAACGTTATATAAAAGAAAGGTTTGACTTATCTATGTTAGAAAAATAGTACAGATTAAATCTATATATATATATATATTCCAATTCACTAACATTAAATGCTCGGCTGTTCGTTGTTACTTGATTTTAAATGGAGAAAACATAGGTACTAAAGATAGGTTATTGAACGAGAAAAATAGTGATTTTTTACTTACTTGGATTACTTTGACAAAATATTGTTCAGTATCATCAAAGTAAAACAAGTGAACTTAAATTAATATTTACAAATAATGTTATAGTGAGAATAATAACCGAAAAAAAAATATTTTTACGATGTTGAAGCTTAAAACTCATGATGCTCTTACTGTTAAAGAATACATAAATTAATATATTACACAAAGTGTTTTGACTACAATTATTCATTGGACTGTAAACTTACTAGTAATTAAGGTTAAATTAAGCAACTCATCGATTTTTATTTAAAGTGAATTCGATAAGTTTTATAGAAACCGTAATTCCTCTTGTAAATTTTACAAAATGTTTTGTGCGAAAGACCATGGCATAATAATCAAACTATACCGTAGGAAGTTACCACTTTTCACATAAATTAAGATATCATAATCAGGACGTTTTAAATCTAAAATTTGTTGAGCATACATTTCCTTCAAATCCATCAAACGCATAACAAAAAAATCTTATAGATACTATTTATAATCAGCATTACATAATATATTAAAACAAAGTGATTTCCATACAAAGATCCGACGCGGTCGGTTCCTTGATACGAGATTCACATTGCGACTACATACAATATTATAGAAAAAAATATATACGATCCAATGACCTATTTATTACGAGTCTAAAATGTAAATTATCGAGAATTATAAATGTCAGTTCCATCCCAGATACAACGTCGATATAAGTTGTTCCCTAGCTTTACTCAAGAGTTTAATTGAGCAGGTTCTATTACGGCTACATTTACACTAAGTCAACTTTGTTGGCGGACAGTGGCTCTCGCTCCGTAGTGCGGTAGTTACAGTAGGCCTCCGATTCACCACTATATTATACAATTCCATTAATAATAAAATTACATCAGAAGTCAGTCCCTTACCGTCGTTAACCGTCCTTATTATACATAATCCCATACTAAATTGCAGTAACCTACCTCTACGTTTTAATCTCAAAGCCTTCTCGCCGCGACGCGAGAGGGCGCGACGCGCGACGTCGCCATAAAATACTCGATACAAAAATACTGTACAATTACAATTACTCATTATTGTTTGAAGGTAAATACAACACTCACCGCGCGATGTGTCGCGAGTGTCGCCCGCGCGAGCGCCGCCGCCGTGCGACGTCCATACAACACGTCCGGCAACACTCGGCTCGAAAGCAATAATACACCATTCACAAATTATATACAATGTCTTTTAATATACATGTTACATAAACACACATCCAAATTTGATCCCAATATCTGTAGTCTTTAACTCGTTTATTTTCTAAATTAAATAATGAGATCGAACGTAGTCATTCTTACGGGTTTCGCCAAATGTGGACCGAAATATTTGTACCTAATTTGTAAACATCATATCAAAAATGGATACGGTCACGATCGCATAAACTGTACATAAAGAAATTCTTTAAGGTAATACTTCGCATTCATAAATATGTTATAATATCTTCATTTGTTACAAGGCACTGATCGTTAACAATCGATAACTGCGTTTTCTCTGTTTAGACCTTAGAGCGTCTTATCCTAAAATAATAGCCAATAATAAAATATTTACTCGTAGTTCGAATAATTCGTATGAAAATACACTCATGACTCTGCATACATACATTTATACTAAAATAACGCTATTTCAGTACACTATACATAACTCTGTAAATAGATAAATACATCTCCTGACGTTCAGCGGACGTCGGATCCGCCGCCACTCTCCTCTCACACAGAACATATGGGTCGCTCTCGCGCCGGTGGGTGGGATGCGATTTTTGGACTTCGACAGCGCCAATTGTTCAACGCGACTTGGAATGTTTAGCCCGACTCCGTTTAGAAAATATAAAAATATAAAATCCATATTGCAATTTAATTTAAGATTCAATTAATCTAAGAGTCTTTGATTAGCTTTGTAAAGGTACGAGGCGAGTGCACGTCGAGTGCGCGCCGTCGCGCCGCGGGCGCCTCGGCGGCTCAGTGCTTCGACAGGTTCAGGGGCAAATCTGAAAGCGTCCACACAACATCGTCCAATTAATATTTAGTAAATCAGTAAGGAATGATTTTTTTTGATAAACTCAATAAATTATAATAATATAATGACAAAAAAGATCATCAATAGATAGATCGTCACAATGATTAAGAGAATAGAAACGTAAAGCAAAACGAACAATGAGGTGCTACCTGAAGTGGGTTCGTCCTTGGGTATGTGGTCGGTGAGCAGCGGGTGCGCCAGCGGCGCCCACGGGCCGGGCGGCGCGTAGTGCAGCCACAGCGGCGCGGGCGCCGGCGCGCGGTACACGTGCGGCACGTACGGGTAGCCCAGCAGGTAGGGCGCGCCCGCCCACTCGTCGCGCGCGCGGTACGCCGGCGCCGCCCACGCGCGACCGCCCGCCCGCCGCGCCCGGCCCGTAGGGCGGCGTGGGCGGTGCGTACCGCCCGGGCGGCGGCGGCGGCGCGGGCTGCGGCGGCGTGGGCGAGTCGCGCGCCGGCCCGCGCCCCGGCGAGCCCAGCGTCAACGCCGAGTAGCGGTAGCGGTAGCCGTCGGGGCTGGGGCTGAGGTCGGGCGAGCGCACGCAGGGCGGGTGCGGGCTGCGCGCTGGGCTCTCGTCGGGCATGCTCAGCAGCGAGTGGATGCTGTAGCTGCTCACGTTCTTGGAGACGGGCGCGTCTTTGCGCGGCGCGGCACCGACGGTGCCGTTGTGCGCGCGCGCGGGCTGGGCGCCGGCGTGGCTGGGCCCCGGCGACGGCGGGTAGGAGGCCGTGCTCAGCGCCGGCACCGTCTTGGCGCGCCGCTTCGTCCCCTGGTCCTCCAGGCTCACGCGCTCCATCTCGCGCAGGATGCGCTTGCGCGGCGACACCATCATGTGCTCCTGCCGACAGCTCGCCAGCTTCGCGTTGACGAGCACGGGGAGCGACGCCACCTTCTCGCGGAGTCTGTCTATCGTTCGCGTCAACTCTTTTCGCCTTATCGCCGGCCTCGTCTTCTTGTACACTCTTAACTTATGATACTGATATGGTTTTTTAAGTTTCATATGATAATATTTCTCTCTGTCGAAATCCGTCCACCTGTCGTCGTCCATTTTCGTTTTCGCTTCAGTGGGCGCGTCTACAACATCCTCGGCCGCGGCGATATCTCCGTTGCGTCTTTTGTCGCAGAGGCCGTTGGGCGGCTGATGTCGGGCGGGCGCGTGATGGGCGGTGTCGAACGGGCGTCGGCGCTTGCGGCGCGAGGCGGCGTGTATGTGCGCGGTGAGCAGGGTGGCGGGCCTGCAGTAGTACATGGCTAGCTCTTTGGAGAGATGGCGGCGCGGCGTGGGCTGCTTCCAGCAGTGATCCCGGTGCGAGGTGCAGGGCGACGAGTGCAGCGAGGAGTTGTCGTCGGAGAGCGAGGCGCAGGGCGGCGCGGCGTGCGGCGGCGTGGGCGGCGTGGGCGGCGCGGCGGCCGGCGGCCAGAATGTCTTGCGCGGCACCGACACCCAGCCCGCGCGCTCGCCCTCGCGCGCGCTTCCTCGCACCAGTTCCAATATGAACTTTCCATCTGCAAGCATAACATACATTTATTACTTCAAATATTAGTAAAACTGTGACAAAGAGAGAATAATCCAATAAGACAATAATATTGTAAAAATCTGATTTTTGGCCTCCTATTTAATGATAACCTTTGGAAATTGTGAAAGTCAATTCAAAGGTTAGCCATCATTATGCTGAATATAAATTTTGCATATTTAAAAATTATATATTTTGGCAAGTATTTAAATTTTTGGATGACATTGAAAAACAAAATGACAAGGTTAAAAAACATATAAGTAAATTATTTATTAGCATTCAAAGCATATATTTTACTGTATCAACAAACTATACAGCAATAAAAATGTTATTGTTTATGACATCTTCTTGAGAATATAAATTAATGCAATTCAAAGTAGATAAGTTTATTTTCTAAGTATATAAATGTGGTTTTTGATTAAAACTTTATCTTTAACATGTAACCTATCCTATATCACTCTTTGTTATATAAAAATCTGTCCAAATATATATTATAATTTCATATTTCCTCCTTTTAAAAACCGGTAAAATATATCATAAATTAATAATGATATCAATTTAAAAGCACCATTACAGTCACTACTTAGATATAGTACAAATAATAGATTTATTGTATATTTGTTGATTTTGGTAGCACTTGCTCTTTATCTCTAAAAGAACAAACAAACTAGTTGATATATTGATTATAGCATTTATTATTATAGTTGATTATATTTGTATACTTATGTACTTGATGTTAATGCTATATTTATATAATTAAAACAAAATAAACTATTATGAGCCATATTGTTGTTGTGTCCTTGATTTATTGGGACCTTATATTCCCTAGAATATGTTTCTACTGTCCAATCAATTTTGTTACCACATATTTATAAAATATCTATTGCATTTTATTGATACATACATAATATTATCCTTTTGTTAACTCATCCTTAAGATTATTTTTGTTATGCATATGAAGATTCCATTATATAATTTAGAAATTAAACATATTATAATCAAAGAATGTACTATGGGTTGGCTTGGCTTGACCTAACAGTAGCCATGTGTTACTATATTTCATCCAAATCTCTTTTAGTGTGAAGAAGTAAAAAGTGAAGTAAAAAGTATATATGTATATATTATTACATACACATACTTACACATATATGATGGTAGTCTAATTAAAAAACAACCCTAAATAAATAAATATGTTGGGACATTAACACACAGCACCATCTAGTTCCATGGTAAGCTATGAGACATGTGTTGTGGATACCAGATAGTTGATACACTACACATATATAATATAAAATACATACATATTATAATTATAAACACCCATGACTGGAGTACAAACATTCATGCTCATCACACAAATGAATGCCCCCAGCTAGGACTCGAACCCGTGACCGCTGGCACAGCAAGTAGGGCCACTACGAACTGAGCCAAACATGTTGTCTAATAAAAAATTGTATATCTTTACTGTTCTGTCTTTAATATATGTCTAAATATTATTAGGAGTTCACTATATTATCATATTTAATTTTATCTTGTAACTGACACTTGCCCTGTTTGTTTATAAAACAACAATGTGCTTACTTGGGTTTTACTAATGCCTGTCAATATGTCAATATGATCATGTTTACTTTACTGAGATGCTATCACATTTCTTATGTAATATATAACATATATTTCATATGAATTTTTAACATGAACAGTTTTAACTTTTGAAGCTTATATTTTAGTTATGTAGATACTTTGTAACATTGACAATGACTTCAGGAGGAAATGTGTCAAATTCAGCAAGTATCAGTTATAGCACTTGATACCAATTTCTCTGCTAATACACAAATTATATTTATTTCAAAATTGATTATATGAGTAAAATACAAAAATTATATAAAATAAAATATATAAATTGGATAAATATTACTTCATCTATAATGAACCATAATGTGGTCATGGCTTATGAATAAATAAATAAATTTCAATGAGAAATTAAATTTGTATCAGACCGATTTATTAGATAGATATAATTTCTATTTAATTTATCTATTATTACATAGGACAGCAAACCTTATTTAATTAAATATTTTTGAATATCAATATTATAACATTTTTTTATTAATTATAACTTATATATTTTACAAAAAACTTATAGTATATTTGTTTATTATTACTTATTACAATGATTATTTAGATTTTTGTCTATATCCAATATGACTTTATGTCTTTCATTCCGTTCTAAAGTACAGAGCCTTTATCATGTTTCTAGTGAATCATACAAACAAAATACTTCAATCTTCATGATATATATTAATGTAAGAAATTAATTAACATTATGGTTGTTTCCGCAAGGATGCACCCAGCTTCTTACAAAACAACAATAGCACAGAGGCTTGCGCACACAATTGGCAACTGCTCAGTCAAATGTAGCTGTATATGTTTATCAGAGCATGAATGACTTTCTAGTTTTTCTTATTGTATTAGAACCATTCTAACATCTTAAAAAGAAGTTATTTTTTAAGCATATGAAAAAGTCTAGCACTGGCTATTAGGGAATCTTATTACAATATTGCAACTTGGCTAGACCTTATTTAAAGAGGAAAAAATATTTTTGATTTACCTAGTAATAAATTCCATGTTAGAAACCACACAAACCTTTAAAGAATTTGAGTCTTCCACCCGAAGTAGCGGTAGCTGAACTATGCACAGGAGGATCGTCATTGACACCCTTACTACTGCTGTTCCCATTCACACCATGTCTTCTGTCTACTTCTTCTGTCATTTTGGTACATGTTGTCAGAGTTGTGTTTGTTCCTTCCTGTATATGCATTTCATTTTTGCCCGCTCATACAGCACACGAGCAACACTTTAGTCCGAATATTCTCGCCATCTTGCACCGAGTAGCTACGGCAGCCCAAGACACACCACTTGCGGATTTGCATCGACATTCAATATTTCCGTCAGAGTCCTCATCCTATTAAGGACACCTGCGGGAAGCTCGGCTGACACTCTCGTAAACACATTACCGACACGGTGACTACCGAATTTAGCCAATAATTTGATCAATCTTGTTTTTCAGAACACGTTTACGAGTTTATCACTATCTTAATTATTACAAAACAAAACCGTGATGCCGGATTCCCGATTGTAATCGGGCCCACGACACAACTCAATAAAAAGCTGTTCGTTTTTCAGTACATAGTTCATTCACACCCAGCATCCATTTTGATTCGTTCAAAATCCAAATATAATCGTTCATTTTGGCCACATATAAACTTGAAATCTGAATGCGTTCTTATATACGTTTAGTTATTGCTTTAACTAAATTTAAAAATTGAAATCAATAGGTACGGTTACTAATGTTTATTGTTTTATGCGAAACGCTTATTCACTATTATTAAGAAAAATTTAAATAGAAATTTGGATCATTATAATAAAATTAAAGTTTTTTTCAGTATTAACACCTAAAATTAAGTAATTAAATATTTGAATGTTTGGTTTCATAATTACTTAAGACTGAATATTTAGCAATAAATATGATATGAAAATAGCATAATAAATTATTTTATAAAAAAATTACCTATATTTAAAAAAAAACTAAACTAAAATTAAAAAGGAATTTGTATTTATGGTTAGTGTCTATGGTAAATCTGGCGCCATATTGTATACTTGTGTCTGTGTCTGTCTTGAAAGGGTTTCAAATGCACGTTTACTACTTGTGTTATTGAAAACAAGAAATAAGGCTTTGCTGCTAGTAAAATCTTCTTTCGTGGTTATTTAAAATATAGGAAATAGCTATTTTTAGTGAGCACTTTAATTGATTGCAGTTTTCGTATGTTGTTGCGTATGTGCGAAAATTGTTTTCTTGACACGGTTTTGGTTACCGTTTAGAAAGTTGATTTAGTACACGAAAATGACGGCATCAGAAGTATCTTTTAATCGGAAAATAATTTCGGAAGATTTGTCCAATGTTGAATTCGACACCAGTGAAGATGTCGAAGTCATACCAACATTTGATTCAATGGGCTTGCGAGATGAGTTACTGCGGGGAATATACACTTACGGTAAAACTATAATTATTATGTACTTCCTTTCATATATAAATTATTCATTATTTCTGAATAACAACATTTTACTTTTTTAGGTTTCGAAAAGCCGTCAGCTATACAACAGAGAAGTATATTACCCATTGTAAAAGGTCGTGATGTGATAGCTCAGGCTCAATCGGGTACCGGCAAAACTGCTACATTTTCAATATCAATATTGCAATCACTGGATACTACTCTTCGTGAGACTCAAGTATTAATTCTTTCACCAACTCGTGAGCTTGCTACACAAATTCAAAAAGTCATCTTAGCTTTAGGTGATTTTATGAATGTTCAGTGTCATGCTTGTATTGGAGGGACAAATCTTGGTGAAGATATTAGAAAGCTGGATTATGGACAACATGTAGTTTCTGGAACCCCAGGCAGAGTATTTGGTAAGTAAATTACCTTTTTAGGATCAAAAAATTCTTACATGCATACACTCACTTTTAAAATATATAATTACAAAATATCACTACTAGCTTATGCAATTTGGATGTGCCTTGATCTATCAGTCAGTTGGAACATTCCATTAATATATTCTATAGATAATCTTGATTTTTTTTAATATCAAACAAAATTTAAAACTACCAATTTGAAAAAAAAATGTAAGATCTTTAGGTGGTTTTTTTTTTTTAAATAATATATTTTTTTTTTTGACTATATAACACAAACATAAAAATAAAGTTTGTGATGTATTCTATTAGAGCTATAATAAATTTAGTTGTTCATTAGAATATTAACTTATTAATTATTATAATTTATTTTAGTTATAATTTAAACTGACTTTAATATTATGTTGTAGATATGATAAGGAGGCGTGTTCTTCGTACAAGATCCATAAAGATGCTAGTTCTTGATGAGGCAGATGAGATGTTAAACAAAGGTTTTAAGGAGCAAATTTATGATGTGTACCGCTATTTGCCTCCTGCTACCCAAGTCGTACTTATTTCTGCTACTCTGCCTCATGAAATTCTTGAAATGACTTCAAAGTTTATGACAGACCCTATCAGAATACTTGTAAAACGGTAAATATAAATTTGAATATAATTAAAGAATAGTTTTGTTGACTTTACATTAATTGACTTTATATAAAATTCACTTTTTCAGTTTTATATAATGTTTTGATATTATATATTAAATTTAAAACTTTTAATTACAGTGACGAGCTGACACTCGAAGGTATTAAGCAGTTCTTTGTTGCTGTGGAACGTGAGGAATGGAAATTTGACACCTTATGTGATCTCTACGACACACTGACTATTACCCAAGCTGTGATCTTTTGCAACACTAAAAGGAAGGTAGACTGGCTAACACAGAAAATGCAGGAAGCTAACTTCACAGTAAGCTCCATGCATGGTGATATGCCACAAAAAGAAAGAGATAACATCATGAAAGAGTTCCGATCTGGCCAAAGGTATTGTTTTTGTAAATTATTGGATACATTTATTCCAGGTCCATTCACATGCATCAAGTTTTATTACATTTGGTTGTGAAATTTGCCTATTGATTTAAAAAGCCCTAAACCTGTGATTATTTTATTATACTAGCATCTTACCCTCTCTTTGCTCAGGTGAATCTGAAAAAAATACAAAGAATAAATTGGTAGGTCTAGAAGCATGTAATTTTGCTCAAGAACTTATTGTATAGCATAGTTGAGCACTAAGGTTTTTTGAAAACTAAAGGGATTATGTAAGGGGAGAGACACTTCCATACAAATGTACTGTTTCCTCGTTAAGTTTATGGAATTAATTTTTTTTTAGTTTGTATTTGCCATAGGAAATTCTATTGGGCTCATTATTTATAGTATAGAATGACGTATATTTTCATAAAAATGTTTTACCTTTTTTACATATTACACTAAACACGAGATTATCAGTCTTTTAACAATATAATGTCTTCTTTCAGCCGAGTACTCATCACAACAGATGTATGGGCTAGAGGTATTGATGTTCAGCAAGTGTCGTTAGTTATTAATTACGATTTGCCCAACAACCGTGAGTTGTACATACACAGAATTGGTCGATCAGGTCGTTTTGGCCGTAAGGGTGTCGCCATCAACTTTGTAAAATCTGACGACATCAGAATCTTGAGAGATATTGAACAATACTATTCTACACAAATTGACGAAATGCCAATGAATGTTGCAGATTTAATATAATTTATGTCTACTATACTGTCACAGATACTGTTGTTACATGTATTTTCTAAATAATAATTGTATGCATTAAAGTTATTGTGCTGCACTTTTATTTAATAAACATAGAATTTCTTCTTAATTAATACTTTTATTTCAAAAATCCAGAGTAGAATTATTAATAAAATTAAATAATATATATATTAAAAAATTATATAATGATTATTTTAACCATTTTACTTGGTAGCCAAGTCAATTATTTTAAATTCAATGTAAGGCAGATATGACTATACTGCTATTTATTATACATTAGCGATTCATCCTTGCTCTGCTAGGGCTCGCCCATTGGTATGTTTTAACGGTTACTATAGATTTCTCAGAGATGATATATTTTCCCGCATTCGAAAGTACCCTATATATTGACCCGGATAAGGGGGCATCCATTAATTACGTGTAAATATTAATTAATAGTAAGATATATTTGTTCTTATTTAATAAATGAATAAATTGTTTCCAAAAAAATGGATTTATTAATATTTAGTAAATTCTTCTGTCAGTGCATTATTAAACCGCAATAAATATTATTATAATATGTATATGATTTAGCCATATTTTAGTGGAGAAACATTTTTTACTTAAATTAACCCAGTCTGCTCGCAATTTTACATTGTTTCTTGCGGAAAAAAATTAAAAAATTACGTGATATTTGCCAAAACCACCCCCCTCCCCCACGTGAGATTGAGGTTTTGCTCGACCCCCCTCAACACCTCACGTAATTAATGGATGCCTCCTAACCAGCTATCGTTTTACCAAATTTCATCAAAATCTGTCCAGTGGTTTTCATGTTCCCAGACAAACCAAAATTCTAAACACTACAGATTCGGCCTCTGTAACTATAATAATTATGACTATTTGCATAACATTTTCCAAAAAATATATAATGTACACAATCGACTCCGAATTTTATTAAACTACCGACTTATCGGCGCTTCGCTCGGATGCATCCCTCTAGGTACGCGAATTTTGTTCACAATTTCATGGGTTTAAATTTTTTTGCACAGAAACCCTGATTGTTTTTCTAAAATAAAAGTAGTCTAAGTTACTCCTTACTGAGAGTGATAGTCCCGTCAAAATCAGTTCAGACGTTTCGGAGATTAGCCGGAACATACAGACAGACCAAATTTTAAAAATTGTGTTTGTCTTTGCCATACATTATTTCAATATTTATATGCATTTAGTAAAAAACTGCTATTTTGAAATTACAAACTCTTAATTTTAAATGTGAATTATGTTATCAAAAAAACTTTCTGGAGTATGAACGTAATGGGCTAGGGCCTAGGGACTAACGCGCAAGAGGGCGCTAGTTTAAACTGTAGAGCAGTGCTAGCAGCACTGCTCTTTATACTTTGTGTCTTTACAGTTTATTTGGCGAGTAAATTACCCGAAAAGCGGCTAATTTTAGGCCATTTTTGATGGCAGGTAATTTTGACGGGTATTTTCATTGTGTGGGATCAAAGCAGATATTTTAGTTTAACTGATTAATTTGATATCTTAAGTGTTTTTGTATGTTCGATTTAATAATTTATAGCTGTTTAACTGAAAACTGATTACAATGACTTCTTTTTCTAACATTAGTACTTTCTTTTATTCTATAAAGAACATGAATAAAATACTTTAAAAAACTATTTTCGGGTATTCTGCTCAAGGTTGGCGCCAGCGGGATAAATCGGGTATTTTGGGGTTTATCGGTCGGGTAAATCAACAGCTGTTATCTGGCAAAAAGCCTGGTGTAGAGTGCGGTTCCGATATACTGAAGCGACAAAAAAATCAATGTTAAAAGTCAATATTGGTAATGATTAATTATTTAAAATTCTGGTAGAACTTTCCCGCTAACAATAATTTAATTAAATGTATTAAAATTGGCCCTGCCGTACTAACAAATACTTTTCAACGACAGCGCTTCACCTCACTCGCCAGTGGCGCCAACTGGTACTATCAGAAACGATAGCCCACATTGTTGTTAAGATTGTAAAAATAAGAAATTTATATCTGATAATTTGTAGATATTCTAATGAATTGAAATTAATTCCATGTATATATTGCACGACATGTAGTTATTGAGTACAACGTCAACTATGTTCTACTCTTTGGTGGACATTCTAAACAAGGTCAATTTCTTAAACCTAACATACAGATTTCCACTTACAATTATTAGTCTAAAGTTTTGTTTGACACTCTTGAACTGAAGTTACCTCTTCAAACCTTGGAATTCTTTTTATTTTTGTCGAGATGTCTAGAAGATAATGTTTCAATGAAAGATAACAAATATTGAACAATATCTAAACTATCACAAAAATGAAATTGGTTGAAAAGAGATATTTCTACATATATTTTTTAATTTATGTATTGGACTAAGTTACATATCATCGCTTCATATTCTTCAGTTTTGTCACAAGCGTCATCAATCTCCTTTGAATTTTTATTCTACATTATGGGAATGAAAACAAATTAATATACAAAAAACAGTATCATTGTTAAAGATTTATTAATATCATAATATTAAAACACGGCAAATTTTCAAAGCAATTAAGCCATTTATAAAATATACAAGAATCTATCTTCATAATAAGTAGATTGAATCTCGCAAGTAATGTCACCAATAAATTTTTATAATCTAATACCTATTATATGTTCAAAGCTAAGCTCTTGGAATGTTACTAATATTAAAATATATGTAGTACAAATAGATAAGTATAGTATCCTACAGCAAAAAGATCAATATATCAAACAAGTTAAATAAAAATATTTACAATTTACAATATATTTAAAAAACAAACAAACATTTCAATGTTTTATCTAAAAACTGTTTTAAGCCTTTGGAATCTTTAAACATCTATTTACTAGGTAAAAAAAATATTAGAAAGTCATATTAGAAATTTATAAATTAATAATTATATACAAAATTCAATATAGAAAAGAACTTAGTGATAGTTTATTTTGGTGTATTTTGCAAACTTTTATATGCCTTAGACTGTTTTAAAAATTTTCTACACTTTAAGGCACAAGTTGAAACACAATTAAACATATAAAAGTTTTATAACTAAGAGAAAACATCATGAAGATAGTACATTTTTTGTTATTTTCTTAGTTTCAAAATTCACTCTTTTAAAATATTTTCTAATAGCTTATCTACTATCTGATATCTATCAAAGTACTTTTCAGTATATAATACTAGAAAAATTGATTTCAGTAAGTTTCTTACCACACTTTATAAATACGAAAAAATAGAAATAAAATGATTTTTATTCTTGGCCAGTGGACAAGTAATACATACTTTAAAGAAATGATAATGAAACTATTTACAAATCTGGTTCTGCAGTTGCATGAGCACTCCAGCGTCTATAAATAAAAATTCCAATTGCACCAACTAGCAACGCTACAAGAATCTCTGTTAATTGGTCTAAAAAGCTAGTAGATGGATCAGATGATTCTAAAACTTGTTGAGTGTATTGCAAATTTTGAGGCTCAAAAGCTGGCTCAACCGGAGGTTTTGATGCTTGTTCCTCTTCGCCTTTAAATGCTATTTGGTTTAATACTGATTGTTCTTCTTCTGTTGGAGGCTTTGCAGCCATTAAAGACAACAAACTTTCTATTTCACCACAGAGAGGGCATACCCAAGTAGTCGATTTTTTTGCAAGAATTTTTCGTTCTGATGGGGTGTAGTCCAAAGAGCCAATAGTTCCTTCTGCAGGTGTAGGCATAAATGCAATTAAAGCCAACAATGCTGTCCTTATTGACCAGGACGGTTGCCAAGTCTCTGGATGATGGCCAGAAATTGATAGACATATTTTTTTATTAATTTCAAATCTACCATTTGGCGTTAAAAGTATAATGTGAGGAGGATGCATAGGATATTCTTTTGGCAATAATATCCTACCGTGGTATATACCACCTTCGAAATCAGTTCCCCTCGGACCGCGTACAGTAAAATGCCACTCAAATAAATTATCTTCAAGTGGTCTTGCACAATATTCATCTGTAGCTTCTGCTAATTCCAAGGCTTCCCGCATAAGGCGTTTAACACCAGGACATTTTGTATTGTATTTTTCAACCATTTCAGCCATTTTATTTAAATATAAATGCAAAATAAAATTTCAAGATAGATTTCTTTCAATTGAAAAATCGACGCAATATTTAATAAATTTCTCAATGTTATGATAAAATTAACAAGGAATGACTGTAATTACTTAGTAATTCACCAATGAGAAATGCACAGATGTGAGCAAAATATAGATAATGTATATACTTGATTATCTCTACGTAATCGGTTTTAATCAATCTTGAAATGTCAAGATAAAACAGCGTTTCCAAAAAAAAATTATCTTAAAATAATAATGCAGTACATATATACTTACCAAGTAATTATTGAATACTGTAATGGGGAAGATTTCTCGAAAGGAGACGCTACACGGATCTCTCTATTTACGTTTAATTTGAGGTTAAGCAATATCTGTTTGTGTTTATAATCTGTATAAATATAACCTGTGGTAGCAAACAAACGTAAAGTCAATAACCTAATTCTATGTGTTAAATATTTTTATGATTGTGATTCTAAACATTTTAGAAGTTATGTTTTACAGTAAATATTTCTAAAAAGTGTTGATCTATCCATTAAACAATGGACGGGCCACCAGGTACTAGTTCCGCTAATAATAGTGGATCGATGGGTCCGCCACCGGGAATGCCAAGCTTTCCTCCAATGCCTCCGCCACCAGGTCCAATGGGACCTGGAAATATGCCTCCACCCCCTGTTGGACCTCCAGGAAACATGCCTCCGGGACCTATGCCTCCAGTTAGTTCCACAGGTCCCCTTAATATGCCACCACCCGGAATGGGGCCGCCACCGGGAATGATGGGTATGGGTCCTCCGGGAATGGGGCCGCCACCACCACCAGGTATGGGACCTCCTGGTATGGGAATGGGTCCACCCCCAATGGGTCCTCCTGGTATGCCACCTCGAATGCCACCTGGTATGATGCGTCCTCCTAACATGAAAGGTAACTTTAACCAGGGAATGGACATGGGCCCACCTGGAATGGGTCCTCCTCCAAACTTAGGTCCACCAGGAATGGGTCCTAATTTAGGACCTTGGGAAGGCCAAGGACCTCCAGGGTGGGCGCGACAGAGTAGAGGTGATGGACCTCCGGGCTGGGATGATCATGGTGATGACGAAGAAGACAATGAAAGAGAAAGTACTGACTCTGGCCCATCTTCCGGGGCATCTTCACTACCATCACTATTGACAATGAAGATTGATACACCAGAAGAATTTAGAAACAAACCACCAGCACCTGTAGGAGGTGTGGTCTTACCAAAAGCTCTTGAAGAAGCTCTTGCCTATAAAGACCAAAGGCAAGCCGCATTAGGAAGTGAAAAAGAAAATGGTAATAATCATTTAAAGTTTGTAACCAAATTATGATAACTATGTCATTAATGACTTTGTCTTTAAACCATCAAGAAGATTTTAAATCCAAATCTAAATACTTTTCTTAATTTTATAGCCTAATATTAAATTACTTTATCTGTACAGACATAAATCTAATATTTTTTTAAGGAATAAATGCACTTGGAATAAATAGGTTATCGAGTTAGTAAAATATGTTCTTTATATATATGAATATGAGAAGTGTGTCAAATTCATAAAAAAGATCATATAAAGATATACTTGTTACAGATGTTGTTGTTATGATGTAAATAGTATATTCCCAAAAGGTTTTCAGAAAATAAAAATGACCCTGCATATAAAGCATACACCTTATATATTAAGAACTGTAAAAGCAGAAAGACTCAGTAAATAAAATGAGAATCAAAATAACATTCATATCTCAATTAATATAATTTTATTTTAGAAACAAGTAAGCAAATTGAAGCACCCCCGGCGCCAGTGATAAGTACTGAATATGATGCAGAAGAGGAAGGAGAATCAGACGAGGACAACATTCCAGAAGCACCTCAACCACCAGTTATTTCTAAGCAAGAGGTATTATCATTCGTTAATTAGGCATATATTATCACATAGATTAAGAGTGGACGGTGTGTGTGTTACAGGAGACGAAAACAGTAATGCTTATGTACAAATAGTATCAATATAGTTCATCAATATTGATAAATCACTTTCAGAATATTTAAGTTATAATTAAGAGTGTTATTATTTAGATGTATTATAAAATATATGAGGTTTTTTTTTCTGCACAGTCCTAATAAACATATTTGTTTGATAATTTTTGGTTTGCCTAAAGTTCATTTTTGTTTGTAATCCAATAACAATTTAAATTGTTCTCATACATTTCAATATATGAAATCATTGTATTATCATGAATATTTGTTGATTCAAATATTTTTTTTGTTTTAATTGAATAAATGTCCTGCTAATAAATCTATAATATTCTTAGGCTCAAGCTGGCAAGACCAACAAAAATAAGCGTAAAAAGAAAAAGAAGAAGGTGGCCAAACAGAAACGTAAGGAGTCAAAAGAAATGGATACTTCAAACAAAGATAGCTCCCAGAAAACTAGTGACAAGGAAAATGAAAAAGAAGCTGAAATTGAGTAAGTTATATATTGTGTCATTTGCTAACTACTGCCTTGCTTTACTTCTTCAATCAGTCTTCATCACTCACTCATGGACACAATACCTGTTAAAATCAGTCACTCTTTTTCATTTCTCTGTCCTTGGATAATAATAATAAATATGTTGGGATATTAACATACAGCACCATCTAGTTCCATGGTAAGCTATGAGGCTTGCGTTACGGATACCAGATGGTTGATAAACTACACATATAACTTTAAATACATATATATTATAAATATAAATAACCATCACTGGAGTACAATCATTCGTGCTCATCACATAAATGTATGCCCCCAGTGGGACTCGAACACGCGATCGCTGGCACAGAAAGTAAGGTCACTATAAACAGCCAAACGTGTTGTCACTTAATACTTCTTCTTTTCTGAGATTATGACTCTTAACCAAATTGTCTAATGAAAATGCCATTGAGATAATGAAAGTCTTACTAAAATTGATTTCAACACTCCAGATGAAATTAGAATACTCAAATGACTTTATTATTTATATTTAAAATTTAAAATTATCCTTCGGAATATCCTGTTTTAGTTTTAAGATTTGATGAATCTTTTTAAAACACTATTGAGTGAATATAATGTGATTTTTTGCAGATATGTTCAAGAAAACATTCAGTTCCATGAATTAGAGCCGATGTACAGACAATTCCACCGTATATTAGAGGCTTTCAAGATAACGGAAAAGAAAGAAGATATTAAAGATGAGCCTGGCAAAGACACGCCTAAACCCAGCAGCAAGCCACAGGAAAAAGTTACAGATCAGTTTGCAGCAGATGAAGAAGCTGTAGAGGTATTTATTTCAAATTTCATATAATTTTGTAACTATCATTACATTTTATTTCATAGAAATCTTATCATAGAATGATGTAATATTTTTATATACCGGAAAAGCTTTCTCAGCGAACTTTAAAATCGTGTAACCTAACTTATTCGTCTTGTCCTCGTCTCATCATTTAGTTATAATAGCGCTTACTACAGCGCTACTTAGGCTAACTACATACTAGCAAATTTGGTTCGTGTTATCTTGGATCTTAGAGCTAAGATCGCAAACTTAGAGCAGGTTTTAAAACCACAGTCTACTAATCCATACAATCGTCTAATGAAGCCGCTTAGACAGGGTAATCTTTTGAGGTGTGTGAGGTGACATTTAGGGAGGCTAGCCCGACTATCAAACTTACTTTTATATGGCAGAAAAGTTTTTACGGTTGACACGAAATGGCATTACAGCGCTTTAAAATCGAAACCGTTAACCAATGAAACTTGGTATTTTGACAACCCTTTTATTAAACACCTTATCATGTATGGATTTTCATACTGTATTGAAACCAACAGAAACATGCAGCAGATGAAAAGGAGCGTCTCTCGAAGCGTAAACTGAAGAAGCTGTCCCGCCTGTCCGTGGCCGAGCTGAAGCAGCTGGTGGCGCGGCCCGACGTGGTGGAGATGTACGACGTGACGGCGCGCGACCCGCGCCTGCTCGTGCAGCTTAAAGCGCACCGCAACACCGTGCAGGTGCCCCGCCATTGGTGCTATAAGCGGAAGGTATCTATATTCATTATAAACTAGTAGTTCTGAGAACAGTAGAATTTGCGAGGACAAACTGCATTTTGATGAGCTATTCTGCTCATCATGCCGAAGAGTCTTATTAGACCTTTAACTAAATTTTTATGTTACCCGATCAAATTAGCCCAAAAAATAGGGTTACTAAGGTTACAAAAATTCGCATAGAGGTGAAAATTTTAATGAATGTTCAGAACATCATTGTAAATGAAATGTGAAAAGACCCCATCGATGCGACAATTCCAAAAAAAATATATTCAAGGGTAATGTTCGTAAATATGTTTTTTTTGCGGTTTTTCGGCCAAACGGTAAGTTTTATCATAAAAATAGATCAGATTAAAATTGTGTCACATGCAATTATTTTAATAAATGTCTTTACGGTTTTGCTATATAATATGTATTTATAATATTATATAATACTTGAGTAGATATAAATATGTAATGAAATGTATCAATTTCATTTCAGTACTTGCAAGGCAAGCGCGGCATAGAGAAGCCGCCCTTCGACTTGCCGGAGTTCATCAAGAAGACGGGCATCATGGAGATGCGCGCGTCGCTCCAGGACAAGGAGGAGACCAAGACCCTGAAGGCAAAGATGCGCGAGCGCACGCGCCCCAAGCTAGGCAAGATCGATATCGACTACCAGAAACTGCATGATGCCTTCTTTAAGTTAGTATGTTTGTTTGTACACGTTTTCTCCTTGGAACGTCCCATTGCTGGGCACGGGCCTCCCTTCAATACGAGTGAGTTCGGACCATAGTGCACCACGCTGGCCAGGTGCGGACGGAGTGTGCAAAGAACATGTCTTTCGAAAAGTTGCTAGGTTCTCACAGACATGTAAGTTTTCTCACGATGTTTTCCTTCTACATAAGACAAGTGGTAATCATGTTGGAAATGATTCCCACATGAAAATACCAGAGGTGCAAGACCCGAGATTTGAACCCTCTTCACTCGGTTTCCCAAGCGAGCGCGTTACCACTAGGCTACCACTGCTTTGGATGCATACATATCGTTTAATTGTAATATATATTTACCGCTTGAAAATAGGTATGAAGATGGCCCGAGATTGTCCTTGTATAAACATGAATAAAAGTTTTACTTGTAATATAATTTAGTTATATTCTTGCAAAGATGTTGTTGTTGTTGATATATCAACGTAGTTTTCTTGACGTTTATTTACATTTTCATTTTAAACCTAATGCTATTTATTATATAGATATTTTAATATTTAAAAATAATATTTGTATTAAATATGTTTTGCAACGCGATCATAAAAGAAAGTTGATAATAAACTTGTGTGCTCATGGTCTCATTAGGTTCAGTTAACACTGAGCTTGCCGTTGTTATTTTCGTTGTCTAGGTTTTAGGTGAAGTCTTGCAGCATGTATTATGGATGAATATCTTGGTAAGTAGATCTTATCGTAATCAAATTATTTTAAATTACATGTAGCATCTGGAATCACTAGAAGGTTAATATCAATCTATACTAATATTATAAAGAGGTAAAGTTTGTGAATTTGTGGCGTTGTAGGGGGTAATCTCTGAATCTACTGAACCGATTTAAATGAAATTTCGTAAGAAGATAGTTTGGGACCCTGGGAAGGACATAGGATTTTTATCCCGGAAATCATCCCTTAAGGAGTGAAAATGGGGATGAAAGTTTCTATTGGGAAGCAAGCTAGGGACGGACCTGACCGAAGCGAGGATGAGTCGCTAGTACTGTATAACTGTTTAAATCACCTAATAAATATCTTCAATGTACATATTATATGGGGACAGGTTTTATGGTAAATAGAATAAACTGAAACCAAATAAATCAAATCAAAATATACTTTATTCAAATAGACTTGAATCGTAAATTTCTACATTTTCAAAATTTAAATTAAATGTCAGTATGTAAGTCCAAATCTACCACCTACCACCGGCCAATCACAAGCTACAATCTACCACCGGCTCGGAATGCAATTCTGCTGAGAAGAGCCGGCGAGAAATTCAACGGTTGCTCTTTTAAAATAATATTTGTTTACAATATTGCAATGCGGTAATTATCTACTAATCCTACATTAGACCCAACCAGACATCAGTCCCACACATTGTCATCTACAAAGTGTTCCGTGTGTAATAAGCCTGATTTTAGTCTTAAATTGTTTAAATGGCAAGCTCAATATCGACTGTGGAATTATACATACGTACACCTTGCCCCATAAACGATCTGTTCACTTTTTGAAGGATAAATTTTATAAATGATGTATGTCCAAACAGATGGCAAACCAAGCCTCGTATGACAATCCACGGCGATCTCTACTACGAGGGCAAGGAGTTCGAGACCCGGCTGCGGGAGAAGAAGCCCGGCGACCTGTCGGAGGAATTGCGCACTGCGCTCGGCATGCCGGTGGGCCCCGGGTCCCACAAGGTTCATATTGTTTTCTATTTATTCATTACCCGTATTAAAATTATCCCTTTAGTTACTATTAATTAAGATAATTTATACGAATGAAGTATTTATTTTTGAATTACTACTCAATGAGGACATTGTTTTTTGTAGTATATCATTTAAATAGCGATATACCCCCGCATTTGAGTTTGGTAATGCCTAATAGTAGCTACGTGTTATTTACAGGTCATGTTCTGTCGGTATAATAAATTTTATATAAATCTAAAATTTAATTATAACAATATGAAATCACTACAATACAATTAAATAGATATAAGATAAAAAAAAAATAACGTGTGTATGTACTTAAGAACGCGCGTAAGAAGTTATACTTCTTTGGCATAACAGAGCAAAAATAGTTAAAGATGTCATCCCGTATGTCACAACTCTCTGTTTGTAAAAGGTTTTTTCCAAACGTGCCAAAAGAAGTATACCTTCAAAAATATAACAAAAAATGTTAATATAGGTTAAATTAAAATCATTCGTCATATAATGGGATGATATGGTGTCCGAGCAGGTTCCGCCGCCGTGGCTGATCGCGCAGCAGCGCTACGGGCCTCCGCCCTCGTACCCCAACCTCAAGATCCCGGGGCTGAACGCGCCCATCCCCGAGGGCTGCGCCTTCGGCTACCACGCCGGCGGCTGGGGCAAGCCGCCCGTGGACGAGACCGGCAAGCCGCTGTACGGCGACGTGTTCGGGCACCAGAGCAGCGGACAGGACGTGAGTGTTCATGTGGAATTAATATTAGCGAGCTGCTTTTGCTTTGGTTAAGATCCTTACTAATTTATACAATTGAAGTCCTTACTTTTATATATTATTTCCTAACTTTTAAATATTATATGCTAGTAAATATACATATCTATCTATCTACCTATATATCTATCATCTATGTATCTATTATCTATCTATTTGGTCTACTAGCGATTTTACACAAAATTTAATATATCTTAAAGTATTTACAATTTACATTACATGCATAGATTATGTAAAATCATTTAAAGGTAAACACTATAAGCCAGTTTCGCTTATTATTACTTAATAAATCCAAAAGTGAGTTAAGAACAGAAACCAACCAATACCAAAGACAAACAAAAAAATAATACAAAAGTAATTTGGTAAAAGTCTGTAAAATCTTATCAATTCAAATAGTTTGAAAGTTAATTTTCTTTAGTGAAACTAATAATTAATTACTTATTTGAAATTCTAGGATGCTGAAGATCAAGACATTGATAGGACGATGTGGGGAGAGCTGGAATCTGAATCTGAGGAGGAATCAGAAGAAGGTATGTATATATATTTTTTTACTACTTGACTAGCTTGTGCGTATGAGAGGCGCAGGACTAATATGACACATTCTTAACGAGGCACGGGGGCGTAACACTATCAAATTTTCAATTATAGGTTGTTCATAAAAAAAAATTGGTAGCAAAACCCATTGACTTAGCCCAACCCGGCACTCAAACCCAAGACCTCCACACGTATGGTTACACTGGACCAACGAGTTAATTATAATATATAATAATAGAATATCAGCATTTTAATAATACTAAATGTATGTAAAAATATGTAAACACTAAACTATTATTTTTGTTTTTTTTGTGGCTTTATTTTGAATTTTAATTCCCGACCGTTCGAGCTTTAATTCCCGACGATTCTAGCAATCATGGTAACGGGAGATATATTCGCGTAAATCTAAGAAAGTATCACTACATAGTATAAAGCAAAGTCGCTTCCCGCTGTATGTCTGTCCCTATGTATGCTTAGATCTTTAAAACTACGCAACGGATTTTGATGCTTTTTTTTAATAGATAGAGTGATTCAAGAGGAAGGTTTTAGTATATAATTTGTTAAGTTTTTGTATATATTGGCTAAAATGTAACGACATTTGTTGGAGGTGTTGGAAAAAAAATTTGCCGTCTGGGAGCTTTTAACGAAAACGCCGCCGAAACCCTTTGAGATATAACAAAATAATGTATGGTGGAATTGTGTATCTTATATAGGTCCACAGAAAAGTCCACGATTGCTTAAGTCTATCTCTTAAGGATAACATACTATATCCATTTTAATTTAAAACGTAAGTAGGGACGAATCTAGTTATATAATATTGTGGTTGGTTGGGAACTAAAAATCAAAATAAATCCGCAAATAATCCGAAAAGAAATTTTTTATTTAAAATGATATATATTCGTGTAAATCTAAGAAAGTATTAATATTGTGGTTGTTATGTTGTTGCAGAGGAGTCGGACGATGGCGAGGCGGTGGGCGAGGCGGAGGCGGCGGCGGGCGCGGCCACGCCCGGCGAGGGGCTCGTCACGCCGCTGGGCACCAGCTCCGTGCCGCCCGGCGTCGAGACGCCCGACACCATCGAGCTGCGTAAGAAGAAGCTGGACTCTGACGTTGAAGGGTACGCGCGTGCTTGTGTGCGTGCGTGTGTGTGTATATATATACGAAAGACGCCCGACGAGCCATATAGGCGTTGACGTAATATATAGGTTAATGTAATCAAAATAATACAGGATATTCGTGCGTGATAGTTCATAATCTTTCATACTGCAATAGTCAGACTGATTTATGACCTTCAGTATACAGATAGATTATGATTTGGAGTAACCCATAGGTTACGGTTAGGCAACTAGGGATATACACAAGTAACATAAGGTTAAACCTTTAGTTAGAGTAATAATAAAAAGTCTAGATTTTAATTAGTGTATATTTTTAAGGGAAATTATGAATCCTGCATATACAGAATAGATCAGAAATGGCGGCTCATTGAACTTAAATAGACCATCAGAATGACGTATAACTGTATGTTTTGTTATTAGAAATATTTAAGATTTGTTTTATCATCAATAGTGGCGACACTCCAGCGCTATACCAGGTGCTGCCGGAGCGGCGCGTGGGGCTGACGGCCGGCATGATGGCGTCCACGCATGTATACGACATCAACGCGGCTAATCCCGGTAAAAATAAAAATTATATCAAAAGCAGCCATAAGAATTGCCGTCAAAAGTGAAAACTTAAAATTATAAACACTTTTCACTTAAAACTAAAATCACTTTCCCGTTCAATATTACACTCCCTTTTGCTAATAACTTCTTCATGGCCTGTCGAATGTTATGAAAATATATGACAGATGCTGATGTGTACTGCGCAAGTTTTTGTTTTCATTTACTAGAGAAAAATAATTTGTAGTGAAATGAAAATTTTAATTAAACTTTGATATATGATTTGATTGTTTTATATAATTATTTTTAGTAATGTAAATGGTTTTTTTTTTAATATAATGATTATGATCTGAAAGAATAAAATAATAAAACACGATAACCATTTCTCATCAGGTGAATAGTTTGCTCGTTTGTCCTTTTTTTTTTAAATGATATTGCTGTGTGCAGGTAAACGTGCAGCAGCGAGTACAGGCACGACCAGTGAGGCGGCGGGCGGTGTGGAGGTGACCTTGGACCCGTCCGAGCTGGAGCTGGAGCCCGAGGCGGTGGCGGCGCGCTACGAGCGGCACCTGCGGGAGCACCGCCCCAAGGGCCGCGAGGACCTGTCCGACATGCTGGCTGACCATGTTGCTAGGCAGAAGGTAGATGAGCTAGGGTTTTGTATTGATTAAAATAATCGTATAGATTATAGACAGAGTGTCATACAACTAAACATGAATTTAACAAAAATGTCTGAAATGTTAGTGTTGTAAGAGTTGGTATAATCTCCCGAAAAAAAAGAATGGACTTAAAATTTACTTTTCTTAAAATATTTTGTTTTATATTTACAACACAATACTAGTTTACGAAAAATAGAAGATAAACATCATATCAAGATTTCCCCTGCCTTAAAAAAATAAGCTTTGTCTTAGTTACTACCAGCACCATACGCCCAGCATATAAAATTAGTTTTCTATACCGTGAGAATTTCTTGCTTTTTTCACAGGATGAAATGTATCTAATCACTTTTTGTCAGATAGACATTTCTAAAGGTTGCATAGGCTGCGAGTGCGGTATCCTGCAAATTCGATTTTTTTAACAAATTGCCAAATTTCAATCATTTAAACTCAATTTATGAAAGCAAACTATTTTGACGCTATTATTAATACATATATAATATATAAATGAAGTATTTATATAAATGTTTATACTATACATTGTTTTTTTTCCTGTGTTACAGAATAAACGGAAGCGTCAACAAAATACCGATTCCAAGCAAGCGAAGAAATATAAGGAATTCAAGTTTTAAATGTATATCTTTGTATAGGACAAAGTTTTTAATCATAAGTGAATATGTGATTGCTAATGGTCTATGTCACCTGGCTAAATAAAGTAGTCAAAAATCGTTTCTTTTTTATTTATTACGTTTTGACGTATAAAAATGGCTGTAAATTCATTAAATATTGGTCAGAGAACTATTTTTTACGGGTCAGCCCTTTATTCTCCCTACTTTTTGCAGTTTGCTCAAAAAAATTGAAAAAGAACTATTCATTCAAAAAACTGAACTTTGATGACTCCTACTAGCAAATCAGTGCGAGTAACACAAAAAACACTAGAGCAATTTCGAAGAGCGTGAAATTCCCTTTAAGGGCCATCAAACCGATTCACAATATTGTAGAAAGTGGCTAAGCATTAGAAATTAAAAAAAAATACATTTTTTTATATGCAATTTTTATGGGAAAACTTCAAATTTAAATAGTAAGTACTTAAATTTGATATTAAGAGATTAAACTTTTTAAGATTTTTTTCTATATGTAGATTAAGATTTTGCTTGAGCACCAAGATTTTTTTTCTTTGGCGGAAATGAATTACCCTAATGTTATTATTATATTAATTATACTAGCTGTGTAGTAGTATTATACTACCTGAACCCGCGACTACGCCCGCGTTTAATCTACATAACAATCTTTAGCTTTACGTTATACAGCGGCTCAACCTCGCTTCGCTCGGGTTCGTCGCTATGTATGTATAAGGTTGTTCATACGAAAATACTAAAATCGCGATTAAAAAATGGGGGGTGGGGGTGGGAGGGTGAAAAATACTTTACGATCTATTCTCATACTTACCGAATATACAAAAAAAATATCATTAAATCGGTCGAGCCGTTTCGAAGAAGTATGACCACAAGTCCATGACAATAAGGGTTATATACTCTATAGTAGGGAAGCCCAGGAGGGGATTTTTGGAGTTACTCAAGCGCGGCAGATTAACTTAAGGTATTCCACCTTGCACTCTCTTTAGAACCTCCACCATAATATGAGTCCTATATATAAGGTCGTGCGTCTAGGGCAGCCAATCAAAATACATATTTAAAGAATATTTTGATAAGGTAGAAATGCACGAAACTATCAGATTAAAGTATGGTGGGCTAATTACATCCTGAAAAGTGTGCAATTTAATAATCTGCCGATTTGCACAAGCCGACGAGGCAAAAATTGACTATAAAGTTTATGTACGATTTTCGGCTCTTGCCTGGAAGTTAGTATTTTTTTTTCAAGTTTTTTTTTTCTATTTTTAGTGTATACGTATAAGCAGGTAATTTCTAAGTAGGATATTTTTTAATAACATATTCAATTGAGCCATTTTTGTATTTAAAAATAATTTATTATGTGTCTCTCCAAAAACACACAGCATTGAGATGAAGAAGCAGCTCTGTGATTTGTCAAAATATCGAGAATACAGATTAAAAAACATACCTGAATCCATTAAAGCTTGATAATTAGGTTACCTGCGCGCGCAAGCATCCGCTTGCCGCCTTTTTAGCTGTCAAGTGTCATAGCGTTTTGTGATTTGGGAGAATTTACATCAAAAAGTGAGAAAAGTAGATGTAAATTAAATTTGAGTAAATTTTCAGTGAATTTTATGAAAAAGGAGATATTGGTAAGCATTGTTCATATTTAATTAAAAGAAATAAAATGGAACCTATGCGTTATGAGGACCTAGAGGCTGGTCGAGATTCCGTTGCTCCGGATGGAGAACATATCTCGACCTCGAGCTCGGAAGCTTCGGGGAGCAGCTCCTCCTCTTCCTCGGAGATCGAGGAGGTCTTGGCGTCACCCTTGCCTAACAAACGTCCTAGAACGCATAAACGAAAGTTAGATCCTCGGGTAGATACTTTAATGTCTCAGATGTCTTATATATCTAATTACTTAACACAATTACCAGCTTATATGAGTAGGTATCCACAAGATAGGGAAATCACACCTAGTAGTAGTACTAATTCTGAACAGTTTCTTATTAATCCTAATCAACCGGGGACTAGTGTGTTACCAGAAACATTAACATTAACTCTGGGTAATTTAGGTACAGACTTTGATAATAGAAGCATTATTCCACCTAGTGAACGTCTCTCTGAATTAAATAAGTTACAGCAGTTTGATTCTCCGGCTTGGAAGGCTATTAGATATAAGAGATCACTTCAGGATAGTCTAGCTTTTCCTGGGTTTGTAGGTTTGAAGGTTAATGATGAGTTATGCCACTTTAATAAAAAAAAAGATTATTTAGCTGCTACAGAACTCTTACTAGCAGGATTATCTAATAGGGTTTTAGAGCAGAGACAATTATTGAGAATGGGCTTGCAATCTATACTAGACTGGGCCGTAGCCAATCCAAAGGATTTTAGCGTAAATTCTTTGTTTGAAAAAATATCAGGAACCTTTGGCCCAGGTTCTGCGAGTCATAAAAATTCAGAGATAACTATGCAAATAATATGTGGCAAGCGGTCAGAGTGTATTGAAATTAGGCGTGAACGAATATTAAAAGAAATTGGTAATCGGAATCTTAAAGTAACTTTGCAGAATATTCCTCCTCATCATCATCATCATCATCATGTTCAGCCTGTTTTCGTCCACTGCTGGACATAGGCCTCTCCTATGGCACGCCACTGAGCTCGATCTTCAGCTCTACGCATCCAACCGCTGCCAGCCAGTTTACGTATGTCGTCGCTCCACCTAGCTGGAGGGCGTCCTACACTACGTTTGCCGAGCCGTGGTCTCCACTCTAGAACCCGTCTACTCCAATGGTCATCGGTTCTGCGACATATGTGACCAGCCCACTGCCACTTCAACTTGCTAATTCTTTGGGCTATGTCGATGACTCTGGTTCTCTGTCGGATCTCTTCATTTCGAATCCGATCCTTCAGAGAAACTCCGAGCATAGCCCTCTCCATAGCACGCTGAGCGACCTTAAATTGGTGGACCAATCGCACCGTCAGTGTCCACGTCTCGGCTCCGTATGTCATAACAGGTAGGACGCACTCGTTAAAGACCTTTGTCTTTAAGCTTTGTGGTATTGGCGACGAAAAGACCCGACGGAGTTTATTGAATGCTGCCCATCCCAGCTGTATTCTTCTTTGAGCTTCTTTCTCGAAGTAGTTTTTACTGACTTGCAGTAATTGCCCAAGGTAGATGTAGTCTTGTACTACTTCGAGAGTTGTTCCATTGAGAGCAATCGGTCCCGGTGTTACATGTGTATTGAACATGACCTTGGTTTTGTCCAAATTCATCCGGAGACCGATGTGTTTTGAAGAATCAGCTAGGCTTTGCAGCATGTGTTGCAGGTCTTCCACGGTTTCAGCCATGATGACGATGTCGTCTGCAAATCTCAAGTGCAAAATGTACTCACCGTTTATGTTTATTCCACGTCCTTTCCAGTCCAGACTCTTAAACATATCCTCCAGTGCAGTTGTGAACAATTTGGGGGAAATTACGTCCCCTTGTCTCACTCCTCGATGCAGGAAGATAGGTTCAGACTGCTGGTTCTGGACTTGGACGGACATTGTTGCGGCGTCATACAGACATTTCAACACTTGAATATATCGCCAATCGACTTGGCACCGTTGCAAAGACTCTAAAACAGACCAGGTTTCGATAGTGTCAAAGGCTTTCACATAGTCTACAAATGCTAGACACAAGGGCTCATTATACTCTTCTTGCTTCTGTATAATCTGCCGCACTGTGTGAATGTGATCTATGGTGCCGTATCCACTTCGAAAACCAGCCTGTTCAGAGGGTTGGAAATCGTCGAGTCTACGCGTGAGACGATTCGTGATAACTCTAGAAAACAACTTATAGATATGGCTTAAGAGAGAGATAGGTCGATAGTTTTTCAGCAGGGTTTTGTCACCCTTTTTGAAGAACAAGACGACCAAACTCGTGCTCCATGCCTTAGGAGTTCTCCCCGAAAAGAGGACGGAATTAAATAAGCGCTGGAGTTGTTTTAGCGCAGGAGTTCCACCTGCTTTTAGGAGCTCCGTTGTAATTCCATCCTCCCCGGGGGCTTTTCCATTTTTAAGTTGTTTTAGAGCCAACACGATTTCGTCTAGGCTGACTTCTGGCAGGTCTTCTGTGTAGTGGCGGGTAAGCGTGGCTCTGGGATCTTCGTTATTAGACGTGGGACGGGGCGCTTGCGATGTATATAGGCGACCATAGAAGTCCTGAACTTCTTTCAGAAGATCTTCCTCCTAGTGCAGAGCATTTGCTTAGTAGGGAGGCCCTAGGGTCAATTATACAGTCTCTTGGAGGTTCTCAGGTCTGGCTAAACACTCCATCTTATGTGAAAGATAAGAAGGTATTGGATCGAGTAGAACATACTGATATATCTTTAAATAAAAAATATAGAAATAGGGTTAGAGTTAAAAGATCTGAAAAGAAGTTTAGACATACAATAAAGGGGGATCAGCCCTTTCGTCAACGTCAACGTGAGGCCAATAGGGGGGCCTCCAGCGCCAATAATAAACAGGCATAGAGTTCAACGGAACTTCAGGGGGGGGGGGGTGCCTAAGATTGTCCATAAACGTATGGAGTCGCATGGGTGCCAATCAGTTCGTTTTAAATTCAATAGCCAATTGCCGGTTGCCATTCAAAATGAAACCTCCTCTGAAGTTCCCATCCAGGCAGATTTTAAAGGCCTTAGCTACTCGAGTAACTCCAAACATGACTCGGACAATTCAAGAATTAAAAGACCAGGGTATTCTGGAGAGACCACCAACTCTAGACCCTGGATTCTTTTCAAAGACTGATGGGGGACTACGTCCCATTTTCGACCTCAGAGCCTTAAATACTCACATAGTGACAAAGCATTTTCATTTGATATCTCAGGTAGATGTAATAAGTTTTCTTCAGGCCAATGATTGGCTGGTAAAGATATTCACCAAGCCTATTTTCATTTGTGCATGGCAGAGGCACACAGACGATTCCTCCGTGTCATTTACGATGGCGAGATCCTCCAGTTGACAGCCTTGCCGTTTGGCCTGTCTTCAGCCCCCCGTACCTTTGCAGCGGTGTCGAACTGGGTTGCGGAAACCCTGCGAAACCGAGGTATTCGTTTGCTGGTGTATCTGGACGATTACCTGTTAGTATGCCAGGACAGATCCAAGTTGATTGCTCAGGTTGCGGAAACGCTGGCAACCTTGGAGTCTCTGGGTTGGCATGTAAATTACCAAAAGTCGGTGATAGAGCCCACACAAGAGCTGCAATATTTAGGCCTGGTTTGGAATACCCAAAACTTAACGTTAGCTCTGCCAACCCAGAAGGTCCTCAGAATAAAGAGGACTCTGTCAAAGTTGTTAGAGAGGAACAACTGCTCTCTAAGGGAACTTCAAAGTGTGTTAGGCATGTTAAATTTCGCCAACCACGCAGTCCCTCAAGGTCGACTACACTGTCGCAAAGCACAACTTTTTCTAAAGAAGTTCACCCGGAGCGGTCGGAAAAAGGATTTGTGCCCCAGCGTGCGACAAGACCTAATGTGGTGGTTGGATGCAATAGACTGCAGTCCAACTCCACTTTGCAAGAAGGAAGTGACACACTTCTTAACCACAGACGCAGCGGATGCGGGCTGGGGAGCACATTTAAACAACCAGTACCTATCAGGGAGATGGGCTCCAAATCAAAGACCTTGGCACTCCAATCTAAAGGAGATGTACGCAGTCTTCGCTGTGATCAAGTCACAGGGTATTCTTTTGAGGAACGCACACATACTGGTGCAGTCAGACAATCGGACCCTAGTCGCCTACATTCGAAATCAGGGTGGGACTCGGTCCATGAACCTTCTAGGCCTAACTACGAGGCTGTTAGAGGTAACCAATTCCCTCAACATAACAATGACAGCATTTTACCTACCAGGGCGGTTAAACGGGATCGCAGATCGCTTGTCAAGGGGAAAGCAAGTACCCGAGTGGCATCTGCTACCACCAGCCACGGAGGCTATATTCGAAAAGTGGGGAATCCCAGAAGTAGACCTGTTCGCATCCAAAGAAACCGCCGTAGTAAAAGCCTATGTAACGCTAGACTCAAGAGATGGGTCATCTCTTTTTTGCGACGCCTTCAGCCGCGATTGGGAGTTTCAGGTCGCCTGGGTGTTTCCTCCTCCCAGCCTGATTCCCAGGGTCTTAGCACATCTCAACAAGGCAAGGGGAACTTACTTGCTAATAGTGCCTCAGTGGACGCAATGTTTTTGGTATCCAGACCTCCAGGCGAGAGCTCTGACCAGTCCCATTCTCATAGAGAACCTGCGGAAGGTTCTTGTCGATTGGACAACAGGGACGAGTCCCCCACAAGTAGACAAGTTAGTTCTTCAGGCTTGGAAAATTGGGGGTGGGCAGACCAAATAACAGATTGGAGTAAAGATGAGAGACAACTATTCCAGAGCAGTTGGCGTCCATCCACGCTAGATACTTATAGTGCTCCATTAAAAAGATGGTTGTTATGGTGCCAGGATAATGAGGTCAATAGTAAGTGTCCAGAAGGGAAAGTTGTAGCTAGATTTTTAGCTAATCTTTATTTAAAAAATAAATTGGCATATAGTACTATATTATTACATAAATCAGCCATATCGACTTATTGTGCAGCCACAGTAGAGAATTTATCTAAGAACTTTTTTATCCAACAAGTTTTAAAAGCAATTTCAATTTCTAGACCACAAAAATCTAAACTGCCCATATGGGATGTTAATTTGTTATTTAACTGGTTAAAGTCAACATCATGTTCTAGTTCATTGTTTGATAAAAGTAGAAGGACCTCTTTAATATTATTACTAGCTTCTGGTCGTAGGTTACACGATCTAACCCTTCTGGAAGTTTCTAAGGATAAATTTATTGAAACAGAAAATAACATAACATTTTGGCCAAGGTTTGGTTCTAAGACTGACTCAGGAACCTACAGACAATCTGGTTGGTTCCTTACAAAGCACCAAGACCATCGCATATGTCCTGTAACTCATGTGAAAGACTTAGTGAAGGCCTCGGAGGTCAGACGCAGGATGGGAAAGAACTTACAATGTCTTTTCATCACAGTGACGGGACAGGTGAAGCCAGCATCCAGAACTGTTATTTCTGGGTGGCTGCGTTCAGTGTTTAAGCAGGCCAAGATAGATGAGTCGCCAGGAAGCATCAGGTCTGCTGTAGCATCTCGGGGATGGCTAGATAATAGACCAATACAGGAGATTCTGGAGCGAGGAAATTGGCATTCTGGACCACAATGTTGAATTTGCAAAATGTTGGATTCTTACGATGTTGAATTCGCAAAATGTTGACTCCCAAAATGTTGAATTCGTAAAAAGTTGAATTTACTGAACCCACAATGTTGAATTCCTAAAACGTTGAGTTCGCTAAAAGTTGAACTTGCAATATGTTTTTTTAACAATCTTTTTTTGATGAACAAAGGTTGGCTGGAAAAGATCTCTTCTAGAGATAAGTCCACCTTTGCATAAAACTATTATATTAAAATGTCTGTATATTGTAAGTGCAATAAAGAATATTTTATTATATAAGTATGTTGAATCCCAAAACGTTAATGCAAAAAAGTTGTATCCTAACGATCCGAAAAACAATATACATAAGTACAATCTGAATTGCATAAAAAATGAATTGAAATGAATTTTCATGTGCTTTTTATGAATATTGTTCTGTACTTACTTTAATAAATGAAAATGTAACACAAAACTTGTTTTTTTGTTCGATGTAATTTGTTTTTCGACTTTTGCTTTTCACTATGTCATGTTCATACAACAAGGAACAATAATGCTCCCTACTTATCAAATTGTGATCATATTAAACCACTGCTCTTCAAAATAATGTAGAAAATTGTGCTAATTTTCTAAATCAGGGGCAGTATCTACAATATGCCGCCAGTCTTCTGTCATATACGTCGGTGAAAGTAACACAAAATAAGAGCACAATCGTACTACTATATTTCTATCATATTTATATTCAAGACTATTGGAGGATATTTTTTTGACCAAGTGACATTGCATTGCCCTTTTTCCAAACTGGGGTGGTAACGAACAATAACTATAAATATCGCAGATAAAAATTCATTTCAATTCAGATTGTATTTATATGTATATTGTTGTTCGGATTGTTAGGATACAATTTTTTGTGTTCAAAATTTAGGATTCAACATATTGCAAGTTCAACTTTTAGCGAACTCAACATTTTAGGAACTTGTCATTGTGGGTCCAGTAAATTCAACTTTTTACGAATTCAACATTTTGGGAGTCAACATTTTGCGAATTCAACATCATAAGAATCCAACATTTTGCAAATTCAACATTGTGGTCCAGAATGGAAATTGGAAATGTGTAGAAACATTTAAAAAAATTTACTGTAGAGAGGTAGATAGATCCTTCACTTCTAACAGTGATTGTACTGACTTATACAATAATTTTAAGACTGTTTAAAAGTATAAAGTGATAATTGATTTCAATTTTTATTTGTTATAGTTAAGAATTTATTATTATTATTTTTTATTACACAGAGTGTAATTATTTATTATCTTTTTAAAGTGATTTATGTTTGTTATGGTTGCTTAAAACATTGAAGTTTAATAATTATTTTGATGATTCTAATAATAAGATGTGAATTTTATTACACAAGGAGTAATAATTATTTAATTTGTAGCTATGTTGAGATAACTTTAAATGTTTAAGTTTGTTTTTAATATTGTTTTATAAGTAATTTCCTGCATATAATGAGAAATTTGGATTATATGAAAAAAGGTTAAATTAAATATTTAGACAATTAAAGAGGTCTTTTTCTTTTATGATCTTATTCATAATATAATTGTTTATTCATTCACATAGCGTTTTGTGCAGATAATTTTGGTCACCAGCAGATATCAAACAGGTCTTCATCTCAATGCTGTGTGTTTTTGGAGACACATAATATAACTGTTTTGCATTACAACAAAACAGGTATTGTGTAGGAGAAAACACACAGCATTGATTCAAGGTGCTTGCTGGCGATGAAGACGCTATGACACTTGACAGCTAAAAACAGTATATATAAGTTACTTTATGGCTAAAAAGGCGGCAAGCGGATGCTTGCAGGTAACCTACCTACCCTACCCCAGCCTGCAAATTTATGATATTTGCAATGAAAAAAATACTAATCGATAGATTTTCAATAGCTCAATTTAACTACGTAGCCCTTTCAAATTGCTCACCTTTAATTATTTAATTAAAAATCAATAAAGTCTTTGAAAAAAAATTAATTTATCTGTATATTCAAACTCCTATATCTTTTGATGTATACAATATTTCAAATTGCTCAAAGTTCTAAAACACTGCTCAAGTTGCATTTGTAATTGCTCAAGTAGAGTTTTTACCAGCTCCACTTTCGCTGATTATTAAATAATTAAAAGTATAGTTGTAATAAATGTAACGTAGGTTAAGTGAGCGTGCGCATGCGCACCGCGCATTGTCGGTCGGCCTCGGCGGGCTTGGACAATCGTTCCAATTCAACGTCTTAATTCTGTTTCTCGGTGGATTTCTTTAAATTTATTGAATTTATGAATTGTTCACATTACGTGATTCCACTTCAGATATTATAACATAAAGAACAGATCTTGAATCTACCAATAAATGAAAATTACTGCGCAGCACTCACCTATCTATACGTTAAATTTATTCAAACTATTTATATTTATTTAATAATTAAGGAAAGTGGAGCTGGTGAGAACTCTACTTGAGCAATTACAAATGCAACTTGAGCAGTATTTTAGAACTTTGAGCAATTTAAAATATTGTATATATCAAAAGATATAGAAATTTGAATATAGGGATAAATGAATTTTTTTCAAGGACTTTATTGATTTTTAATTTTATAATTAATGGTGAGCAATTTGGAAGGGCTACGTAGTTGAATTGAGCTATTAAAAATCTATCCATTAGTATTTTTTTCATTGCGAATATCATAAATTTGCAGGCTGGGGTAGGGTAGGTAGGTAACCTAATTATCAAGCTTTAATGGATTCAGGTATGTTTTTTAATCTGTATTCTCGATATTTTGACAAATCACAGAGCTGCTTCTTCATCTCAATGCTGTGTGTTTTCTCCTACACATAATACCTGTTTTGTTGTAATGCAAAACAGTTATATTGTTAGTTTTTTAAAAATCGTTTGACAGATTTTGATAAAATTTAAATGTGGCCACCTGAGAAGTATACCCTTTGAAACAAAAAAGAATTTTCCAAATTAGTGAACATACGTACATAAAAAAATATACCGGTGAATTGAGAACTTCCTTCTTTTTGGAAGTCGGTTAATGAAAAAAAATCCATCCACGTTAAAGAGCAACATACTGGGGGCCATAGTGATCGCGACATCTGGTGGAAAAAAGGCAAAATTCTTTCCTATTATTGAATATGTTTATTGATCTAGCGAGTAGCAACACTGAAATAATAAACTTTTTAAGTTTTAACTTGTTGAATGTTGGACTTCGCTCTGACGGACTTGATACATTTTTGTTTTTATTAATTTTACATCTATTACTTTAGTGTTATTGTACAGTTTTATATTTATAAGCAAAATGGCTCGTGTTTTAGTTGGTGTTAAGAGAGTTATTGATTATGCAGTTAAGGTAAGCATAATGATAGTTCAAAGGTTATTTTACTTGCTAATTTTCGATTATTTAGCCAACAATATTTTTTAATAGATTCCAATTTTGCTTTAAAAATTATAAATAAAATTTATTGATAATAATCTGCGGTTCGGTCATTATTTTTACCAAATTTTAAAACAGTAATTAGAGGTTAATCAAAGAAGCATTATTTGATAGTACACAAATAAAATTCATATCTAAATGTCTATAATACTTTCTTTTATAAGTTAGTTTAATGTGATTGTAACAAGATAAATTTTGTCTTACGTAAAGCACGTCATTGGCATTTGGCACCTTCTGTAAACTTTTGAATACTAATCTGCCATAATAATTAACATAATATCAAATTAATATAATATATTTCATATTAAATAGATTTTAATATTGTTTCTCCATTTATTTATAGATTCGTGTGAAACCAGACAAGTCAGGTGTAGTGACTGATGGAGTGAAGCATTCAATGAACCCATTCGATGAAATTGCAGTTGAAGAAGCTGTAAGGATGAAAGAAAAGAAGTTGGCTAGTGAAGTTATTGCAGTTTCTTGTGGCCCCGCTCAATCACAGGTAGATAATAGAAATAATGAAATAAATTGAGAAAAATAATTGGGATTAGTATAATAATTAGCTCGTTGTAATAGAGTGAAAACCGAGTACCTAAAATGTAAATGAAATTGTTTCATTTTTAGGAAACTTTAAGAACCGCTTTAGCAATGGGTGCTGATCGTGCCATTCATGTAGAAGTTGCAGGTGCCGAGTATGAAACATTACAACCCCTCCATGTGGCAAAAATTTTAGCTAAATTATCACAAGATGAAAAAGCAGATCTAGTGATTGTTGGAAAGCAGGTATGTTTACAGTATATATGAAATCTTATGTACCCTTTCTGTCATCCAGTTGTAAAATGATTCACAAACATACACATTATACCCATATTTTATAGTATTTTAATTACTGTACTATATCCCTTTTTTTTAATCTTATAAATCTCAATATGCCCATTACATTATGATGCCACTTTTGATATTTTATTGGTAGTCTGAAACATTCCAGGTATGCAAAAAAAAATATAATTCATCAGAGTTGTAGTTATCAGATCAATGAAGAATGCATGTTATACAAACATACATTTTTTTTATATACTATGTATATATGTATTCATTTATAAATGATCATTTGTAAACTTGTTAATAAATTAGTATTACTAAAAAACCAAATTAATTTGTTCTTGTATAAAGTTATAAATTTCTTTATATCTTCACAGGCCATTGATGATGACTCCAATCAAACTGCACAAATGACTGCCGCTTTTCTTGATTGGCCTCAAGGAACATTTGCCTCAAAGGTGAAATTTTCTCTTAAATCACCCATTTTAAGTTAATTTTCAAATATGATAACACATTTTTTTATATAAACATGTCCAAGTTCATGCTTAGATAACCTTTTATAGATATGATGAAGTATTCTTAGCAGAAGCTTAGTTCTATATGAATATCTCACATTTTTTTATATAAACATGTCCAAGTTCATGCTTAAATAACCTTTTATAGATATGATGAAGTATTCTTAGCAGAAGCTTAGTTCTATATGAATATCTCAATTTACAGATAAAGGGTATTTATTATAAAATTATTCTCATTTGGAGTTAAATAAGTTTATATGATAAAAATGTCACTGTCTAACTTGAAGAATAGGGCTTTTAAGGAGAGAAAAGAGTTTAATTTAGCAAAGTTGTTTGTTATCAAATGAAGACTCCAACTTATTAATTCAAATCAATAATATTTTTCAAGAGTATGTATGTAGAAAAATTTAACATTTACGTACTTTGTTATTTTAGGTGGAAAAAACTGATACTGGTTTGCAAGTAACTCGTGAAATTGATGGAGGTCTTGAGACGATTAAGATTAAACTACCTGCAGTACTTAGTGCTGATCTTAGGCTGAATGAACCCAGATATGCCACACTGCCTAACATTATGGTGTGTAAAACATTTGTTTTTGGTCTATGTAGCATATTCACTAATATTTAGATTAAATATATATTTCTGACTTGTTGACAACACATTTGGCTCAGTTTGTAGTGACCCTACTTGCTGTGCCAGTGGTTTCAGGTTCGAGTCCCGCTGGGGGCATTCATTTGTGTGACGAGCAGGAATGTCTGTACTCCAGTCATGGGTGTTTATATATTTATAATATGTTACTATGTATTTAAAGTTATATATGTGTAGTTTATCAACTATCTGGTATCCATAACTAACTCAAGCCTCGTAGCTTACCATGGAACTAGATGGTGCTGTGTATATATATTTATTATTTGTGTATGAAGTAGAAACTATTTATCAATTATATTTGTCATATGTCAGGGTTCTTTTATAAATAAAATATATCTTACAGAAAGCCAAGAAGAAGCCCATGAAGAAAGTTAGTGCTAAGAATCTTGGTGTAGACCTGACTCCAAGAATCAAAGTGATTAGTGTGGAGGATCCCCCCGTCAGACAGGCAGGTTCTATAGTGCCCGATGTGGACACTCTTATAGCTAAGCTTAAGGAAGGTGGACATGTTTAAAACAACACAAACTGCTCACCTGTTTATTTCCTCTGTATAGTAATTTTAAAGAGATGAAAGTCATTTTGTACATGATATTTTGGATCAATGTAGGTCTATTTTTAAATACATTTTGTAGAGTTTATACAGTAGTTTTATTTTAGTGTTATTATAAAAATTACATTATTCGATCTACTTAACAATAATATACATTCCTACATTAACATAAGTGATTAATTGATATTGAAAATATATACATATATTGAGCAAAAATTAACAAAACGGATTTACTAAGAGCTGCCACAACTGTACTTAATATTACCAATTCATGATAATAAAAAAATAGTTCAATTACAATTATAATCACTTGCCTTAATGTAAAAATGCACAGGACCATATAATAATTACATGAAAAGCCTGCTTTTAGCTATGTCCATTTATCTTCATGTTCCGTTTATACTAGTCAATTTTAATGTCATCCACACAATACATAATGAGCGCTAGCTATAAAATAATTAACTGAACACAACAAGTCTGTGAAATGAAAGAACCCAAACAGATAATGAAATTTTTAAGTATCGTAGCAGGTGACTTAGTATATTTTGCCCACAATGGGTAAAGGAGCGATCATCTGTCTGGATCTTGCTTTGAATGAATCGTAGACGCCGTTGTCACGTGGCGTCGGGGTCGGTACTGTTAGTAACATGATTCCCCACTGAATGGTTCGTACCAGACAATTTTCCCTTCAAGACAGCCAGTGACTAAGAGGTGATGACGAGGACTGAACTTGGAACTGACGACAAGGTCCTGATGGATGCCCAGGCTTTGGCCTATGTCTACCATTTGAGCTGGTCCGTTGAAGTCCTGGACGCAGTGGGACAGTTCAGCGCAATTTTCATTTAGAGCTAGGAGGCGCATGCCGCGGCCGAACGGCGAACAGACGAGTCGACCATCCGCCGAGAAACATAATTCCTGATATTAAATAAATCAAAATTAGTCCCAATTGCTTCTATATCATAAAAAAATCTCGTATCACATTTGAAAATGTTCCCTACGAACAACTAATATTTCTTCTTATTAAGTAAATTATATTCTTTTTGAGAGATAAATTTATCATAAAATTGGGGCATATAAGGCAAGGTTATGTTCAAATAAAAAAAAGAGATTATTTAAATGCTTTATAAAAGAAGTTTGAAGACCACTGCACAATTTTTTTATTTAATTATGTATTTGACTTATTATAGTGCTTATTTTATTAATAAGACAGAAACGACGTTTATGAGGTGGGCGATAATGGCTGCGATAAAATATTATACTAACGTAAAACTTATTGTCTTTTAGTCGTTCTTGTTATTAACTGAACGTTTTTAAATAAGTAAATTAGACTAAACAATATATAGCAAATGATGTGAAACAAATAGTTGTACCTTAATAAACCCTTTCCCTTCATTAGTCTCTTCTACATAGTACAGGAGGCGGTCGCGGTTCTGGCGGATGAAGTGCGGGATCTCTTCCTCCTCACACATGTTGCTCTCACGCCATGTCTGTCCCGACGTGGAGGGCAGGGTGCTAAATAAAGTATAAACTTTTATTTTAGCAGAGCCTTTCTATATTATAATATTTTTAAAAGAATTTATAACATTATTATTCTAAATTTGCAAGTTTGTGTGTATGTTTGTTTGTTTCTTACTCATTTACAGTAAAATGCATGCGTGCATGGTTTGTAGGGCGGGTGGGATGGTCAAGCAGCTATGCGTTTGGTAATAAAAGTATATTACAACAAAAAAGTATCCTTTTCGTACTGAATTCGTCTCTGACGATGTAGGAAGTTATCAAGTGCTAATAAAAGTATTTTAAAACAAAAACTAACTCAGCATGTCGAAAGAGTCTGCGGCGGCGTGTTTTGCGTGTGGGGTGAGGGCGTTAACTAATGAACGCGTATTAAAGCAGAAACTATTCCATGCGTGTCGAAAGCATTTGCGGTGTCGTGCGGAGTGTGGGAGTCAGTTGCGCGTTTTTTAATAAAATGGTACCTATTACAACAAAAAACTAACCCTTGTTTGCGGATGGGTGTCTGGGGGGTTGTTGCGTGGGCATTCATTGAAAACCTAAAAACATATAAATTAACCCTTCCGTGGCGGCGCGCGGTCCCTAACAGCTACTAACCCTTGCGCGGCGTGCGGCGCGTGGGGAGGGTGGGGCGCGGGCGGCGCGTGCAGCAGCGGGCGCAGCTCGGCGAGGCGCACGGGCAGCGCGCGCAGCGACGGCGGCGCGATGCCCGTGTTGATGCCCATGATGCGCTGCATGTTGAAGTTGCGGCCCACCTGCCCTCTGCGCGACGGGGGCGGGGTCAGGCTTATTATAAACTAGAGACTTACTACGTTACTACTTACGTTTTAACGTTTAGTATACATTTCTCAGAGATGATATATTTTCCCGCAGTAAAAAGTATCCTATATGCTGACCCGGATAACCAGCTATCATTATACCAAATTTCATCGAAATCCCTCCAGTGGTTTTTGATGCGGTAACAGACAGACAAACAAAAATTCTATAAACTATAGATTTGGCCTCTGTATCGATAATAACGTCTATTTCAATAAGAATTTCCAAAAAATATTTATTGTACAGACTCGGCTTAGTTACAATTTTATTATATTACGTAGGTATAGATTATAATAATGTTCCCCCAAGCGACTTCGGTCAGGGCGGCCAATCTTTAATTTTATTTAATCTTCCAAGTAGGTTGTATTTATTTAGAATTCTATATAATTTAGTTGTATGTCATGTTTATTTTAAAAGTAAAAACGTTTGGATCAATAAACTGATAAGAAAAATCATATAAGGAATTATATATTAATTATAAGGAAGACTGGCATTCGCAGCTCATTAATGTTACTTTAATATTAGGATCGCACTTACAGTCTACAATCCATTTAAGAAACTGATGTATTAATTATTTTGCACGAACGTTACATAAATTAATGGCTTGGACTAGTTATTCGAAAATTGTTAAAAAACATATCATGATCCCACGCGATAGTGATTTGTCATTTCAATAAAAATTATAAAATTTTAATAGACTTTTAAAGTAGAAAATTGTATCCGATAATTTGAGACTTATTTTTAGACTTAGTCTAAAAATTACTGTTAAAAAATTAAGTTAAAGTAAATATATAGATTTTTGAAATTTTACAGTAAAACGACGTCAACCAAAAAAGAAACAACAAATATTTCAAACTAAACGCGTATTGAATTGATGAAAGCTGTTATGTGAGCAAAGTATCAGTTTTTAAAATGTTATTTTCTTTTAATTTACTAGCAGAACATCTAAAATTTTTACCTGCTGTACATTTCTTGGAGCATTCGGTGCTGTTTGATTGTTATAGACGCCTCCCACACGTCATTCTGTATACTCGAGAGCCCCTGGACAGAAATAAATATCCTCTGATTTTTTTTTCACATATAGTTAATTAAACTACAATTATCACGGCATTAGAAATATTAACCATGCACTGTGAATGCATTAAATTGAATTTTATAAACTTAACACGAATAAATATTTTAGATTTTTTTTATAGGTGGCATTATAGGTAATGACCATTGCCTATTTTTATATATGTATATATTTTTTTTAATTCCAAAACCAATTACAGATAAAAAAAACATTATATGTAACTATTAAAGAAATTAAGGGATCGTATATATGATGGTAGTACAATGCTCACAGACAGCGATCACCAACTCACCGGCGCGAGGCGCGAGGGAGCGTCGCGGCTGGAGCCCGCCTCCGGCTCCCGCTCCGGCCGCCGCGACTCCGGCGGTCTGACACGACGGAATTATTTTAGTTTACCCAATTATTATATTTTGCATTATATCGATACAAGAGATTTATTACGTGCGGTGTATAAAAAAATTACATGAATGAAAATGTACTTTTAAGTTTTTGAAATAACAGCATTGGCTGCTTTTGTAGACGTTCAAATTTTTGTAACATACATAAGAATTTTAAACTTTGAACACATACTTGTTATGCAAGAGCTGTACGAATATAACTATTATTTGTTGATTCATAGGAAAATTCATTACGTACGGTCAATGAAATCTATAATTCTTAAACATATTTTAACAGTCACTACCAATAGATGTTAAATTTTTTAAATATATTAATGAAAATACTTGAATGAATGAAAATACTTTTACAGATAGTTTTTAAGTCAAAATTAGAAAAAGAAACCAAAAACAAAGTATGTTAATTTATTTATTTATTTATTTATTCATTTATCAAATACAAAAATCATTTATACAAATCTAAGACACTCGTACTAAGTGAACTTGTATTAGGAGCGTCTTGCCTTCCATGTTGAACAATATGTATAATTAACACCAACATTATTCACAGTAAAATAGCATGCATTAAAAATTAATACTATTAAGGATAATTAAAAAATATTAACAATAATTCTAATGATATGTGTATAAGTGTAATGTATGTGTATGTGTGCGTATGTGTGTGTGTATGAGTTATGTAAGGATATGTCCTATAATTGTGTGAACATGAGTGTGAGTATGTATTAAACAATCAATTTCAAGTTAGGGATTTTAACAGGTCTTCTGTTTCATCATAGGTAAGACTCTTAAGCCATGATGTAAGAATGATTTTTGCTCTGGGACGGGGCTTGCAACTGATATTAATTAATTTATTTATTTTATTATATAAATGAGCTCCCATTATACTATTTTGTCTTCTAGCAAGGGCAGTTCTAGATTTTTTCGCTACACAAACATTTCTTGCAGTACGCTTTTGGCTAACAGAGAAACTTGTTGCATGACATCGCAGAGACAGGCTTAAAATGTAGAGCTGTCTGACTGTTAAAACGGAGCATTCCTTGAAGACAAGACTAGTGGGATACGTAAAATTCTTACGAATTATGCGTTTAAGAATGGCTCTTTGTGCCCTTTCTAAAAGAAGCAGGTGTGTACCATGCGTACCACCCCAGGTACAGGTAGATAGTAGTGGTTGAATTAATCCGAAGTAAGTGGTCATTAATGTTTCTTTATCTGCAACGGTTGCTATTTTCTTAAAGACATACATCATCTTCCTCACTCTTTGCACTAGAACATGGATGTGTTTCTTCCAGGAAAGTAAGTTATCTAAAGTTACTCCTAGATATTTAATCTCTGAGACACGAGTAATTTCTGGGCAAAGGCAGTCTGATTGATGATTCAGATCGTTGTGTATTTTTAAGTGAAATCGATCTGACGGCTGATCACTTTTACAAGCAGAGAAGGTGATGAAGTTAGTTTTCAACAAGTTCAATGTTAACAAGTTCTTTGTAAGCCGTTCATTTACAATACTGACCGCGAGTTCAGCATGAAGGCGCACACTTTCCCAGTCCTTTCCGTAAGTAAGTAAAACTGTATCATCTGCGTATGTTACAATTTTTGTCTTTGGTAGTGACAAATTACAAAGAGTATTTATATAAATCAGGAAAAGAGTAGGCCCGAGCACGCTTCCCTGCGGAACACCGTAGCTTATGAACTCGTCTTTGCTAACATTTGAACCAATTTTCACTCTTTGTGTTCGGTGTGATAGGTAATCTTTGAATAGATTCAATACGTTGCCTCTAACGCCAACACTCTCCAACCTTCCCAAAAGAACAGGAATAGAAACTGTATCGAAGGCTTTTTTAAGATCAATGAAGATCGCTATAGTTTTATTTTTAGCTTCTATGTTGTCAACTATATTGTTCACTAAAGTGATAATGGCATCTTCCGTGGAAATCCCCTTTCTAAATCCAAACTGTTTTTCAGAAATGATGCTATACTTATCAAGATAATTTATTAGACGTTTGTTAATGAGTTTTTCAAGTATTTTAGATAAAATAGTCAGTACAGATATAGGTCTATAATTGGAGATTTTGTCCTTATCACCATTTTTGTATATTGGATGAATTATAGCTTTCTTAAATGCTTGTGGAAAAATGCCCTGTGAGAAAGATATGTTACAGATGTGTTTTAAGCATGGAATAATTAAGTGCTTGATAGACTTTATAACACTGACTGGGATACCATCCCAACCAGTGGCACAATTATTCTTAAGCCCTGATATTACAGCGTCTAATTCTTGCTCATCGGTATCAAACAAAACCATTGAGTTACAAGGTTGGGCAATGTTGGCGCTTTGGAGCAAGGATGAGTTTGACTTTTGACTTTTCGCCAAAAGAGGAATAGCTAGTTTACTACCTATTTTTGAAAAGTACTCATTGACATAGTTGACAGATGTTTGGGGATTTGAGGTGAGTGTTAAAAGCTCATTGGGAGGAATACTTTGTGGCTGTAGATGGGAGATATCTTTGAGCACGTTCCAAGTTTTCCTTAAGTCACCCTTAGCTTCCAAAAGTCTATTTTTATCGTACTGTCTCTTAAGTTTCCTTAACAAATTGTTACAAAAGTTGCGATATCTCGTGTATGCAAGCTTAGCAATCATACTGTCTGGATACAATCTGGCTCTTTTATGTAATCTGTCGCGGTTACGGATGCATCTCATAAGTCCCGGTGTGATCCAAGGTTTTATTATATATTTCTTACTTGAGATTTTTCTCAGTTTGGTGTTATTTTCTATTGCATCAGAAATAATACGAATTAGTGTTTTAGTCGCTGTGTTTACATTAGTGTCAGCCAGTATCGATGAGAAATCAGTCTTACTGAGTTGTTCTATAACAGCTTTAATATTAGTGCATTTCACATCAGATCTTTGATATGGTGGTTTAGAAAAATTTAGTTCTATACCCAATAACGTAGGTAAATGATCAGTTATAAGGGTGTCAAAAACCAATGTTGTACATATCCTATTTGATCTTATTATGATATGATCTAAACAGCTCGTCTCACGCGTAGGCAGAATATGCGCAGGAGTAAAACCGTGAAATGAAAGTGCATTCAGATAAACATCGGCCAGTGGATCAACGTTTGTAGCGGCTATGTTTATATTAATATCACCTATAATAGCAACCGTTTGATATGCAGATAAGGATGTTAAAACCGAGTTTAGGCTATATAAGAAATTATCTATATTTCGGTTGGACGGTGATCGATATATTGCCACAACAGCAATGTCATGATCACATTTCAAAACAAGACAATTAGCGTCTAAAAAAAGCGGTTCCACGGGCGTACACTTCAAATCTGTTCGTACATAGACTACTATTCCATCATTTTGGTTTGTATTATTAGACTTGTGATAGACGAAGCCAGAAATAATAGGTATTTGTGGTATTTTACTAAGCCAACATTCAGTCAGGACTATAATGTCACAGTTCACGTCCAAAGAGTAAAGAAAAACTTCAAGTGCGTTAAAATTGGGGTTAAACTTCTTATATTCATGTGGAATATATGTAAGGGATTTGATAAACGTGTAAGATATTTCATACAATTTTCAGGGTTGCAAATGTGTGATTCAAAGTATACTGTATTATCTATTATAATTCCAACATTATTTATGTCATCCATAATCAAAACACCAAAGAAAACAGGGGTACAGAATAATGTTAAGCAATATTATAAAATAAAGGTTTGATTCTATCAATGGCCAATAAATACATAGCGAAATTAAGAATAAAAATATTAAACGCCTTGTATGTGACCGAATATACCTATTACAGAACCTATTTACAATGAAATTTTGAGGATATAGTGTGAATGTAGGATGTGTTTTGTTTGTAGTGTAATGTTTAAAGTGTTTATTTGGTGATATTAACAAATTCTTAAAATAATTAATTAGTTTAACACAATCATTATAGTTTAGTGTATTATTTAGAACAAAATAAAATAAGAATTTAATAATTGAAATATAGAATTCATGCAATTGTAATAAGTGTAAAAACATTTTAATTATATAATAAAAATATAAAATAATCGAACTAAACCAATATTTTGAGCAATCTAGCAATATTAAAATTAATTTTATATTTTTCCTTTTTAAAATAGTGCATGCGATTGTGACTAGTCATTTGTCAGCTTTAAGCTTTATGAAGTCGTGTTCCGAATTTATACGGTGATATGGGTCACCTTCCTTTTTCCGTAGGTAGATTTTACCATTTGAGGTCCAGCAATATGCAAATCAATTTTGAGTGGCAAACTGTCTTGAGAGAGAAAAGAGTCTACGCGTTTTATGCGTCAAGGATTCTGATATATAAACAGGTTTTTGTGGGTCTTCAAAATGTAGATCTTTTGTACTTAGCTTCTTACTGGAATGATTTTTATTATATGTTTTAGTCAATTTTAAAATATTTTCTTTCATAGCAACTGTGGTAAATTCAACAATAATAGGTTTTATATTGGATTTAGTGTTCACTCGGTATATATTTCTTATGTCAGATGGCTGTATTGAGGTTTGCAATACTAGCCCCGTATTTACTATTACATTTGTTAAGTCTGTCTTGTTTTCTGACGCTTTTACTGGAATATTACGGATTTCCAAGGATGCCGAGTTACTTCTGTTTTCTAGATTTTCAACCTTATCTTCCAAAGACTGAATATATGCAAGATGAGTTTTCCTTTCCGCTTCCAAAGATTCAAGCTTGCCATGGATCTCATCGTACCTTGCCGAAAGAAATTCAAGGGAAGTCTGTATTTCTTTATTTTGTTGCGTAATTGTATCTTGAAGAAGTTTAAAATTATTTTTCTGTTCTAATTTAAATTCTTCAAACATCCTAAATATATCTTCCCTAAAAGATGCGTTGTCCTCATTATCGTCAAAAGAACCCTCCCGCCTTCGTTTTGTCTTGCGAGTTTTCGAGGCCGATCGCGTCTTACCGGGGCTAGCAGGCGGTGTTCTCTTCAAAGGCATTGCAATAGAGTATTACGTGTGTCTGACAAAGCTCAATATACTTTTTTTGCGCCGACCTCACGCAATTAAAGCGCAGTATTATGCGCATAAGACAATTTCTTGTGTTAAAATGAGATAACTAGTTACACTAGAAGCGTCGCACGCGCTTGAAGGTGTTGCTTGGCCTATAAGGCGGGGTCAAGAAGTTAAGAGTGGTTCAACTGACCTCATGGTAGGGGTGGATGCGATACGTGCGAGGTCTCCTTTCGTCTATGAGCGCCTGGTAGTTGTAGATTGATTCACATAATTTTGGACTTTTTTAATTTTTTAATTAAAATTGCAACGCGGTTACTTAAAATACGTCCACTCCATACGGAGGCTCCGGGGGAAGGGAATTACATGACAATTGACAATCTATAAGTCTGATACTTAAAGTTAAAGCAAAATATAAAAATCATGCGATAGCCTTTTGTGTTTAAAGTTTGTCGTTTCGGTTGGTGGTTTGTCAAAAAAATAGGTTTAGAAGAAGTGTAGTGCTGTCTCTATTTCGTTAACTCTAAAGTCGACTGTATTATAATAATAATACGAGTAAGTATTCACCCGCGCCACCCCTCACACGCCCTCTCATATAATACCTATCTAAACGCCTTTGTTTGTTGACTGAATGAATAAATAAATAGATTGTGGTGTAAAGTATGTAAAAAAACCACTCACTGCAATGTATGTATAGATTAATGTATAAAAAGTGCACTGTGTGTTATGTTTTTCTTCCGACTTCAATTAAAATTATAATTAATTATTTCTGACATTACCACATTTTTATTGGAATAAAAAATAGCCGGTACAAAATAACGTTAACGTAGCCTCCTTCCTATTAGTGAAAGAATTTTCAGAAACGGACCAGTAGTTTCAGAGAATACTCCCTACATACAAACTGACAAACTTTACTTCTTTATAATATTGATCACTAGCGCTAGGTACCTTTTAACGGTTAGTATGAAATAGAAATCTTTGAATTTCTCGGTTACTCTGTATTATAATATGCATGTATTATACATATAAACCTTCCTCTTGAATCACTCTATCTATTAAAAAACCGAATCCGCAATCCGATGCATAGTTTTAAAGATCTAAGCATACATAGGGACAGACAGCGAGAAGCGACTTTGTTTTATACTATGTAGTGATAATGATGTTTAACACTCACTGCGTGGGCGGCGCGGCGGCGGCGGGCGCGGCGGGCGTGGGCGCGGGGGCGGGCGCGGGGCAGGGCTGGCGGTAGGGGCGCGGGCGGGCGCGGCGCGGCAGGCGGCGCGGGCGGCGCGGCGGCGCGGGCGGCGGCGGCGACGCGTCGCGGCAGCCCTTGTCCGACGCGCCCGCCGTCGGCTGGATGTCGTGGATGCACGACCACTGCACATACACCACACGATAAATACATTATTGTATTCAGCCCTTTTTAACGTCCCACTGCTGGGCACGGGCATCCCTTCATACGAGGGGGATCAGGCCATAATCCACCACGCTGGCCAAGTGCGGGTTGGCGGACTTCACATGTCTTTTGAAAACTTGCTAGATTCTCTCACACATGCAGGTTTCCTCACGATGTTTTCCTTCACTGTTAAGGCAAATGGCAATCATGTTGGAAATGATTCGTACATGAAAATATCAGAGATGCGAGATCCGGGATTTGAAGCCACTTTACTCGGTTTTCCCACACGAGCGCGTTACCGCTGGGCTACCACTGGTACCATATACATTATTATGTATGGAATAAACGTAACCGGCTCGAAGGACCAAGACATTTTTTTTTAATTTCAAGAATTCTCAAATTTCGCCAGTAAGAAATAGATAGGTTTTCAGTAAATTAAAAATAACCCTGTATATCGAAAGTTTAAGAAAGAACGTAATATATTTCCTTGGTAGTAAAGTTTTCAGACATCTACTTACATTTTACAATTGAAGCTATAATAACAACTTTAATTAAAGTTTACTAATTTGTTATAACTTCAAGCAACCATCAACCAACAAATATATCGATGAATTAATTCTACCTTTAAGATGCATATTTTTCTTGAAATATATATATATACCAGTTATTTATTAATATATGTAAGTATGGTATAATTACCATGGTACATACAACCTATTTGTATAGTGCAACTTTATATTTTTGCTAATTTTACACCTTAACACAAAACACTCCATAATTTTAATTTCATAATTCAATTGAGATTCACGCTTTGTTAGCAACGCCGCGTGTGCTCTTACACAAGTTGTTTCATGTCATCTTATCATTTAGAGAAAATAAATTACGTTACTTACACTTAATGATATTCTTCAAATTCTCTATCTTATCCAGCGCTTCCTTTTTGATATTGATTAAAAGTCATTTGGACCACAGTTTCATTAATAATTATTATTTTTTTCAACTTGCTACTATTTCTGTACAAACTCTTACCTCAGACCTGTCGTCGTGACTTATATTTCTACTTAAAGCACTCCATCCTTGTGGATGTATCTATAATATAATAAAATTATAAATAAAAAATCTTTTAGAAAATTATCTTTTTTTATGGAAGATAATAATAAAAATTAATTTTTATTATTATCTTCCATAAAAAAAGACATTGGTAGAATATTTTTACTATATTTAGATGACATTGTTCAATTTCAAACATAGAAGAATAGTACAATTGACAATAAATAATTATTATAAAATGCTCAGGATGCTGTTTTTATTGTTACTGTGATATTAAATAATATATTTTTATTTTTTACCTGTAACGCACTAACGACCTCAGCATCATTGCCATCAGGAAAATCCGATACAAATTCGACTCTATTTTCCTTGCGCTTCTGATCAAACAAATGGTCGTACATGGCCGCGATAGGGATCATTTGTTGGCTCATTTGCATAAGTCTGTATAGGTTTGGCTGAAAATAAACAGTTAAATTCATTTTATTTACCAAAATATACAATCCTTGGTTACAGTTTCCTTTCCTAAATACACTGACCTCGCTTCGCTTGAAAACCAGATAACAATACATACATATTTTATCTTAATTTTATTATATTATATGCATGTATTACAAATAAAAAGCTTCCAGAAATGTTAAGAATGAAATGTAAGTGTAAATCATTAAAAATCCATTGCGTAGTTTAGAAAAGGTAAGCCCAAAAACAGACAGACACTGGCAGCGACTTTTTTTATACTATTTAAGATTTATACTATTTAAGATAATTTGCTTTGGAATTCCGACTAAATGTATCCATAATTCAAATGATAGCTAGTTCAGCCTTCTAGAAAAAGATCAAAATGATGTGCAGATGGATGGTCAACATATACTTTCGATGGATGCTAATAAGCTGTGTGACATTTTATCAGCATAGTCAAGTAACATTTTAACATAATTTGGTAATATCGAACGTCACAATTTTATCACTAGAAAACACAGTTATATTGGGGTTGCCGTTATCTAATAAGGTAGTAAGTTAACTTAAAGATGATTTATTTTTTAAATTATAGCTTTGATTTTCCAATTGTTTTGCTAATGTGTGAGTTTGGAGGTTACAGTTATGAGACAAATTTAGAAATTTTCCTATACAATTCTATCATAGTTTGATCTTAGATATTGTGCTGAATTCGTTTTTCTAAACGCCAAATAATTGTCTTGAATATGGTTTTATTATATATTAAACTCAATAATGGCTAGTTACCTTAAATCCATGTAAGTCTTGGGCCAATGTGGACAGATTCAAGTCATGAATTATTACTAATAGGCCACCAGTAGTGCACATAACCATCTGGCGAGCGTCTGGTGACAGGCGACATCTCATTAAACCGGATGCATGAAAAACTCTTTGGTATACTAAGTTGAACTCTGTGTAGGAATTTATATCCCACGTGTAAATGCTGCCATCTAACCCAGATGTGACTAGAAGTTTGTCTTTCACGGAAAATTCTATATTTTTAACCCAATTTGAATGACCTAGCAGAGAGCGAATTTTCTTTTTTAGGTTTCTGACATCCCATAATGCAATAGTAGTATCATCTGAACATGTCGCGAACATTCTACCATCCAGGAATCTGCAAAAAAAATAATAATCACATGATAATTGATAACATATGTGTGAACTAAACTATTTTTTCGGATTTTTTCGCGGATTTATTTAAAAAATATTGAAAAATTCGAAAAGATAGTTTTATTTATAACTAGCGACTCACCCTCGCTTCTCAGGTTCGCCTCTAGAAAAACAAAACTATCCCACGGAAACTGTACATTTTTCCAGGATGTAAAGTAGCTTATGTGTTATTCTGATGTATGAGCTATATTATTGTAAAGTTTCATTAAAATCCATTTAGCAGTTTTTGCGTGAAAGAGTAACTAACATCCATATATCTAGATAGATATCCATATATCTAGATCCATATATCTATACATCCAGAATTCCATACATAATGACAAACTTTTGTATTTATAATATTAGTAGCCAGTAGGATGTCTAATATTCGCATAATAGATTTAAAGAGTATTATATACATACATATGTATGACTGTTTCATTTCAAAAGTAAAGAATGTTATATAATAATTGGCAACATTAATATATATTATACATAAATATTCCTTACAAGATATGTTCAATACAACATAATATTGTTTTTGTTTTAAATTTCTTTTAACAAATAAATAATTACTTATATTTTATATTAAAAGGTAAATAAAGGTGTATTTCTGTGGCCTCCATTAGAATAGATTAATATACAACCTTGTGATGTAGGCCAATCGTGGCAGACATATGGTTGATATTTTAATCGTTAATATCATTAGCAAAATTATCAGAAGCAATATACATATTTTTGTGAATTAATTGTACTACATAATAAGTGTTAATGTAAAACATTGCTACTTAATTATAATATTTTTTTTTGAGATATTGTGATTATATTAAAAATATTTCATACATTTGCTTTTTTGCCCATCTCTCTGAAACAGGATGATAAAATGAAACTAGACGGCAAAGTAATATATTTATAATGTAATTATACTCATACTAGTATCACTTTTTCTACTTTTTTTTTTTTTAATCTCTTTAAATATTTTTATGACTACTTTAATATGATACTCTATTATATTATACTAGGTATCATCCACTATTAATAGTTTTTTACACTTTGATAAAAAAAAAATACCAATTTACCTACATTTAAATAATAAAACCCAATAGTGTGAAAAGCAAACTAAAAAGATGAGAACAATTTTACAAAAAAACTTAGTATTATGCAGTTGAAGACATACATACATGTACATCATGGTTTGTATAAAGCTGCATGTAATTTTTTTTTAGTTTTGGGCATTTAGACATTTTTAATTTCTTTTTAACAATTTCCAAACCTAAATTACTTTAAAAAATAGAAGTTGTAATTTTTATAATGGTCTCTAAAAAAACGATATTATTGACAAAAAAATTTTTTCAAGACAAATTGGCATCTAAGATACAACATTTTGGTTTATAATGATATTGTGTTATGGAAAAGAATTGAAAGACATATGAATCATCAAAATTGATTAAGCCATTTAGTAATTACGAGGGAACATAGGGTCAGGCATACATACATATATACAGGTCAAACACATAACCCTCCTTTGGGCCTGACAACAGTGGGGTAAAAAGTTGCCTAAGTTTGATGATGTTTACCTAAATATTCTAGTAGATTGTCTTGTGAACACACTGTTAAAATTGGTTGAGACATTTGTTGGAATGTTTGTATGTACAGATAGTGGAACAAAATCTGTCATTATGACATGTTGTTTATTATTGTATATTGGTGACACATTTACACCAAAACTTCAATTTTATCACTAAGTATTAAGTTTAGACTGATCATTTATTAAGAAAATGATACTAAATTTTTATACTCCGTGAGATTGGCCACTGTGACCATATTAGGTCAGGAAGACAAATTCTCTGGGCTTTTCTAAAATTTTTTAGATATTAAAAAAATATCACTTACTTGACACAGTTCACACAGTCTGAGTGTGCACCATTCACAGAATGAATTTGTTGGTGTGTTAATGGATCAAAAATCTGTATTGATTTCTTCTCACATGCTGCAACTAGTAAAGACCTAAAAATATATTTTTATTGGTAAGATATATTGTGGGATTTGTTTCTTTTATTTCTATATGTATATTAGAAAATTATATAGACATTTAACATTATAATTCACTTAACGCAAATTATTTTAATAGTTTCTTTTTTATTTATTTTGGCCACATTTTAATATGTATTAATGATAAGTTAAGTATTTCTATTTATTTGTTTTCTGTAATTTTTTGCAAAAAACATGTCATCAATACCTATGTCAAGGCTAACTAGTACTTAGCAGTTTGCTTACCCTTCCGGGGAAAATTCAAGGTTGAACACGCCACCGGTAGGAAGAGAATTCGCCTGTTCACAATCCCATGAAGCTATGGGCTTCATGCCACAGTAAAGGCTCCGGGCCATGGCATCGCTGGCACCTACCGGGTTACTAAACCCACACTCCCTCTGAATAAGCCGATAAGGACTGTACGCAGAGTATTTTGCCATGAAAAAGTTATCTATAACACTTTTAGCACCCATTTCGATAACAAAAGGTTGACACGAATAACACGTTAAAAAGACACTTAAGTACTCAGCATATCCAAAAAATGTAAATGCAAGCGATATGTATTTTTATAACTTAGGTCTACATTGTTTGTTTCAACATAAATGGTAAAAACTAAAAAGTAATCAATGCAAGTAGTAAAAAATTAGAACGCAGGCCACAGAGTAACAAATCTGATGCTTCTTAGAGATCTGTCATATGTTGTCACAACAGCTGACAGACAAGTATACTAGGCCACAGAATAAAAGCCATTAAAACAAAGAACTGAACTGAAGAACAATGTTTAATCAAAATAATACTTTATGCCTATGTAAATAACAGATAAATATGGCGAATGATATGAATAACCATTAATACGATACATTGTTTATTATGAAAGGTGGGTCTATATAAATGGTATAGACAACTAAGACTAAGCGGCATGCTACCACAATTCATTGAATAATTTAGATTTTCACATTAAAGTTAGTTTAATTAATTCGATATCTATATCAACGCAGGAAAGCATATTTGCTGTAAGTAGACAAAATACCTTAAGAGACTTTTTATTTCCATTAGCATCAGAAAAAAAAGCCGCATTGAATGACCGGGTCCTGTGTCTTTACGATGAAAAAAATTTACATAGGTCATTGAAAACGCCCGTACTTATATATTTTTTTTAGCAAGATTAAATGATGTATGTAGACCAAAATTTAGTCATTTTAGACATTTTGTACTTTCAGCAATAGAAAGACTGCATTTTTTGCTTTACAAATACTTACTTCTTCCCATTTAAAAATTTAACGCTACTTACAGCACTTTTGCGGCGTGTGATTTTTACATTCGTTTACTTACAGCAAGTTTAGGGAACCTACAGTTTTAATTTTTTACAGCAAATCATCACGTTTTATTATATAAGCAAATTTGTTTTAAAAGGTTACACCACATAATGCATTTTAAAAACCTGTGATTTTTTAAAAATTTGAGAGAATGCATTTTGATAAATCATTTCATTTTACCGTTACGCCATTAAAAAAATGATAGTACTTTGAAGTTGTGTTGGTGTTACCGCATCGCTACCGACTCCGCCCGCACCCTTCATTCCTTGTACGACATTCTGTTATTGTCTCATTATATTTTGTCTATATATAAATATAAGAGAAAAATACTTTTTTAATTCATTGTATTGTTGAAACGAAGTTCTGGTAGTATAATTAGAGTGTCAAATTTTATTTCAACAATTTAAAAGACCATAATATTTTTTTACCATTTACGACATTTTATTTCAACCAAACATTACATTACCAACTGACCCACTGCATTTCTAAATCTAATCATAATTATAAATTTAATCCTATGTCATGAATTGCAGTACCCAAATAAATAAATTTACTGCATACAGCATATTTACCGCCTGTAAACTGATAATATCCATGCGTACATTTTCCTACATGCGTATATTATATATATGCGTACATTTTCCTTCCTCATTTACAGCGTTTTAAAGGTATGTGATTTAAAAAACTGTTTGCTGTAACTAGCCAAACACGTACTTATAGTAACTTTGGATAAAAAGTTTACATTGCGAATGGTGACTGGCAGTTAAATAAACCTATGTTCCAAAAATGGTAGCAATATCATGGATAGGTCAGACACAATTATTTTTTTCCGAAATTAATAAAGTTTTTTGGCTCTGGTGAACAATTGCAATATGTCTACTTACAGCAAATATACTTTCCTACGTCGATATATAAATGTAATAAAAATCTAATTGACTTGAATCTGTAGGGACATTAAATATTTTTTGGAAAATCTTATCGAAATAGTTATTATTATCGATCCAGAAGCCGAATCTATAGTATTTAGAATTTTTGTCCATCTGTCTGTCTGGGAACGCATTACGAGAATACCACTGGAGATTTTGATAAAATTTGGTATGTTGATTGCTAGATATCCGGGACAACATGTAGGATACTTTTTACTGCGGAAAAATATCTGATCTCTTAGAAATCTATAGTAACCGTTAAAACGTAATATATATTTGCTAGTAATTTATAATACCATAATATTAAGATAAGTGTGATTTAAATAGGCCATTATTGTATGGCGTGAATTAAATCATTTGGGGAAGATTTCTCGAAATGAGGGTGCCACATATATGGCCTATTTATATTCAGTCTGAGGTTAAGCAATTTATTGTGATCTCTTTTATACCTGTTTTTTGCTTCTATTGTGTTCTCATCTCACTTATGCAATGTATTGTACCTGAAAGTTAGATCAGCTGAAGGAAGAATGAGAATCAGAAGTGTTGGTCCTGACCGATGGATCAACACACATGACACAGCCTAAGCTGCTGGTTGTAGAAGTGTGAAATTTGGAAGACGTATTCCTTATTTACTTATAATCATAAAATAATAATAAATAGGTATTCGATAAGAAAGTATTTTTCAAAAAAAAAATCCACGCTATAGTGATCGCGACACCTGGCGGAAGAAAATGGCAAAATTATTTCCCATTGGTAGAATTGAAATTTTAACAGAATAAGGATCACAGGTTTGTATTTCTTTCTATTTCCGCTCTATCAACATAAAATAAAAATAAATAAAAATACAAGAATCATTTTTTTCGACGTTCATGATCGATAATCGAAGTTACTACATGCACAGACTTCGAAAATATCTGATTAGGTATCTATTCTAAATGAAAACCCCCGTTTAGTTATTTTTTACATTTATGTGCTTGGAACTTGGAAGTCGTTTTCTTTTAAATTTTATTAAAAACATTGGAAATAAAAAAAATTGAAAAATATTCTACTACCATATTTATTTTAAAAACATAGCAAAATTAATTCATTATTTACATTGATTTCATTAACAAATTTTTTTTTATTTATAATTAAATCACCAAGTATTAGATGGCAACAGTCCATTTGGAGGAGGGATGTGACCAGTCTTTAGAATATTTTGAAGAAACACCTCAAGTCTAGTTTTAGGGCCACCTTCGTCAATATTATTAAGAATATTTAAATATTCCATGCTTAATAGTTTAATTATTTTAATACACTGCTTCCTATAATGTTTAAAAAATTCTGAACCACATACTATAAAAAAATCATGTAATAGTGTGGCACTTATGTCAGGTTCAGGCTTAAGGTTAATAAATGATGCAAGCCACTTCCATCCAAAACATAAACTACAAGGGTTTGATGAATTTATAAATTTGGGAGTTTTTGCGATCCAAATAGCACAATGAAGTCTAAATATTCCAGACATCCTTTTTAAAAATTTATCTTGTTTCTCAACAACACCATCATCATTATAGGTGTACCCTCTAGATAAATAAAATTCTTTGTCTGACTGTCCTTCTTTTTGAGGAAGCATCATTGGTACTAAATAAGGGCAAAATCTATGAAAATATGCCTCTAGAAGTTTTCCAAAATCAGGGAACTGAGTCCATAAAGCAACTGTTACTGCTGCGAGAGGAAAAGCTGCTTCAGGATTACTAGATACTAAAAGATCTCCTTGTCTCACAATCTTTTTAGCTAGCAAGGCAGTACAGTAATTAAGACCTTGTGGATGTTGTGATGCCATCACATATGTATCCAAAACTTGAACTTTTTCACCTCTTAGTAGTTTTGCAAGTTTATCATATTTGTCCCTCATATGCATACCACTTACTGATGATAATGCATTGACTGGAGTATTAACAGCTTTCTGACAGTCAAATCTAAACTTTTTTAAATTTGTATTTTCTAACAATTCTTTATAACTACTTTCATAAGACTCTAAAAAGTTTTTAAGTTCCTGATAGAAAGTAAAGTTTGTTTCAGAATAGAACATAGATTGAGCTCTTTTAGCTTGTTCTACAAGTGCTTGTTTTATCTGAGCATTTTCAGCTTCCTTTGCATCTAGTGCTTTCTGTCTTTCTAATTTTTTTTGTTTTGCCTCTTCTTTTTTTAATTGCTCATGCTGTTTCAAGTCTTCAAGAATTTGCTGCTTGATATTTTCTATGTTCAATGATAATATTTCAGATTGTTTAACTTCTTTATCAGTAATTGTACCAGTTTTACAATTGTCCATTATTGCACTTATATTTGTAATAACTGTATTTATTGATTGAACATATTTTTTTTTAATTTCTCTTCCTTGTGGTCCAGTTAGTACAGCATTTATTATTTCATTGTGACATATACATATTTTAGCATGACTATGTCTAATAGATGCAAATCTAGTAGTGGCTTTATTTTGTTCATCTAATATTCTATTCATATTTTCAATAGTTTGTTGATTGATCATTTGAAATTTTTGTTCATCTAATCGAACATTTTCAAGTACAGTCAAATTATCATTTTCCCGCAGTTGCTTAGCCATTTGTATTTTTTTTGCTCTTAGTTCTAAAGTTTTACGTTTACATTCATCACTCTGTTTTTTCCAATATCTCTGCATTGTTTCTGCATAACTATTCATCATTTTTTCAACTAAATTTTTAAACAAATCTTCAGAATTTTCTTGCAATTTCGCTTCATAGTCTTTTAGTAATAAAGTATACCGTAAATCTTCACCGACCTTGTCTTGTATTAAATCGACAAATTCTTCATCAATGTTAGAAGGCCTTGTGTCAGTTTTGAATTTCTCTTTCTGAATGGGGCTTCTAGGACCTATTGTTACCTCTGTTACAAGGGGGCTAATTTCAGCTGCTTTAGTTAAAGCAGATATACGTAATCGTTCAAAGTCTGCTAAGGTTTCAGAAATACTTATATCGCCACATTTAGCGCCGCTTCTTGATAAGTCGTCGATGTAAGAATATGTTGAATCGTCCATGATTATAGTTCTTAAATTTTAATAATATAATTTAATTTTCACTTATTTAATCTATCTTATTGCAACTTAATTTATTAAATCATAAATCGTAACATAATACAAATTTAGCGTTAACTTAAAAGTTTAAACGATTCTTTTTATATTTTGACATAAGTGATATGACTCATGGATGACAATTTTTTTTTTTATTATGGCTTATAGTTGCGTTAACAGACGCAGTCCACTCTGCCAGTGTCACGTGTATATAGGCTATATATAAAGCTTATATCGTTAGAATCGTTTTAAAATAAACTAAGAATATATATATAAATAAGTTCAATTGTATTTAATAATATATAGTTAATTCTAAGTTGAAATTACTGAAAGTGTTTTATTATCAGTATATAGTATGAAAACAGGAATTATTACAAAATAAAACTATTATTTTAAAAAGTTATATTTTCATTTAATAATCGATACAATATTTTATATTAATTGATTAAAACAACACAACTCACTGAATATTTTTTTACACCACAAGCTTTTACAATAACATGTCTCAATCATAGCGACTTAGCGCCGGATAAAAAAGAGGTATTTTTTATACTTTAATTCTGAGAGCATTGAAGGTCAAGAGATTTGGGATAATCATTTATATTATAGTTTAGTCCACATACGTTATACTGACATAGTTTGAGTTCTTATAACTATTTAGTTTACGAGAATTAAACAATAAACCAAACAATTTAAAATAAGTACTAACAAACGTCATCTCAAACTTTGGATCGCAGAGCAAATTCTGTTTAAATTTTCATTAAAATATATGAACATCTTACAATTTAGTGACATTTAAAATTAGAAAAATATAATAAAAAGACATGTTGCCTTATTAGAATACTTCAGAAATCAATTCTGAAAACTAACAATTTCACTATTAGAATTACAAGGGACACCTAAAAAAGTATGGATACGACCAATTCCATCACATCTGAACAGATTACGTTATGGAAATAAAATGATAATAAAAACATCAATACAAAATAAAACAACTTCAAATATTAATTCGGACAGGAATTATTTTTTTTTCAACTGTTTTTAACCTCTAATGCAAAAACGACGGGGAGTTATAAGTTTGACGTGCTGTGTGTGTGTCTGTCTGTCTGTCTGTGGCATAGTAGCTCCGGAAGAGAAGATCCTATTTTGTTTTTGTTTTTTTTTGAAAGATGAATTATTCGGAAGTGTTCTTAGCTATGTTTGATGAAAATTGGTCCAAGATGGCTGTCGTCACCAAATAGCGGATTACATATTTTTCACAACTCCCTCAATATGGGTATTGAATGAATTAGGGTTGACTAGTATAATACAAACTACGATAAATTTCAAATCAAAGATGGCCGCCGCCACAAAATGGCGAATTACATGTCGGGGTTACTTTTAAATTTTAAATTTATATTTTATAATATTCAAGTATTGTGCCAGTTACTGTATTGAGTATTTAATGGACTCCATAGTAATAGTAGTAAAAAAAAATATAGTAGAGTATAAACATTTTGTAATTAGTACTCACAGATCTTTTAAATCTGAAGTTGAAAATTTTGGATGCCTTTTGTTAAGTAAAGGACACTTTTTAATGAATATTGCTGGCAGGTAGAAGCTTTTATACATATTTTTTTAATTGAAAAAAAAAAGTTGAGCACCTACCCTAAAAGCAACAAATACTAATTATCACTAAGTAAAGATACATACGTAGCTATACTAACCTCCTCCCATATAATGTTCAGCACGTCTTCGAGTCACGTGGTCGAAACGAACAAAGGCGTGGTGTAATATATAAATCAGATATTTTCGAATTCGGTGCCAGCCGATGCAAAGCACATCTAATATATTTCGATACGTAAAATATATATTTACCAATTAGATATTCATATCTTAAAATATTGTCGGCTGGCACCGACTTCGAAAATATCTGATTAGGTATCTATTCTAAATGAAAACCTCTGTTTACTTATTTTTTACATTTTAGTGCCTGGAAGTCGGTTTATATATTTTTTTTAACTTTTTATAAATAGTTATTTATACTACATCCTTGTTCGCTTCCGCTCTATGGGGTACATTGCCTACAATTGGTCTTTCTTGTTCACCCCACTGATCATAATATTGTAATCTAATAAGGCATGTTTTAAGCAATTTTGGTGCAGCTACAATAAACATAAAATGCAACATGATACTAGTGTAAGAGATGCAAATAAACATATTTTTTACCCGACAACGCGACGCAAAGGAGGGTAATGTGTTTATCAGTCTATGTATGTATGTATGTACATATGTATGTTTTTTCCTTAGTGGCACTTTAGAAACCAAACGCGTGGGCTGATTTTGATGATTCATATGTCGTTAGTTTCGTATTTACGCGAGTGTCATAAGCTATATATAGCCTATGATACTCGCGTTATAGTTAAAAATTAAAAATAGTTAAAAGTTAAAATGGCGGATATCAGGCGCCAATTTGTGTGTCCGTAAAAAAAATCTTCCAAATCAATCGAATGAGGTCTCAAAATAAATAATTTTGGGAATCACAAAAAGATTTAAAAGAACACAACTTACATGTTTATAGGTAATTTGGGATAAGAAATTGCTAAATGTTAGGCTATACCTATGAAATTGTCGTTTAATATACAGAAAGTTAAAGTATATTTTTTTTATAAATATTTTTCATTTCTATTAATCAAAATATGCAACCTTGCTATTGATGCAATTTGATGCAAATGGACCAGTATTGTTTTTGTTGAATTATTTGGATGGTTCCCTATTGTGAAAAATAATAAACTCGTTTGTAATTACGACACGTATATTCAATCTCAAGAGGCAAGAGCGACACACACAAATATATTCTTATATAGCCACAGACATAAAAAAATAAAATATAGAATAACAAAGTTAACTTATCTATGGAACAATGCACACTTCTCTATGGATAAATATTTGTTGTCTTTTAACAGCATGGATGACAATTTAACAGTTTTGATCACATCCATGGTTTTGATGCTAACGAGTAACGTTGAAAGCTGCTGCTATCTCAGCCACAGATTGAGTATCGTCAGCTTCCACTATCGCCTTTAATGCGTCGTTACTGATTTTAGTTTTCGGGTGATCACGGGGTTAATTTTTTAAGATCAAAATTTCGATGTTGGAAGCGTTCAGACCAATAACGAGTCGTGCGTTCATTTGTAGTAGGGATGGAACATTTCACGAGTAGCAAGTGAAAAATCACGTGAAATGCGTAATCATACGTCACACCTGCTACTTAAATTCATAGTGGCTGCTACAAATCACAACTTGGTGAAATCTAGAGCTGTAGCAAACCGTATGTATTCGTTACTGAGTAACGGGTACGCCATCTAGTACCGAGTACCGAAACGTTACTCACGAATGCATTTCGTTACTCGCATTTTCCGTATACATTTTCGTACTGATGTTTTTATTGATTTTTTATTCAACAAAATACAATTTTCAGTTAATACCGTTGATCAGTAAATTGGGGAGTTTATTTATTTCGAGTTGCATGATTTCGGATTCTAGAAATATTGTTTAGAAATAATTTTAAATTAGAAACAACAATTAAATTTAGAGCACATTTTTAGTTTTTTATCCAACAAATACTTATAATTTTTACTGAATGATTATGTGTAATACGTACAGACATAACCACCAACGCTGAGAACGAGCTAGAAATGTTTATTAATGAACCAGTGCTTCCGCGCGATTCTTCGCCATTAGTTTGGTGGAAATCTCACTCCTATATGTACCCCAATTTGGCGGAAATATTTCATGAGCACTGTCACATCGTGGTGACATCAGTGGAGTGTGAGAGAGTATTTTCAAAAGCGGGAAATTTTGCAACCCAAAAAAGAGCACGATTAAGCAGAAAACGAACAGCGGAACTTGTATTTTTAAAAAGCAATGAAGACTATTGTATATAGATATCTCATAAAAAAATCAATCATCAAAAAAATCAAAAAGCAAAAAAAATGATTATAAACAAATTAAAAAAATTAAGAAAAACAAAAAAAAAGTGTATAAAATTCTTTTATAAAAATTCTTATTGTACATAAAAACAATGAACTTTTAAATACGCCAATGTAATTATGGAACTTAGCTTATGTGTGTGATTACTCTGATATATTTAAAATTCATTTAATTTTACATTGTCAGTCCCAAGCCTGTAGAAGTATGAGGGAAAGTTCATTGTTTGAAAATAGGTTCATTCAAAGCACCATGTACGTATGCAACTACGTCAGATCTATATCTCTACTCCATATCACATCAGTAGCGCCATTGGTGACATTTCATACTTCATTTTAATAGCAAATAATATAAAGTGTGACACCAGACCGTCGAAATCAAAAATCTATGCGTGAAAAGTAGCAGGTGAAATCACGTGAAAAATTGTTGTAATTTCATCACGTGATAATGATTTAAAAGTAGCAATCATTTCCATGCTTAATTTGTAGTGTTCACTCGGTACTCCGTACACATAGAGTATATTGCTACATATATAATACACGTCATTAATATTGCGAGCCGTTTGTGCGGGATTGCTACCGCGATGGAACTCGTATTTCATAATTACTCGTATTTTTATTGTGTTCATATTGATGAAAAACAAACAAATGTAGTGAAAACAAAACACTAAGTAATAAATAAACGACTGAATTCAAAAATAGAACTCCATACTTTTAAAATAAAATTCATTTGAATTTAGAATTTATTGCCGGCCATTCATAAATTACGTTTCCAATGGCCAATCAGTATTGTAGAACGGCAATTTCAAAAGACCTATTATAACTTCAAATGTCTAATAAAATTAAAAAGCTGTAAATAAAAAAATACGTTTCATCCTTGTCGCGAGATGTACATATGTATGTCACCAACTGCATAATACTTTATTCCTTCGTCAACTTGTTTTCATCTTTTTAGTTAGCTTTTATGCAGTTAGGTTTTTTTATTTTTATAATGTTTTAAAGTAATGTGTTAGTTGAAATTATATCTGTAAAATAAAAATTGTTCTGTTTTTTAAAAAAAAATTTTTTGTAGGAAAACAGTTAAAATAATTTTATAAAATACTAATTTTCAAATAGTGCTAAAAAAACATCAATGAGAATATTCTAATGAATTTTAAAAAAGCCTTCCCCATACTAATCCAACAGCCGTCGAAAAAGGCGGCTCGAATTTGGGTTACGTGTTATTATATTAATAATTACTTAAAATCCAATAGAAAATTTACAAATTCAATTATACGTAGTTATTTAGTTATAAATTTAAATCATGTTAATAAAAATATTATGCTTTCGCTAGTGTATTTTTTATTCAGAAAAAGTGAAAATATAAGGACTTAGCGCGCGTGAATGCTTACGGTGTTTGACAAATATAACAATTTCTGTAAAAAATCTTTATTCAATACACATACTATGAAATAAAAACTGTTAATTACTTACCCTTCAATCATATACCAATCCTTATACTAATAATTTTACACTATTTTATTAATTTTTTACTCACAAGTATTGAGTTTGAAGACCGCCAAAATTTAAATAAATTGTCTGCACAAATTACAAAAAATTATGTTATTGGAGTTATTACTTTTTTGATGTGTAGTATGATAGTATTGCTTGTATTTTTCTTTACACGTTACAAAACTTAGATAAAAATAAATATAGTTTAAATACGAGAAATCACACATTAAATCACATCGGGCCCAATCGACCTTTAAAAGGTCGATCGACAGACGAGGTATTAAAAAAGTGAAGATGAAATGAAGATTTGCATAATAAAATTTTGTACTTGATTATTTTAATACTACTGTACAGTAAAATTCATTATATAAATTATTACTACATATTAGTAATAATATTACATACCACAAATATTATACTTATAATATGTATAATGTATGGCAAATCTCAGCTTAAGCCGCGTTGACACTCTCAAAGTCTGCTATGACAAAGTAGCTTTGATCAAAGTTTACTTGTATATATGTATACATGTTGGTTGTTGACGCGTTGCCGTAATGCCGTACTTTGGCGCACAATGTCGAAGTTTGCTAATGCTTAATTGGAAAGTGAATTAGATTTCAAGTGCACCAGCAGAGGGCACTAAGTTCAGTGTTGAAAGAAAAATAAACTAACTTGTTAATAAATTATCGCCGATATTATAAATTATATAATAAACTAACAACTCACCCTCACTTCTCTCGGGTTCGTCAATAGCTTGCTTCCCAATAAAAACTTTCATCCCCATTTTCACCCCCTTAAGGGATGATTTCCGTGATTAAAAGCTATCCTATGTCCTTCTCAGGGTCTCAAATTATCTTCTTACCAAATTTCATCTAAATCGGTACAGTAGGTATTAGTATAGATGTATAATAATATAAAACTAATTAATATGTAATTATATAAATAAAATATAAACAAATATACTATTATATATATTAACAATAATGTAAATAAAATTACGATCAATGCCCACTTGAAGAAAAAACACCTCTCATATTTTCTGTTATTGAGTTGGTATCCTTGCGTACATCGTGCCAAAGCAGTACTTTTCAAAATTCAAAATGCTCGATTGAGCGGAGCTGCTGTAGTTGGAACATACGAAGTTAGCATTATGCTGTATAATGCGCTTTAGTGCTCTAATTTGAAAACAGGGTTTGAAGTTTGATCGTAGCAAGTGTCAACGCGTCTATAATCTATAATCATAAAAAATTGGCGCGAAATTATGATGTTTGACAAACAGCTGAAAATCTGACAGCTGATGAAACTAGGACTGATTCAATAAAACGAATTAAATATTTAAAACACAGTAATCTCTTAATTAAAAATCTTATATCTCTTAATTAAAAATGAGTACTTAGTTTTTAATAGTATTAATAATTTTTATACATATACGAAAATGGTGCTTCACAATAATGGAAAATATAGGGCTGATAAAAATGATTCCAACAAAAAAGAAGCTGGACCATCTACAGGACCAAGGTATTACTAATTTATATCTTGTAAAATAATTTATGAAATGCTTGGATTTAATAACAATTAATATTTACAGGGAAGAATCATCGGAATCACGTCTCCGCGTATCGATAGATAACGATAGAATTGATTCTAAGTATGGATTTGATAGAGTACGTGATGCGAAAGAACGAACTGGTTATCTGCTGAACATGCATACCGTAAGATCCTTTAATAATATGAAGCATATATGCCATCAGTACTCCATCTGTTAATTTATTTAGGTTTTTGTTTACATTATTACTAAGTACATATGTTAATAAATTTTAGGCTGAAATTTTGGATGAAGATAAAAGATTGGTTGCTGCAATGGATTATTATTTTATAGAGATGGATGGTTCCAGGTTCAAAGTATCTCTTATGTTTAATCCATATTTCCTTGTATTGGCTAGAAAAGAGTGTGAGCAAGAAGTAATACAATACTTATCTAAAAAATTTGCTGGTACTATACATAAAATAGAAATTCTTGAGAAAGAAGACTTAGATTTGGTAAGATAGTTTAAATAAATATTAAAAAATATATATTAGTTATTAAGTTTGTTTAGAAACTTGAAAAAAAAATTATATACAAACTGAAGATGCATAAGTTTAACATTTATTTGATGATATATTGTATATTTTTTAGCTGAATCACCTGTCAGGTCTTAAGCAGCGTTACGTAAAACTATCATTCACATCTCAAAATGAAATGATAAAAGTCAGAAAGGAAATACTAACAGCAGTAAACAAAAATAAAGAAAGAGAGAAGAAAGATGCTATTTACTCTGAGATGTTGACAAACGCACTGACTAGTGCTGCTGCAATAGAATATGCAAAAAAAACCACTGATCACATGGATAACATTTTAGATATGAGGTTTACATATTTATTAAAATTAATGTATTTTTACTGGATTCCTTCATGTTTGTGACATAAATTATTTTATGTATTAATAGCATGGATTGCAACTAGGCTACTAAACATTGGTTATAGCTAACTTTTGTTTAACATCATTATTATAACATAAGAATGATATCTTACTAAAGTACTGGTTTTTGGATTTCAGAGAACATGATGTCCCTTACCATGTAAGAGTAGCAATAGATATGAAGATATTTTGCGGAACCTGGTATACAGTGAAGAGTAGAGGTACAGAGACACCAATATTCACCAAAAGAGATGATATCATAGAAAGACCAGATCCTATAGTATTAGCTTTTGATATTGAAACCACTAAATTACCTTTAAAGTTTCCGGATTCACAAACAGACCAAATAATGATGATTTCATACATGATTGATGGACAGGGGTACCTAATTACAAATAGAGAAATTATATCTGTTGATGTGGAGGACTTTGAGTACACACCTAAACCTGAATTCGAAGGGTAATAAAATTAAAACTTATATATGATTTTTCATAAATTACATGATATATATTTTTAATACTTAAATTCTTGTACCTAGACTAATTGGTGCTCTCTGCTCTTGACGTAACATAATAAGGCGAATTTTGTAATTATAAGATCATTCATCACATCTACATAGTTATTTTTATTTTAAAAAAGCGACTCACCCTCCCTTTTTTAAATAAAAATAACTACTATTTAAGCGATTATATGATATATAACCTACAGCCTTCCTCAATAGACAGGCTATCTAATGCAAAAATAATTTTTCAAATCTGATTAGACAACGTGCTAAAGTGTCCAAAGAAACAAGGAAACAAACTGCCTGTTTATAATATTACTATAAATTAAATTTTATTACATTATATGTTTCAGTCAATTTATAGTATTCAATGAACCTAATGAATTGGGCTTGATTCAGAAGTTCTTTGATCATATCATGGATGTTAAGCCCCATATATTTGTCACATATAACGGTAAGTCCAGATCTTGTCTTTAGGCTATTAACTTAGAAGTCTTTTAGGACATTTAAAAATAGTAATATTTGAATGACTAATGCATACTTATATAGATTTATAAAGCATAAAAATTTGTATGTTTTTGCACTAAAACATGTCGTTGTATAATTATATTTTATTTTTTATTGTAGGTGACTTTTTCGATTGGCCTTTTGTTGAAGCTAGGGCTGCCATACTGGGATTAGACATGAAGCAAGAAATAGGTTTTAGTAAAATCACTGGACGAGATGGTACTTATGCTTGCCGACCAGCAATGCATATGGATTGTTTATGGTAATTTTATATAGAATTAATTTGTACTAAAACACATTTAATAAAGTGTACTTATTGTTAAAATATACTTATTATTAAAATATAGAAACAATGATAACTGAATTATGTACAAAATGAGGCACACAGTGGCATCTAATTGGTAACATGTTTGCTTGGCAAGTTAATACAGTAAAGGAAAAAATTGCTGTGTCTGATAGAACTTTACTAGTTTTTGAAAAATATGTGAAGCCTGCCAACCCCCATTTGGCAGTACAATAGACTGCTTTAATTGTACTCGCATTGAGAAGGGGCTTATTCCTGCAGATTTGATTTAATTTGCACACGGTTAATTTTTAACGCGCAGTCGACGAATGCTTGTCATGCATTTCTATCGAAAAGATTATCAGCGTACAATATGCACAGTTAAAAAAATGTGGTCTTCAAAGAACCTAATTTTTTAGGTCTTGACTGAGTTTGGGGACCTTCAATAAAGCTATTAAGTTAATTGATTCATATTTAGGTTTTATATGATATTAAAATATTATTTGCAGTTGGGTGAAAAGAGACTCCTATCTGCCAGTGGGTTCTCAAGGCCTTAAAGCTGTAGCGAAGGCAAAATTGCGGTACGACCCGGTGGAGTTAGACCCTGAAGACATGTGCAGGATGGCTGCTGAGCAGCCACAGGTGAAATATTTTAGACTTTCTTTATTAGTTTATATACGATTCTCATTTTTAACAACAATTTTCAACAAACTCTTTCTGTATGGAAAGAAAATAAACATTAAATTTTAATTTGTTTTCATAAGAAATGCCTTATTTTTCATAGTGTCAAATCTCACTGAAGTAAGACCTTGCAAAATTAAAAGTGCTTGAATAATAAAACAATGACAATTTGTTTTTCATTTCCAGGTGTTATCAAACTATTCAGTATCAGACGCAGTTGCTACTTACTATTTGTATATGAAATATGTTCACCCGTTTATATTTGCTCTCTGCACCATTATTCCACTGGAACCTGATGAGGTAAACCATTGGTGAAAGAATCCTAATATATTTTCCATTATTATAAATATCTAATGTAATTGAAAAGACATTTTTTTTGTAATTGTAATATACATGATGGTAGGACATTTACTCAATATCTTGAATTAATTATTTGTAAAAACAACTTTAATATTATGATGTTTATCAATTTCACTAATAATTTTAAAAGACCCCAAAATATGTTTATTACACACTAGCGACTCACCCTAGCTTCAATCGGGTTCATAATAATGATTAGTTAAATTGACATAACCTTTTTATTTATAAACCAATTGCAATAAAACAAATACTAAATGTTAAGTGAAGCTTACCACAATACATTAGTGAAAACCGCACCCAAATCGGTTAAGTCGTTTCTGAAACTAACGCGCACAAACACACATACAAACAGACAAAAATTCTAAAAATCATTGTTTTGGATTCTATTGCTGTAATGAAGACCCGCAATAAAAGATTTTTTCAAATATCTTTCATTTACAGACAGCGATCAGTTACTCTTTAATTATATGTATGGATTTCTATAAGTTTGGTAGAATATAAAATAGGAATTTATTCAATTACTTATCAATAACTAGCTTTTCACGAGCTTCGTTCACGTGATCTATTAGCCTGACGTTAGATATACCTTAACCTTCCTCAATAATTCGGCTATCAAAGGCTGTCTTGGTTGGTGGTTTAAACAATAAACAAACAAACTATTTAACTATATTATATTAGTATACATAGATTTATTATTAGAACTACAAAATATATACAGCTTATTCTTTTTATCAAAAAACTCATACATTAGATTTAAGGGTCCTGAATGATGAAGTAATATTCCAGGTCCTTCGCAAAGGCTCCGGCACACTCTGCGAGTCTCTCCTCATGGTGGAGGCGTTCCACGCCAACATCGTGTTCCCCAATAAGCAGGTGGAAGAACTTAACAAGCTCACCAGCGATGGGCATGTGCTCGAGACAGAAACTTATGTGGGAGGTCATGTGGAAGCTCTGGAATCGGGTATGATATATCATATAAATATTATGATTGTTTTTATAACTTAGTAGTGAAAAACAAAAACAAATCTATCCCATGGGAACCGTACATTTTGCCGGGATAAAAATAGTTTATGTGCATTTGCAGACTATAATCTATTTCTGTGCCAAATTTCATCCAAATCCGTTCAGCGTTCTGGCGTGATTGAGTAAGAAACATCCAAACATCTACACTTTAGTAGAGATATATTTTATAACTTTTTTTTTGGTAAAATTAAAAATAAGTAATTATTATTGAAAATGAAATGACAAATTATGACAAATCTTTCTAACTGTAGGAACCTTAGACGTCTTTACGTCTTGCTATGCTAGTTTGATGCATTAATACTTGTATGAAAAACTCACAAGGAAAGGCAAAAGCCGCCATATTAATTATTTCTTAGTCCATATTTGAAAACTGCATACACAACTTTATTAATATACATAAGAATTTATTTATAGGTGTCTTCCGTGCTGATATTAAATGTAAATTCAGAATAGTCCCATCAGCAATAGATAAACTGATGGAAAATACTGAGAAAACTATGAAACATGCTATCGAAGTGGAAGAAGGAATACCACTAGATTTAGTCACCAATTTTAATGAGGTTTGCGAGGAAATTAAGGCAAAATTACAACACATGAAAGACCATCCAAGGCGAGATGAAAACCCCTTGATATATCATTTGGATGTAGGAGCTATGTACCCCAACATTATTTTAACTAATAGGTATTCAGGTTTTTTTACTATATTATATTTTATTTAAAGTTTGGACTATAGATAAGTAAGTCAGTGCATAATTTCAGATTTGATCTATTTATGAAAAGCTCTAAAGGTATAATAAGTATAATCTATATATAAAACAAAGTCGGGTTAGTTACACCATCTATAACTCAAAAGCGGCTGGACCGATTTTTATGATTTTTTATTTGTTGGATTTGTCTCCGCCCTGAATAGAAAAATAACTATTAAAATATCGAAAAAATGCACGAAAAAAGAATTAAAATTTAAATGGCTAAGGCTGGCTAATAATTATTTATATCTATTTAAAACATACCTGGGGACGCACCCGAGCGAAGTAAGCGTGAGTCGCTTTAAATAGTAAAAATACAAAGTCTGATGTAATATGGCAGGCTGCAGCCGTCGGCGATGGTGGGCGCGCGCACGTGCGCCGTGTGCGACCACAACCGCCCCGGCGCCGACTGCCAGCGCCGCATGGAGTGGATGTGGCGCGGCGACTACCGTCTGTATACTTCCTTACAATTATAATAATAATTCCTTTGAAAGAAAGAATAGAAAAGTCTATTTTCATAATAATAATAATGATCCTAATATTGATTCCTTGATCTATTCCGATCACGGCGGTCAATTTCGCTGAGGCTATTGACTAGCCCATACAAATATATCTCATACTCTGGTAGGACGACAAATGCACAAACAGTTGCACACTATATCCTTTGTTTGATAGAAATAAATATGTCAAAATAGTTTGGTTGAGATTTACGAATGACATACCATCCCACAGGAACGCAATAATAAAACAATAAAAGATCTATGTATTGCAAAATGTTTGTAACTTATTGTGTTGATAATTTCTGAAATGTGTATGTAAACATATAAACTCTTTAGTTTTATATAATTAATATTAATAAAAATAATTATCCTGGATATACAAGAATAGTGTACAAATCATTTTGAACTCTACAGTGCCAGCAACAAGAAGCGAATATCAAAGAATCCAACAGCAGCTGGAGACAGAGAAGTTTCCGCCTCTCCACCCCGGAGGCCCACAGAGAGCGTTCCATGCTTTGCCTAAAGAAGACCAGGTATGAAAGTGGTCAAAGGAAAATTTATAGATTTTATATTATATACTTAACTAGCCTACCAACACATATGGTAATTTTAGGTAGCTTATCTATCATTTATCATATATGTATCTATCATCTATCTATCTATCATCTTTCTATCTATCATCTATCTATCTACCTACCTATATATCAATCATCATCACCATCGTCGTCATCGTCATCATCATCTTATTCATCATCAATCTACTCATGTATTACGATTTAATAATAATACGGAAAATTTTATGGTAATAATACGGAACCGGAATCTCATTACAATATCCCTATATAATATAATACTACAATATCTCTAAACTATTTTGCAATACTAGTAAAACCTTTTAGTTTTGGCTCATTTGGTACATAAAATCATGAGTTTTTTGCTTATTGAAACTAATCATTTTATCGGATTATGTATCTTTCTAGGCAGCGTATGAAAAGAAACGTCTGGCAGATTATTGTAAGGTGGCATACAAGAAGACAAAAGTAACTCGTACCGAAGTCCGCACCACTACTATATGCCAGAAGGAAAACTCATTTTATGTGGATACTGTTAGAGCTTTCAGGTACTGGAGATATTTTAAATACCTTATTACTAATACTTTCAATGTTTTATGTTTATTATATAAAAATAAAATTAAAAATTTAAATAACCCCCGACAGATAAAAAAAACTCTAAAAAGTAAAAAAAAAACTCTCTTGGTCTTTTAATGTTTGTTTTAAATTTTGATGATGAGCATCGCCGCGTCGGGGGCGACTAGTTATTATTAGCCTAGTATAAAGATGTAGTTATACATAATACTTGATTTTCGGTTCTCAAGAGACTAAGATTTTAGACGCTCAAAAGTATTGTATAGTTGTTATAGACAGTTAAAAGCATTTGAAACTTCGGGGACAATAAATGGAAAAAAAGTCCGCGCAAAAATCCCAAAAAAATGGTTTCATATCAAATATTTGTGTAAATCTAAAAATTATAATCCATACTTCCATACTAATATTATAAATGTGAAAGTGTGTTTGTTTGTTTGTTCTTCTTTCACGCCGACACGGAGTGACGGATTAGCGTGATTTGTTGTATGGATGTAGTTGAAGAGCTGGAGAATGACATAGACTACTATACTTTACCTCTGGAGATCATCTAATTCCCACGGGAAAACACGTTATAATACAATACAAAAATATATTTATGATTAGAATTACTTGAAACTTGGTGTTAATGCTCTTCAATAAAATTAAAGGAATACGTGTTTTAGCATTTTTCGAAATTCGTCCTATAAGGGACGTAAAATAGGGTATCAAAGTTTGTATGAAACTACCTAAATTTTTAGAGATTTATTTTTAATTTTAGCGCGAGCGAAGCGAAGTAATAGAATAATACATAGTCTCCTTCCATACCAGGGACCGTCGCTACGAGTACAAAGCGCTGAACAAGCAGGCGAAGGCGATGGTGTCGGCGGCGCTGGCGGGCGGCGACGCGGCCGAGGTCAAGAGCGCCAAGAGCCGCGAGGTGCTGTACGACTCGCTGCAGCTCGCGCACAAGTGTATACTCAACTCCTTCTACGGATATGTTATGAGGAGAGGGTGAGGGTCTCGTATGATTTCTTATGCCGTATTTACGAAATTAGGTATTTTGAGATTTATAAGTACCTAAAGATTGTAACAAGTCTGTTACTCCTTACTGCTGCAGGGATTTGGATGAAATGTAGAACACAGGTAGACTAGACCTGAAGTAACCAATAGTCATTTAGTAACGAAATTAGCCAATAGGTGACGCTATCTATATATAGGGCAGTGGTAGCCCAGTGGTAACGCGCTCGCTTGGGAAACTGAGTGAACCTGCCACCGAGTGAGTCCGCCAACCCGCACTCGGTCAGCGTGGTGGACTATGGCCGTAAAAGGGAGGCACAAGCCCAATAGCGGGACATTAAAACGGGCTAAATACAAATAAAATATATCGCATAATTTGGTGTCCGGCAGCGCGCGCTGGCACAGCATGGAGATGGCGGGCATCGTGTGCTACACCGGCGCCAACATCATCATGCGCGCGCGCGAGATCATCGAGCAGGTGGGCCGCCCGCTCGAGCTCGACACCGACGGTACAGTACCCACATTCACATATGCCACAGTCTTCTATTCAATACACTCATCTAATGGAGGCTACTTTATTATAACCACATACTAATAAAATGTATATTCTATTGTAGAGGCCTCTTTATTAATACCACAGTACTCTTTATTAGTACACTCTAACGGAGGTTTCTTTATTATTAATTATTAGTTATTATTCATATTTTCATTTATTATAAATATCATACTCGGGACACAAAAGCAAATTTAACTCAATCTTGTATATTTATTTATTTAATTATTTATATATACCGGCAATCTCGGAAACGGCTCTAAACGATTTCGTAGAAATTTTATATGTTGGGGTTTTTGGAGGCGAAAAATCGATCTAGATTAGTCTTATGGCCGGGAAAACGCATTTTTTCGAGTTTTCATGCGGTTGTCTTTTATATTATTCCACGCAAAATATGGTCGCTAACTTCACACGTTCCGTCTTAAGCATCGTCGTCAAGCAGCCGAGCCACAAATGGACAATCACAGGTCCGGATTCGAATCTCGATCGGATACAAAGTTTTTAATTTAGTTTTTTTTTGTGTTTATTCAAGTTTTAGTTTTTTTTAAAGAAATTTGTACTTTCGGGCAAGAATTCCGAGCGAAGCTCGGTCGCCGAGGTACTGTATAATAATATGATTTGATCCCTTTCGCATTGGAGGGAGACCCGTACCCAAAAGTAGAGCGATGAAAGGGCAAAATTATTAGTTCATATCATAAAATGTTTGGCAGGTATCTGGTGCATACTGCCCTCGTCATTCCCCGAGAACGTGACTATCCACACAACGCACCAGAAGAAAAAGAAAATCAACGTGTCATTTCCCAATGCTGTTCTGAATGCTATGGTTAAGGTGAGATGACTTTGTTATATCTGTTTCAGGTTTTCAGTCAGGTCAGTATAGTTGAATTTCAAGTCAAATAGGAATTTTCCATACCAATGTATGTTTCGGATATAAACGATTATATTTTTTCTGTCCCTACAAAGTTGTAGTATGTACATTGTACATAACATACATTTGCTTATAATTTTGTTTTCTTTAAAGAGATATTTAGTCTTAGTCAGCGCATTTCTTTTCACGTATATATAAAATAATTTTTATTTTTTATTTTATTTATCATTAGAGAAACATACAGTGTTACAACACAAACAACAAATAACAATAATATTAGTACATACACCAATAAAGTTTCTACAAACAAACAATTCATACAGTAAAAGAGTAGAGATTTGACAAAACAACAACACTTGAATTATATTAGCGAAACAACTAATAATAATAATATAGTATACGAATAATAATAATAATGTTGTATTTAGTAACAGAAATTTGTTGTTTAGGACTATTTCACCAACGATCAATATTACGAACTGCTAGATCCAGTTGAGAAAAAGTATGAAAAGAGATCGGAAAACTCAATTTTCTTTGAAGTAGATGGACCTTATCTCGCTATGGTGTTACCAGCTTCTAAGGAAGAAGGCAAAAAGTTGAAAAAACGTTACGCTGTGTTCAATTTTGACGGCTCATTGGCTGAATTAAAAGGGTTTGAAGTTAAACGCCGAGGTGAACTACAACTTATTAAAATATTTCAATCGTCAGTATTCGAAGCTTTTCTTAAAGGAAATGACTTAAAGTCTTGTTATGGAGCTGTAGCGAAAATTGCCGACTACTGGCTCGATGTGCTGTACAGTAAAGGATCCAATATGCCTGATTCAGAATTGTTTGAACTTATATCGGAAAATAGATCGATGTCCAAGAAATTAGAGGATTATGGCGGTCAAAAGTCGACGTCGATTTCCACTGCGAAGAGGCTGGCTGAGTTTTTGGGTGATCAGATGGTCAAAGACGCTGGCTTAGCTTGCAGGTGTGTAATTTTTTTTAATATTATACATATTTTACATTTTCTAATTAAATAACTGGTATTTAATGAAATTTAAAATTCAGCTAATACATTCACTAACGAATATTAATAACAAAAACCCTTGCTTCGCTCGGGTACATCCTTATGTGCCGATCAGTAGCCTATGTGTTTCTCCATCATCTATCCAGACTATCTGTGAACTAAATTTTATTTAAACTCAGCTAATATAAAAGCCGTAATATAAAAGAGTAACAAACATACAAATACAAAACTTCACATTTATAATACTAGAGCAATCCATACTTTAATATTATAAATGAAAAAGTGTGTTTGTTTGTTCTTCTTTCACGTACGTTATAATAGATGTTTTGTGTGGAGATAGTTGGAGGGTTGGAGAGTGACATAGACTACTTTTGACCGCGGGAATTTATCTTATTCGCACGGAAAAATACTTTATAATACAACCCACAATAATTCAACTCATCACACTTATGTTTATAACACATAATGCAATTCACAACAACTCATCATATTTATATCTGTATAAATATTATAAATGTGAAAGTTTGTGAGTATGTATGGATGTTTGTTACTCTTTCACGCCAGAACGGCTGAACGGATCTGGATGAAATTTGGCACAGGGATAGATTATAGTCTGGAATAACACATAGGCTACTTTTCATCCCGGAAAAATATACGGTTTCCGAGGGATAGATTTGTTTTTGTTTTTCTAGAGGTATATATATAGTGTAAAACTGAACACCTACGATCCCCAGGTTCATAATATCCCGCAAGCCCGAGGGTGCCCCGGTGACGGAGCGCGCGGTGCCGCTCGCCATCTTCCAGTCGCCGGGCGCGGTGCGGCGCCACCACCTGCGCCGCTGGCTCAAGGACGCCTCCGTCGGCGAGGACGTCGACATCCGCGACGTGCTCGACTGGGCCTACTACATAGAGAGGCTGAGTGGGGCTATACAGAAGATCATTACTATACCTGCTGCTTTACAGGGGGTAAGTTTTGGGAGATTAAAAAACTGGCCAAGTGCGAGTTGGACTCACGCACGAAGGGTTCCGTACCATTATCTATAAAAACGGCAAAAAAATCATGTCTGTTGTATGGGTGCCTCACTTAAATATTTGTATTATTTTAATTTAAAGAAATACATCCTCTATGAAAATTTCAACTGCCTAACTATCACGGTTCATCAGATACAGCCTGGTGACATACGGACAGACAGAAAGACGGACAGACAGCGGAGTCTTACTAATAAGGTCCCGTTTTACCCTTTGTGTACGGAACCCTAAAAAACATCTACTAATGAATACGATTGTCTAACACAGACGTGTAGACAATGTTATGTAATGGTCGTGCGAGGCGAAAAGCGCGTGAAACGTACCCGACTGTCATATGAACATTTATATGACAGTCTCGAAATTGCTGTAGGGTTGATAACTGTAATATTTCTAAAGACATCACATTGGATGATTCGCTCATTAAAATTGGTATTTATTGACAACCCTATGCCAGAAAAAATATGTCTCGACTTTGAATATTGAACATACTTAGATTAATAAATTATTCGCACACATACCATATATCAGTAATTTACATTTGAAATCTTAGTATTATTTTAAAAACTTATATCGTAAATACGATTTTAATACATTCATAAAATTAATGTCTTAAATAACTATTTACACTAACTTTTGTTTAAAACAGCTAGATAATCCAGTCCCTCGAGTCCAGTACCCGGATTGGTTGCACAAGAAGATGTTGGCGAAGAGTGACAAGTACAAGACACGGAAGATCACGGATATGTTCAGTGCGAAACCTAAGGAGGTGTCCAAAGATAATGATGATGATGATGATGACGGTGATGAAAATAATGCTTGTGTAAGAACTTTTATTTATCTATACTAATATTATAAAGAGGTAAAGTTTGTGACTTTGTTTGTGTGTTTGTGACGTGTACGGAGTAATCTCTGGATCTACTGAATCGATTTAGATAAAATTTGGTAAGAAAATAGTTTGAGACCCTGGGAAAGGACATAGGATACTTTTTATTCCGGAAATCACCCCTTAAGGGGGTGAAAATGGCGATGAAAGTTTGTATTGGGAAGCAAGCTAGCAAGCAAAAGAGATAAATATAACTTACAACTTATATCTCATACTAGTATAAGAAAAAATTTTAAATATAGATATTACAGAGTATATAATATGTCATTTTGAACATGGGTTCGAGACTTCAATGCGCTATTATTAGGATTTTTTACTTTTAATGTTTGTTAGTGTTGTGTGACTTAACAAAGATTGATTATTCTATTATGGGGTATAAGTAGTTTCGTTTTTATATAAAAAATAGCACATTAAAAAATAATGCTTTTTTAAATAAAACTATCTATTCGGATTATTTCGCGGATTTATTTTGATTTTTGGTTCCCGACGTTTCGAATGCTTTACAGCATCCATGGTCACGGGAGAGACTGAGGTGTTACATGTCTTGAAGGTATAGTTGTTACAGACAGCCTACCCACAATTAACAAAATGAAAATTGCACCAATTACATTACAATATTTTTTAACTTTAAACATTTTTATAATTTTAATTATAATTTAATATGGAATATTATTTATTTAAATTTTACTATTATTTTTATAATTATTACAATTTTAAAAATATTAATTAGTAATCTATATTAAGTGTTGCCATTATTATATTTATAACCATAAAGAAAATATAAAATATAGTATTAATTATTTAAGCCATATAATTGTTCTATGTGTAATTTAAAAAGTTAAAATTAATTAAGGATAATAATTTTAATTTAGTTTGCTATTATTTAAAAACAACTTACTAAGCAACACTATTACTATATACTTTTACAAATGAAAAATTAAAAATATTAATCTGATAAGCTGTCATTTTGATCTACACAGTAAGACAAAGAGTATAGTTATAAACTGCAGTAAGAACTTACTACATCTACCTGTCTGTTATGTTTATATTTATTATTTGATTTTATTATATTAATAACAGGATCCCATGACGATGGTAGTACCCAGCCATCTTCCATATTGAAATTTGGATGTTTTTTAATTTCTATGGCTTCTCGAATCATTCTAGGGCGATATCGGTTTTATTTCGCCAGGATTTGAGGTCTATCGAAGCGAATATAATGGCTAATTAAATCCGCGAAATAATCCGAAAAGATAGTTTTATTTAAAAATGTCAAACATTCGCGTAAATCTAAGAAAGTAATAATGCTTTTGTTAATATTTAGTCATAAATATTAGAAAAACCAATTAATTAAATCCAAAATTAATGTGTTATGTTTTGAGGCTACTGGCTACTTCGCATTCGGGATTTACTTGTTATTGCTGTGATATAGTTGTATTAATCCACGTTAATATTATAAATATGTAAGTAACTATGTATGTCTGTGTTACCTAAGCACAGTGAAACTGATAAACAATTTTTGATGAAATTTGGCAAAGATATAGATAGCATGATTAGGTCGACTTTTATTTTCCATCCAATTTACAATCCAAGCAAAGCCGCGGGCAATATACGTTGTAAGTAAAGTTAAGCTACAAAAGCACATTTTAAATGAATCTATCTTTTCGGATTATTTCGCGGATTTATTATGATTTTTGGTTCCCGACGTTTCGAATGCTTTACAGCAATCATCGTCACGGGTGAGACTAAGGTTTTAGACGTGATAAAGGAGTTATATACATGTTACAGAAGTACGCTTAATCTGTCAGTACAAAACAAAACTAGTGTCGCAAGCAATATTAACATAATAGAACAAAATGTTTTTTCATCCTTAGAATACAGAAGTGGATATAGAGGATATAGGTAAGGAAGTTGCTGGATCGTCATCCATTCGTCCAGTCGTCCACAGCGTGAAGCGCAAGAGAGAGGAGTCGCCGTTAAAAGAGGCTGCCACTTGGAGGGAAGCCCTAGGGCCTCCACCGCCGTTTGGGAATACTAAGGTTTGTTAGAAACATGAAAACTGTTGCTTTTTTTTTCTATAAAATGTTATTTAATATAAGTGTAATAAAATATTTTTATTATATTCATTAAAAGGATTTAAAAACTCAATAAAGATGGATTGACCAATTCTAGTAAGAAAGAAGGAAGCTATAAGATAGCGCTAGCTATTGTAAGATTAATAATTTTTATTACATTCAATATAATATACATACATATAAAAGTTAATTGAGAGAGTTAAAAATTTCTTAATTTCATGTCTCTAGGAAGAACGGAGAGCTTGGATAGTGTTCCAGAAGAAGAAATGGATGTGGCAGATGGAACAACGCGGACTACGTAATAAGAGTAAAAGAGGTAATACTTTCTTAGATTTACGCGAATATTTGACATTTTAAATAAAACTCTGGAGAGACTCTCCCGTGACCATGATTGCTGTAAAGCATTCGAAACGTCGGGAACCAAAAATCAACATAAAGCCGCGAAATAATCCGAAAAGATAGTAAAAGAGATAATTAATTTGTGTACAATATAATCTTTCATACAACTTATATTATAATATAATTATTTTAATTTATTATCTTATTGCGAGAAATGAAAAATATATTATATATCGAACGTATATTGTCTTATTTAATACATAATCTATACATATAATGAAATTCCAACGATGTCGAATCTGTACATTAAATATTTCTTGGAATTTTTTTATTAAAATAATCATCATTATGATACATAGACCTAATCTATATTTTTTAGAATTTTTGTCTATCTGTCTGGGACGCGTCACGAGAAAGCCATTGGACAGATTTTGATGAAATTTGGTATGATGATAGCTAGTTATCCGGGTCAACATATAGGATACTTTTTACTGCGAAAAAATCTCATCTCTGAGAAGTCTATACAAACCGTAAAACTTACCTAGGGACGAACCCGAGCAGAGCCAGGGTGAGCCGCTAGCATTCTGTATTTTAAACCACATTTCTTATTGTATTATATATTGTTTGGAAAAGAAAATTAATAAGACCGACATTCTATGATTCTTCAATATATATAATAATTTTGTAACTAAGCCGAATCTGTACATTAAATATTTTTTCGAAAATCTTATTGAAATAAACATTATTATCGATATCCATAGTTCCGAATCTATAGTTTTTAAAATTTTTGTCTGTCTGCCTGTCTGTCTGTCTGTTACCGCATTACAGAAAAACTACTGAAGGGATTTTAATGAAATTTGGTATGGTGATAGCTGGTTATCCGGGTCAACATATAGGATACTTTTTACCGCGGGAAAATGTCTCATTTCTGAGAAAAAATACAAAAACTGCAAAGTAAGAGTATACTAATATGTAAAACCTAAGAATTTCTTTTTTGTTATCTGAACGCGGGCGGAGCCGTGGGCAATGCTAGTACAATATATATTTAAAAGTTGAATAGAAAAAGTATACCGATTATGTATAGCCTGTATTATAATACAGGTCTGTAGACACTGTCTATAGACAGTCCTTCAATTTGCAGGTAGAGTAGATAAAGATGCATCAACGAGTATGGTGTCGAGGAATACCGGCCCCACCAACACGCTGGGTGGCTTTATAAGGCGGGCTCAAAGAACACTCCTGAATACACCGTGGCAAATTATACAGGTATATATACATATAAATAAAATTGAAGTGTCTGTCTGTGATATTAAAATAATTATGATTTCTCAAGTACATAAAGTTATTTATAAGGTACCAGTACCTAAACAATCCTTTTTAAATTTTTTACCTGTTGGTCTGTCATTCTGTTTGTCTGCGGTAATTTTTGCTTGGAACGGTTTAATTGATTGTAGTGGGACTTTTATTAAAAGCTAAAAGAGTTTGCAGGGATACATATAGCGTGATTTTTTCTGCATATATTTAGGTTTCCAACGTGAAAACCAAAAACCCTCAAATAATTGATTGAACATTTGATAGTGATTTCACGGAAAAGTTCGCGATAGCACTTGTGTATATCATAAGAGACACAATAACTATTTTTATTTATCTAGGGAAGCACTGAAGTGAAGCGAAGGTAAATCGCTAGTATTAAAATTAAAAAATATGTGAAATTCTTTGTAGCTTTCACAATTTTACAAATGTATATGTTAAAAATAATGCAATTAATAATACAATTCAAATTGGCCGGTTTAAAATAAGCACAAGTAGCCGGCAATAAACATTTTTACAACAGCGTGTCACTTAGGTATATGTGTTCAGTAATAAGGTAACATAACCTACTATAACGCACCGCACAGGTAGCGGAGACGGCGGAGCCAGGGCTGTTCAAGCTGTGGGCGCTGGTGGGCGCGGAGCTGCACCAGGTGCGGCTGTCGGTGCCGCGCGTGTTCTACGTCAACCGGCGCGTGGCGCGCGCCGCCGACCGCGGCCCGCACTGGCGGCGCTGCGCGCGCCTGCTGCCCCGCGCGCGCCCCGCGCACCACCTGTACCAGTACACCGTGCCCGAGCATCTCTACAGGGAGAGATGCCAGTGAGGCTTGTTTGTGCTTTTTCAAGTTATACTTCTTTTGGCACGTTTGGAGAAAAATATAAGAGTAAAATTTTCACGATGCGCAAGCACACCAACAGCTAAAAAGCTTCATGACGAAGTTAGCTGCATTCCTTTTACAAACAGAGAGTTGTGACATGAAATCTTTAGCTATTTTTGTTCTGTTACAATGTTTAATGTATATTGTGATAAGCACTTTGTGTAACTTTTTAAGTATGGAGTGGAAAATTAGAAAAAATGGAGTTTATAACTTCCGAAATATTTTCTAAAATATTTTTGATATTATTTTTAATAATTTACATTTAAATATAGTACATACATTTTTTTTCTTTAAACAGAGAATTGATGAGTGAATTATCGGCACCAGAAATAGAAGGCATATACGAAACACAAATGAGCTTGGAGTTCAGAGTTCTCATGCAACTGGGCTGTATTTGTGCTGTAGACCCGCAAGAAGCTAGACGGTTAATAAATAAATGTCTCATTCCATTACATTGCTAAAAACTTCATTATCGATTCTAATTTTTATTTCAATTTCTTTTCTTCCATAGACTGATTCAATTTGGCTCCAATAATATGGACACGTTTACGCTAAGTCAACTACAATTTAAAAGTGTCGCTCACCAACCATACTTGCAAAAACAGGTAACTCTAAAAATGTATTTCTTGAAATATTATAAAATATTCGAATATAGTTAAATTTTAAAAAATATATATAACTAAATGTTAAATTTACTTACTATTTTGATTATGAATTTGTCTCTTCAAGGATGGCGTATCTCCAATAAAACATATATTCCTGTACCAACACTCGGCACCGAACTCCAGCCGCAGTATGTGGGCCTTGATACTGGGGCCGGTCAAGCGTGGCTACATCTTCGTGCTAGACACGGTTAAAAGCAACCAAGTGCCCAATATGAATACTTTGTATTCAGCAGAAAGGACCGCTAAGTAATGATTATAGAAAATATTATTCTTTTCTGTTTATCGACGAGACAAGAGTCTATAATGTTCACATATCTATAATCTATACATATAATAAAATTGTAACTAAGCCGTATCTGTGTACATTAAATATTTTTTGGAAAATCTTATTGAAATAGACATTATTATCGATGCAGAGGCCGAATCTATAGTTTTTAGAATTTTTGTCTGTCTGTCTGTCTGTCTGTCTGTTACCGCATCACAGAAAAACCAATGGGGGGATTTTGATGAAATTTGGTTTGGTGATAGCTGGTTATCCGGGTCAACATATAAGATAATTTTTACCGCGGAAAAATAACTTATTTCTAAGAAAGAAACTCTGCAATGTAAGAGTATACTAATGTGTAAAACCTAAGAATTTGGCTAGTATTCACATAAAACTCCGCTACAATGGGAAATGAAAGTAAGAAATTAAAAAAGTGGTATGATTCGATTCTTCAGTGTTCGACAAACTTACAGTGACATTATAATATGATAACCATATATATGGAATAACTAGTCATTATAATTTAGATTTGTTTATTACTCTTGTTGCTAATGTATGAAATTATTATAAGGCATTTTTTTTGAAATTGATATTGTTATTTTCCTCTAATAACCAACTGTAAAACACGTGAACAATTGTAGTAAGAACTTTTATAAAACTCTGCAACTGAATTAGCGATAATATTTTTTACAACTAATATTAACTTTGTTCGTAAATTCAGCTTTTTTTTCTTTTTCTTCTTCAGCTTTCGAGTTACATAAACGTTGTTACAGGATAATCCCATAGATCAGGAAAATTATAATTATTATAATATCTTATGTAGTGGCAGTGCTGACGCACGCATTTTGGCTATATAACAATTGTATCGCGCCTCGAACCCTAGTTGTCCCGCAATCGTCTATCAATTTGTTCATCCTAGTATATTACTTGTATTATAAAAGTATATATTGCACTAGGAATATTTGTAATTAACTTAAAATCAACATAATAAATGTATGTGATTTTGGACGTTTGAGCATCTCCCGTATACACAAATACAGTGAATCACCCACACACACTAAAGTAATGTAACACATTTCAGAATAAACCTAGGCACAGATGAGAGCAGCCTCCCCGGCGCGGAGCTGGCGTGGGAGGTGTGCGCGGAGAGCGAGGCGCGCGCGGTGTGGCGCGGCGTGCAGCGCGCGCTGCAGCGCTACCGCGACGAGCGCTGCGGGCCCACCGCCGTGGTGCTGCAGGCGGCGCTCTCGCCCGCCGCCTTGCTCGCGCTCATGCCAGGTACTAGGCGACCACGCCCGGGGGTGCTTCCGGAAAATCCTTACCTCTGATTGCTCTGAGCTATACATATTTATTTCGACGCGCTGACAACGAATGTGATAGACAAAATGGCCGCATATTTCATTTTCAAGGTGAAATCTAGGTTAGATGTTTTTTATATCCCCCCGATCTTATTAGCGTCTAGCAATCCAGCCGAACGTGATGCCAAGAAACACACTGGAAGGCGGCCCACTTCAGTAGACGGTGTACAACGCGGATTGCTCCTGGTACTTCTCAGACAGCAGAGTTCACTGTGGGAGCGAACACTTGGTTGTGTGGTCTGCTTCGGCAGGCTTGCTGTCTGGGTGTAAATACATCTCCCAACATAAGGCTAGCAGTATCTTGAAGAGTGTGCGCAATATACAAAGCTTCATTACAATGTGGCAATAGGGTTCCGCTGTGGGTTTTAGTGGATAAGAGTCGTACAGTGACTTGTCTAAATAGAGACGAACACGCTTTACCTGACTTTCCAATAGAATTACTAACGATGATTAATAATTCTAATGAATACAATGAACTAAAATATACACAATTATTTTAAGCATAAAGTAATAATAACAATAATGTATCCCACAGGTCTGTCGGAGTTCCCGCTGGTGCCGCTGCACGTGCGCGACGTGGAGGCGCTGTACAGCACGCTGGAGTGGCAGCGCGTGGGCGCGCGCGCCATCGTCAGGCATTACCTCAACCTGCAGTCTGTGCTCGACCTGACCATTGAACAGTGCCGGTAAGAGGTCTAGTGAAAACATATTCAGCCCTTTTGTAACGTCCCACTGCTTGGCATGGGTCTCCCAATATGAGGGGGTTTAAACCAAAACTACCACGATGGCTAAATGCGAGTTGGCGGACTTCACATATCCTTCGAAAACTTACCTTATGTTTTAAGACTTCGCTTTTGCCAAATTTCATGATTCTAAAAGTCAACGAGAAGTATAAATGACCGTTTCTTTTCATTGTCTTGACTTAGAAGTTAGATTTTTTCACAGCTCCACGATATTGTATACCTGAGTATTTTTTTATATTAATTTCAACTTGATACCTCCACGCGTTCCTAAAAAATGGTCTTGACAGACAGACAGACGGATGGGCAACGAACTTTTCCCCTTATAGAGGTACGGAACAATAAAAAAGGATCGTAACAAAAATTCAATATTTATACATTTTACCAGGTATTTCCACTTGCCACTGGGCAACACAGCGGCGGACCCGACGCTGTTCGGGGCGGACTTGTTCTTCGCCCGACACCTCGTCAAGAACAACTTCGTGCTGTGGTGCTCCAGCCTCGAGCGCCCCGACTTGGGCGGCAGGGAGATTGACGATAATAGGTAATATGACTTTATTGTAAACTAGCATTGCCCGCGGCTCTGCCCGCGTTCAAATGACCAAATACCAAATTCTTAGGTTTTATATATTAGTATACTCTTACAATGCATTTTTTGTATTTTTTCTCAGAATTGAGATATTTTTCCGCGGTAAAAAGTATTCTATATACCCGGATAACCAGCTATCCCCATACCAAATTTCATCAAAATCCCTCCAGTGGTTTTTCTGTGATGGAGTAACAAACAAACAGACAAAAATTCTAAAAACTATAGATTCGGACTCTGTATCGATAATAATGTCTATTTCAATTAGATTTCCCAAAAAATATAGAATGTACAGATTCGACTTAATTACAATTTTATTATATGTACTAGCGGCTCACCCTCGCTTCGCTCGGGTTCACCTCTAGAAAAGCACAAACAGATCTATCCCACGGGAACCGTTCATTTTTCCGCCTATTGTTTGACCGGCAATATAAGGTATCAGCATGCCAAATTTTACTAAATTAGGTGCATAAGTTGTTGTGTACTAAACTGTATAAGCTCTTTAATTTTCTGGAATGAAAAGTATCTTAGATGTTGACCGGAGATATAAGGTACTACCATGCAAAATTTCATTTAAATCATTTCAATAGTTTCGGAGATTAGCCCGTACAAACAGACAAACAGACAGAGAAACAAAAAAAATGAAAAAAAACTGGATTTGTTCTATTTCTCTTCTTTTGTGATGTAAGAAGAGAACTGACTCGGTTTTTAGCATTTTTTTCTAACCTCTACAGTTTTATTACGTATAGAATAAATAACGTATAATAAAAAAGTAATATATAATAATGAAAATAGTTATAGCGAGTGTACCTTAGGAGATAGACATATAATAAGTAGAACTTTTCTATAGACCTTTTTAAGACTTACAATTTTCTTGCACAATGTTTTATCTATATCTTAAGGTTGAGCAAACGTTAGCCATATAAATTTCTAAGGACGATTCGATAGAACCAGTTATTGAGTTTTCCCGTGGGAATGAATAATTTGCCTGTCGTAAAAGGTATCCTAAATGTTGACCCGAGTACTAATTTATCACTATACAAAATTTAGTTAAAATTCGTTCAGTACTTTTTGCGTAAAACGCGCACATCGATTTGACTAAGTTAGTTTTATTATAGGTATAGATAAGAATAGATATTGCTTAGGAGATATACATATACTATTTAGAACTTTCCTGTAGGACTTTTCAAGGCCTACAATTTTTTAGTATATTGTTTTGATGTATGTATGTCTTAAGGTTAAGCCAGCGGAAGGTTTCAAGGGAGGACTCGATAAAACCAGATATTGTATCTTCCCGTGAAACGCGCATACAGACAGACATATAGGCAAACATTTTTTTTAATAACTATTGTTTTGGGGTCTATGTTGTGTACATAATACGTTACAAATAAACGAAAACAACTATCCCACGGGAACTGTATATTTTTCCTGGATAAAAAGAAGTGACCTATTTGTTATTCTGATGTATGAATTATATTATTGTAAAGTTTCATCAAAATCCAATTAGTAGTTTTTGTGTACTAAGCTGAATAAGTTACTATAGTTTTTTGACTGTCCCACGGGAACCCTTTAATTTTCTGGGATTTAAAAGTAGCCGATTTGTTATTGTCATGTATGAACTAAATTATTTTAAAGTTTTATTAAAATCCAATCAGTAGTTTTTGTGTACTAAGCTGTATAAGTTGTTATAGTGTTTTAACTATCCCACAGGAACTATTTAATTTTCCGGTTTTCCGGGATGAAAAGTATCCAAGATGTTGGCCAGGGATATAAGGTACCACCATGCAAAATTTCATTTAAATCGGTCCAATAGATTCGGAGATTAGCCCGTACAAACAGGAAAACAGACAAACAGCTCGGTCGGGTTCGTCCATACCTACGAATATGTTGTATTATCTCTTTAACCATTTGTCCAAATTATATGCAGTAAAAGGGAAAAGTCTTTTGTTTTAAACATTTTAGACGGTAAATTTATTTATTTTGATAAGAATTCATAATTGTTGATAATATGACCAATAAACATGACCTACCGATTTAAATTATTTTTTTAATATAAAAAACTACTTTTTGTGACTTAAATATAAAAGTTAGACATATGCTGTCGCTGACTTTTTTGTAGGCATTATTAAGCTCTACAACTTTTCTCTAGAACATAATCATGTATCTCTCATCGTTAAGGCAGTGTTCGTAAGAAACGTTTTCGTTCGACCATTTTTTCTCCGACTTACTTTGCAAATCCGACTACCACGAAAAAGCCTTTTTATTTTTCGGGTTAATATATAGCCTATAAAGAACGTGGCTTTCTATTGGTAAAAGAATTTTGAAAATCGGTTCAGTAGATCCAGAGATTACCCCCTATAACGTCACAAACTCACAAACTCACAAACCCACAAACTCACAAGATCACAAACTTTACCTCTTTATAATATTAGTATAGATAGATGTAATGTTACTTATTGTTTAGTGTATAAGTATTTATTCAAAGTATAATGTATGTCTGATATAATCTACATATAACTATTCGGAAAATCAATTTTACTAATACTTTATCCCGGAAATTTACCTAGAACTATAGAAGTATACACTATAAAATATTTAATCAAATCAGCATAATTTTGTCTTAATAATTGGTATAGGAAATAAATGTATGAAAGAAAGTAAACATAAGTGTCTTATCTATGTCAGGCTCGTGAGCGAGGCGGAGGAGTGGTCGGGGTGCAGCCACAGCGCGAGCGGCGCCTACGCCGGCGTGTGCGTTGCGCTCAGCTGCGACGCGCTCGCCGTCTGCGCGCTGCTGCAGGCGCACCACGTGCTGCAGGTACGCACCACACACACACACGCGCGCGCGCATCACACACACACGCATATGCGTATGCATGCATAGATACACGCGCGCGTATTTACACGGAGGGATGAGACAATAATCATATCTTCCATGTGAATAACTTAAAATTATGTAGAATAGTTGAGCAATGAAAACTTTACTGTATGTGGAAGTGATTCAGTTTACATTGCGGTACAATTTTTCGTAAAAGTTTTGATTGTCATGTCTAAGAAAAATCTCTATGTAGATGCGTTTTTAAATTTTATTTTAAAAGTCTTTGGCTAATCGAGCTAGAACGCTAAAGACTGTTTAAAAACATCACATCTCGCCTTATTACTTCTGTCTGGGGCAAATGCACTGACTTAGTTTTTATATCGATAATGCAATTTAACACCTCCAGGTAAATTTCTAAGAAATTAATTAAATTTCTAAGAAATCTATTGTTAACTGTAACGCCGGCGTGTCCGCGGTCGTGGAGAGATTAACGGGGAAATACACCTAGCATACTTGCCACAATTTAAAACTATAATAAGTAAATTACTATTCGCCACCCATGTGATGTTAACTTGTAGCAAAATTTTTATTATATCTCTTTAGGAGCCTATTCTTATTAAATGATGAAAATTATGTTGTTTTCCTTTTTTACTTAAAAAGTAAGATTTTGTAAGTTTAATAACTCTTATTAAAAAAATTTTTTTTACACGCTGTCTACAATGATTGTTTTAGGTTGAAGGAACAAGTGTGGCGACGTCATTTGGTGCACAGCATTCGAGTATTCAAGATGTCATGGCTACAACAGGTAATGGCATTAAACGGTAATCAAATCCCTATCCCTTAAATGAGTTTCATATGTTCTTTCTGATAAAAAATATATTGGAATGAATGAGTAGATTTACGATTCAAATAAAATCTATAAAGATAAATAAAATTGAAGTGTCTGTTTGTAAATATGCAAAAAAAAAACAGTTTAAAACTAAATGCATAGGGAATTGTATACGGTACTTATAAGAAAAATACAAATTTTTATGTTTTTTCTCTGTCTGTATGTGCCGGCTAATCTCCGAAAGATAGCTGATCTTATAAGGAGTAACTTGGACTACTTTTCTTTTAGAAATAGAATTTGGGTTCCGCTCAATAAAAATTAAACCTTATATACTATTTTATATATACATTATACTTTGAATAAATACTTATACACTAAACAATAAGTAACCGAGACGCACCCGAGCGAAGCGAGAGTAGGTTGCTAGTTAATAATATGCTGTATATTCGCGTGTAGTACGCTATCGTTATTTTATCTTAATTTATTTTATTGCGTTTTAAATAGAAAGTATTATTATAAAAAAATATTATTTCATTGCGTATTTTAGGTACAAACGCGACGGAGACCTACGACGAGACGGCACAATGCAGCGCCGCCTTCAAAATCCTGCGGACGATGATAGCTTCGTGGCTGCGGGACGTTACGTTGTACAAAAATGTCTTCGCTGATTTCCAGATCTCACATTTTTATAGGTCACAAGTTTTAACTTATGCTTTGTAGTTATAATAGGATACTCGTATGTATATACTTATTGTGCTTTAGTAAAGAAAATTATTATTTCATTCTTAGAGGTGAATTATTTGTTGAAATTTTTATGAGTACCATCCTTTATGTATAGAACAATAGATTCGCGGGATCGCAGGATCCCGCGGGAATAAAAATGTTCATTCCCGCAGGTACCGAGATTGAAGGGAAAAAAGAAGAAAGAATTGAAGGGATTGGGGGCCTAGATAATACTTTAATGGCAAATTTATTGCGTGGAATACTGCGTGTATTAAATGTGTTTTTACTCGAATAGCCGAATATCTGACATAGATTATATTATAAATACTGCATACATTTTCCCTTAAAAAACAATAAATAAATAATTACAGATGGTTAAAAACCCCCACGTCCCTCCTCTACGACCCGGCGCTCCGGCGCACCCTCTACAGCTTGATGAAGAAGCTGTTCCTGATGCTGGTGGCGGAGTTCAAGCGGCTGGGCTCGCAAATTGTCTTCGCTGACTTCAACAGGATCATATTGTATACTAAGAAACAGTCGGTCTTAGATGGCATAGGTATGTGTGTGGTAGAAATTCTATAGAAAGTGGTAAGTCGGTTAAGTCATTAGAATAAAATCAAAGTCCTGAGTCAACACGATAAAAAGATATGGGCAAATTTAGATTTTCGCGAAAACTTGTAATGACCCAAATTTACCTTAATATTCTTTTTTTTTTATTTTTCGGAATTTTCCCTTTACTTGTGCTGTAAGACCTTGCTTTTAACCAAAATTGTCAATTCTTGGTCAACCGGAAGTACCCTATAGGTTTTAGGTCGAAAACCTATATTGTAGTTCTCGTTCACCTAGAATAACGAAATTTGGCAAAAAGCAAGGTGTTACAGCGCAAATAAAGGAAAAATATTCTAAAAATTTAAAATAGTTGAAAATTAAAGTTAAACAGATTTCCTACAAATTTGTACGGAACCCTCGGTGGGCGAGTCCGACTCGCACTTGTCCATATATTTTTTTAATAAATATTGTTTTTTCAACTGGCCTTACTTTGCAATTTATTATGAAACATGTATCATAATTAAAGTAACTAAATATATAATAAAATAAAACAAAGGAAAACTAAAAATTAATTATTCTAGGTTATGTGGAGTTTGTGGTGCAGAGTATAAGAAATAAGGAGCTCTTCCATGGAATAGACATTCGGTACAAACAATGCTGGTCATACCTACTCTGGCTCGATGAAGCCAACTATGCGGGAATTGAGGTAGTTTATAATTTTAAACAATATATATTCTTTATTCTGTAATAACATGTTATTAGATATTGTTTGATTTAAGAAAATTGTCTTTTAATTTAACAATTTGATTTATGTATTTACTAGCTCTGACGCTTTAAATAGAAAAAAAATAGTTTTTATGATGTTAGGAGATAGACCTTTGCTTTTGCAGACTTATGTATGTCTTTTAAAACATAGGTGTAGTTTTCTAATACATTGTTTTGATGTATTTAAGCAATACAATATATAATAATATGTACATTGGTTTGATCTTAAGGTTTAGCCAGCGTTAGCCATGTAAATTTCTAAGAACGACTCAATAGAACCAGTAATTGTGTTTTCCCGTGGGAATGAAAGATTTTCTCCTAGTAAAGTGTCCTGAATGTTGACCTGAGTAATAAGTTATCAGTAAGCATAATTTAGTTAATACAAATTCAGTATATTTTGCGTGAAAAGTACAAACAGACAAAAATTTCACAAACTATTGTTTTGGGGTCTATATTCTGTACAAAATACGTAATATTCATTGTTTAAAAAATATATTTTTTGTACAGATTTCGCTTTGTTACTATTTTATTAAATGTATTTATTGAACATTTTTGTGCAGGGCAAATTACCGTCAGGCTTGGTAGAGGTAGGATCATCGCAAGTGCCTACCAATGAGGAGGATCCCGAGGAAGAGGTAAGGATATTATGTGTAAATTATGGTGTATAATACTATCGACTTACTCTCGCTCAGTTCGGGTGCGTGGGTTGATACTCACGCTGACATTTAATTTAAATTTTGAAAATCTATTAATTAACGATTCAAAAATGCTTGTAAAAAAGACTTTTTAAATGAAGTATATGTTTATTTGATTTTAATATCCCCAGGGTGCAGTGACAATGCAGTGGAACCTGGCGCAGTGCATGCCGGCGGCGGTGCGCGACCCGTTCGGGGCGGCCGTGGCGGGCGTGCTCAGCGCCGCGCACGCGCAGCCGCAGCGACGCGCCGAGCTGCTGGCTACCGACATCTCGCAGAAACTCTTTCAGTTAGTCACTACTAAACATATACTAACATACATAAATACATACACACATACACGTGCCCACACGTACACACACACGTGCTCACACGCACACACGAGCCCACACGTACGCGCACACTTGCAGCGTGCTGTGGGAGCGTATACACCACATGAGAGATATCTAAACTTTGCGCATGCTTCGTCTACTACACGTCTACTTTCTGTATGTAAGTTGATATAGGTGCCGTTTATGACAGCAACTCAACAAATTATTTTCCCGGGCTTGATCCATTTTGCATAACAACGTTCATTTATGATTCAGGATGACAGAAAAAATCCACCGTCGCATGCCGACCCTGAAGCTGGAGGAGATCGGGCCGCAGGCGGGGCTGCGCGCGGACGCGCTGCGCGACGCCACGCCCGCCTTGCTCTTCGTCAACGCGCTCTGCAAGGTGCTCTCGCTCGACGACGGCCTGCAGGATGAGGTATTTTACATAATTCATAGTAAATATCATAAACGCGACAATTTGTGAGGATGTATGGATGCATGTTTGTTGGGCTTTTACACAAAATTAATATATAAAGGCTATATTTTGTAAAGTTTTAGTTATACATAATCGAGCTCCGCGGACGGAGTTGAAGAAAAATGTTTTGAAGTAATTTATAATATGCAAAAAAAACAGTCATATTACTGTGATAATCTAAACTAGATATTTTGTAACGGAAGATATGATAGGGGTGATTTTTTTAACATATTTTTAAATAATTAATCTATACTAATATTATAAAGAGGTAAATTTTGTGAGTTTGTGACGTTGTAGGGGATAATCTCTGTATCTACTGAACCGATTTAGATGAAATTTGGTAAGAAAATAGTTTGAGACCCTGGGAAGGACAAAGGATACTTTTTATCCCGGAAATCATCCCTTAAGGAGGTAAGAATGAGGATGAAAGTTTGTATGGGGAATCGAGCTACCGCTAGTTTTATATAAATAACTAACAAAATCCATTTCCACAACAGGTAACCCTCCTCCGTCGCAATCTCCTGCGGCTGATCAACGTGGGCGAGTTCAGCGCGGCGGCGGAGTGGCGGCCGCCCTGCGCGCCCTGCGTGCTCGGGGAGGTCATCTGCAAGGTGTGCAACCACTGCCGCGACCTCGACCTCTGCCGCGACACACATCGCGAGTCTGACCCGTGAGTATATCACCTCACCTTCACCTCACCTCAAATGTTATCTCATATCGTACGCGTGAATATGTTGGGGTCATGTGACGGGAAAGTCTTCCCACCTGAAGTGATGGAGCATACTCCACCATCATAGTGTAATTACATTCTAATTTAAATGTCAATTGATCTGCACGGTGCAACCACAGTCTCTACCTTGATCTTGAATATATCAACCTAACATCGTCCATGATATTTTGCTGAGTAATCTATGTATCAACTCTTCTAACTTGGTTGAATTATTCAATATAACATCCTTACATTTGTTTATTTTAGAGATTTTGTGTATTTAGGCTAATCTCAGAAACTCCTGTACGAATTTTAATACGATTTTCACCACACAATAACATTTGAGAATGAAGTCTAAACTTTTTGAAAACCTTCGTAATATTATAAATGCAAAAGGCAACTAAGTGGGGGTCTTAATAAAAATTGAAAATAAAGCGAAATGTCACGATTTTACATATATGTTTCCATTCTATGTGATATTGGCGAAGTAATCTGTGCTCAACTGTCACGCTTTAAGACCATTAACAAGAAAATTGAATTGAATTAAAATATGTTATTGTTATTTATATTGTTATTACATATAATAAATGTCTTTGTTAATAAAAACACTTGGATAAATTTTCTAACTTGTAGACCTGTCTGCTTGTGCCCCACTTGCGGTACTGCTTATGAGAACCAGGAATTGGAATGGAGATTAATTGAAACATTGAACCGCCGCGCGATGGCGTACACCCTGCAGGACCTGGTGTGCTCCAGGTGTCACCAGGTGAACACCAGTTATATCATATATAGTTATTTCTATGCTTATAAATGGTATAGATAAAGCCTTTCTATGTAACCTATATAGCCTTATCTTATAATATTACATGAGCAATTCTTGTGTATATGTAAATAAATTTCGTATATCTCGGAATTGGCTTTTAAGATTTGGTTTCGAACTTTGTATTTAGATAAGGTTTTGCTTTTCAAGTTTATCTCTTTCTGAATAAACATAATTGAGAAAAAAAACATATTTTTTTAACAAATTATTTTTCTATCTGCTCTCATGCCGAAAATGTCATATAGCGCCATCTCGTAAATGTTTATGATACTTGCTTTGTCGCCAATAGATGTTAACCCACTGAACGAACGCCTACGCCCTGTGTGGTCGGTCACCTAAGTACTATATATGTAGTGTAGCGACTAAATCATGACTATATTTAACATTATTTTGAGTAACGTGTATTTTATTTATATTGATTATTGTCTCAACTGAATTCTTTTATCGTTCCTAATTAAAACACAAAGACCTAAAAGTTTACGTACATAAATATAATGTATAACCTTAAATGTTATTTCGCAGGTGAAACGCGAAAATCTATCGATTGTATGTGACTGTGCAGGCGAGTTTGCCCTGATGGTTCCTGTCGACGAAATTCGCACACAACTGGCCACATTTAAAACAATAGCCGAATACTACAAGATGCCTTTATTGATGGAACTTATAGAATTTAATATGAATAATATGTGATATAATGTATTTTTAAGAATAAACAATTTTGATACAATACATTTTTATTTATAAACCAATTAATCAGCAAGCAATAAATTTAAAACAAAACTATGATTTACCGACTGCGGCGAGGCCTAAATAAGGGTTATGTGTTTGACCTGTATGTATGTATATCCGATCCTATGTTCCCTCGTAATTACTAAACGGCTTAAAAAAATTAATAATTCATGTAAAAGATTTTTTAATTATTGTTATAGTATGTACTGCATTTAGATAAATGAACTTGTAATTTATTTATTCCTTGGTTATATACATTATACTTATAGTAAAAACTTAAAATGTTGGAAGGATTAACTGTGTCATTTATAAATAGCAATGGTCCTAATATACAACCCTGCGGCACGCCCGAAGCCGCGTAGAAAATTTCAGATTCATGCATTCTCTGTAGTCTAGTTTAAATTTGAAAATGTAAACTTAACTATTAGTAAATTTCGTTTTTTTCCATCAAACAACTTTTTTTAATAGAATTTCATGCTCAACCTTTACAAATATATAGTGGTGTCTACCTTGTGTACATGACAAGAATAGATAGATGTGTGTGATATGTTATTATAATATTTCTTTATATTCTAATCTACAGACTACCATTATTATTTTTAAATATTCCAATAGTATGAGTGAGATGACTTTTTTGGCAATTTGCAATATTTTTTAACTTAAGTTTCTCTGGTCATATTTAATCTTTGCATCAAAGAATAAAATACAAATACTATAATAGGACTATTTAGATTAATTACCTTTTAGTTTGTTGATATGTTAACCAATAAATATTGTGAAAGCATCAATAAAATCGATTCAGCAATTCTACTTCAAAACTTTCATAACTATATGTTGTATTGTATGTATTCAGCCCTTTTTAAAGTCCCACTGCTGAGCACAGGCCTCCCTTCAATACGAGGGGATCAGGCCATAGTCCACCACGCTGGCCAAGTGCGGGTTGGCAGACTTTACATGTCTTTCGAAAAGTTGCTAGGTTCTCTCAGACCATTCTGGACCACAATGTTGAATTTGCAAAATGTTGGATTCTTATGATGTTGAATTCGCAAAATGTTGACTCCCAAAGGTTTCCTCACAATGTTTTCCTTCACCGTAAGGAACTATATGTTATGAGTTATGAAAGGCCAAATAAATACTAATATTTCCTTATCATAGGTAGAACTAAATTCTATTTATTTTTAATATAAATAATAAACAATTATACTAAAACAAATTATATTTGTAGGAAAAAAAACAAAAACATTAAAACAAATGTAAAAAATATAGGTATGAGTAATGAAACATCTGTTAAAATAATTACATATTAATTTTATTATATTACAATTAGATTAAGGATACACAAATAAATGAAAGCATAAAAATTGATTAAAGAGTGCTTCTTTCATCATTGGGGGTTTGTCCCAAACCTTTGGCGACTTCACTAATGCATAACCATTGGCCATCAGCATTTTCTCTCCATAAACTAACTTTGTTATCACCTCCGGATACTGCTAAGATGTTTCCTGTCAATGACCAGCTCACACTCCAAACAACATCATCAAATGTGTTGAGAATAGTGGGAGTCCAAGATACATTGTCATCACTAGACCAGATGACAACTCTCTTATCCTGAGAACAACTAGCAATCATAGATTTTTGAAGTCCAAGGGAAGGAGCCCATGCCACATCTCTAACCCAGTCCATATGCATTTCTAGACGATTTTCCTCTACCCATTGATCACCTTGCTCTTTCCAAATCTGTAAAATAGATATTATATTTATATTAAAAATAAACAAATATGTAAAATTGTGAAAAAGATGTGTAACAAGCTAGTACATACTTTGATTAAATTATCACAGCCACCAGAAACTATCCTTTTAGGTGCATCTTTGTTAGTTAAAGGATCCAGGTTTAAATCCGCAGAAATAGATGGACACCAGCTGATTGAATTTACTCCAATGGCATGAGCCCCAGGTATTTTTTTTACATCCCAATTTCCACCATCTTGATTATAAGTAATTGTCGAAATGGAACCATCTGAACTACAACAAGCCAGTATCAAGCCGTATTCAGCTGGGGCCCACGCGACAGAGTTCACAGAGCTTTCGTGACCTGAGTATTCATAAAGTTTGGTCCATTCTCCAGATTCTTTCCAAATAATAACTTTTCTATCATACGAACAAGAAGCCAGCAAATTACCAAATTTCGGATGTGCCCAAGCAACTTGCCATACGGGGCCAAAATGTCCTTTTAAATCAGCAGCGAGAGTTTGTGTACCGCTCTTGATGTCATAAACTTTTACAGAGTTATCAGATGAACAGGTTGCTAATCTTAACCCATAGTAATCCAATTCGGCATCATGTATCATATCCTCATGGCCAGTGTCTATAGTATTTAAAACACTAATCATTTTGAATACTTTTCTTTTTAGAAATTCACTAATCACTCGCAAGTCGAATACGGCTGTTTGCAGTTTGGTTAAATATCTGTCATGTCAAAGAAGTTGACGTGGAACATAATGTTGCCTTTTTTCTTAATGTAACTAGTTAAATATTTAGTATTCATACATTTAAAATTATTTTTAATATTTAGTATGGAAATAAAAATACTAATCATTTTTATAGTTTTTTGATACCAGCCAAACTTATTATTGTCTCATACTTCTTAATTGTATGTTTATTAGTCCTGGTTATGGCCCATGGGATATATTTTGATGATGGCTTACAACACGTAAACGTCAATGTCACAAGTTAAAAGAACCGAATTGTGATGCTGAAAATACTGATGAACTAATATTTTAAATTATGAAAATCTGTTTTTCTTCAAGATAACAAAAATGACTAAAGAAGAAGGAGGAATATTCTACAACTTAGAAAGTTTACTAAGACAAGACTATCGTGGAGTTAATGTATGTTAAAAAGGTCAAATATGTAATACAAACAGACCATCTTTATCATTAAATTTCTTTTAATTTCAGATAGCAGTTTATGCTCTCGCTACTGCAGGGCTAGCTGTGTCTATTTACAAAATCCGTCCGGTAAATGTACTTTACTTATTTTGGACAAAGATTACATAACTATAGTATATTAATTTATACATTATTATTTAGGTAAGCAAATTCTCAAAAGCTAGTAAAGTTCCTGATCACTTCATTAAGAAACATGAACCTTTACAAGGAATTTATGTGGGTGTCCAGCATTCTCCAGTGCGTCTTTTAATAAACCATAAAGCCCCAATTTATCTTCCACTGTGGCATTCCAGTAAACCGCCACTGCCAGTCAAGGTACTTGATAATACTACCTAATGATTTGTACTTTCCATAAATAATCTTTAAAGAGGGACTTATATTAATTATATTTATTTTATATTCTTATTTTATATTTAGCTATGGGGAGTGGATATAGTGAGTGGAAATGCTATTAATTGGCTGGATTGTGTGGCTAAAGGGCAACAAGTAACACTTAAACCTATTGCTAGAGACAAAGAAGATCTTGTGTCCACAGTTTTATTGCATTTACCACAAATGAAGGTATACTTATTGATTATAAATCTTTTAGAGATTTAAATGGATATTAAATTTTTATTTACTTATGATACTTACAAAATTAAGTAATCGTCTATCATTAATATTGCAGACAAAAACAGTGGAGACATTAGACATTGGGAAAAAGTTGATAGAGCTTGGCTTTGCGAAAGCATCAGTTCCACAAGATGTTAAGAAAAAGACAATAGAGTCACAATTAGCTCCTGCATTGCTCACAGCAGAGTCCCATGCTAAATCTTATCGTAATGGAATTTGGTCTGAAAAATTGCCTCCCATTCCTTTTTATGTAATTTATTGGAGGAAAGGAACACAGCTCACAACCAATATTATAATTTTATCCCTTAAAAAATTATTTCAACTATTAGCTTTTGTTTCCAAAAGTGCCTTAGTTGGAGGAAAGTACTTGATTCAGCGACCATTTAGAACTTCTAAGTCAGTTCAAACTACATAAGTTAACAAATTTTTACAACTTCTATTCTTTTACTTATATTTTAGGATAGTGTCAGATGCGTAACAAACTTTATTATTGGATAGATATTTAGATATTATTGTTGTCAAAAATGGTCCTTATATAAATTATCTGTTGGACAATAAAACTCTTTTTAAAAAATTGTTTCTTTCTTATCATCAATAAAACGAAAATTATGTAAAAAAGCACTGTTTATTCAAATTAAATATGTAGTATATATTACATTAAAATATATATCTTAATTAAAATAGCAAAAAAAAAATACAACTAATAAATCTATTTGAAATAATATCCATTAAACCATTTTGCTTAACAGCATAATACCAAGTAATTTCACCCTAATGAAACTAATGTCACATTGAAATACATATGTTGTATTTTACAAAAGAAAAATTACCACAAAAATAAATATTGTGAATTTTTCCAAAATCTGCTTCTAAAACATTCCAAATTGAAAACAAACCTCACATTCGATCGAGGACTTCATTCTAATCACTCAACTGATTCGTTTGAGGCGACTGAATAACCGCAATGTGAACGAACGAATGAAACGATCGGATATAAAAATACAAAAAGCAAGTCTGATCTCCATATGGAGTGGAGTTGCACCAGTTAAAAGTGTAGGTCGAAAAATATAGTGGTGGGTATTCCCCCGCCCCGCTACCCGGGCCTAGGCCGCGAGTGGGCGCCGTCAGAGCAGGGAGCAGCGCGACAGCCACGACGTGGGCTTGCGCTGTTGCTCGTTCGCCCGCAGCTGGTGCGCGCCGCCGCGGCCTCCGGGGGGGTTACTCGCCTCCTGTACAGTGCACTTCATCAATATGCATAACAATAACTAAATATACTGTTATATGTATGAATGAAAAATTGAATTTTCGGGGATTTACTCAAGTGGGGAAGGTAAGGAATTGCTTATGATGGGGTATATGTTTTGTACTTTGCATCATATTATATTTGTTTATACTAGGTCAAAAAATTTTGTTCAAAATATTTAATTTTACTTATGATTCACATGTCTAAAATATATGATAGTTTTCAGTATAGAATAAATCCAAATCCTGTGTCCTTATATCAAGCAAGAAGATATCACACGAGCAAAGCCATAGGCACAAGGTTGTTATATAAATTATTATGCGTTAACAGAGCTATACAATAGTAAAACGCGGTACTGAATTGATGCGAGATCGCGATAAGTGTTATCAGAAAACACGTAACTAAAACAACCGTTTTATTTGCCCGATATTCACTAATATTACGACCTAAGCTTATATTACTTTTAATCAAAATGATCATAAAATGACATGTCTTAGATTTAATTGATACTTATTTAACATTAATGCAAAAAACTAATGATTATTTTGATTTGTATAGCCAAAACCTTTATGTTAAAGATACAATATACATCGTCTCTTTACAAACGTAGATGTTCAACACGCGTTTGTAAAATGCCGAAGACAAATTATAAAATAAAGCACTACGAGAATTAAGGGCAAGACCAGAGCTACGCTTTCCATCGTTCCCGTCTTAGACTTCTCGTCTTCCCTGTTCTAATCCCTGATTTGTTTTTTTTTTAGTAATGATTTTGTAAGATAATCGAGTGTAACCTTTTATTAATAAACGATTATATGAATTTTATAGCTTCACATGCAGTATATAATAATCTATACATATAATAAAATTCTAACTGAGTCAAATCTGCACATTCAATATTTTTTGGTAAATCTTATTGAAATAATCAAAAATACAGAAGTTTTGTGTCTGTCTGGGAACGCATCATGAGAAACCCACTGGACAGTTTTGGATGAAATTTGGTATGATGATAGCTGGTTATCCAGGTCAACATATAGGGTACTTTTTACTGCGGGAAAATATCTTATCTCTGAGAAATCTGTATTAAACGTTAAAACGTAACTAGGGACAAACTCGAGCGGAGCGATGGCGAGTCGCCAGTATTCAATAAAAATCTTTCTACAAACATCCCTAACTAATAAAGGGATTTCCATATTTTAATAATACTTTCTTAGATTTACGCGAATGTTTGACATTATTAAATAAAACTATCTTTTCGGATTATTTCGCGGATTTATTTTGATTTTTGGTTCCCAATGTTTCGAATGCTTTACAGCATCCATGGTCACGGGAGAGACTGAGGTGTTACATGTCTTAAACGTCGGGAACCACTAGGCGTAGTGTAGCTTTTAAGATATAGAAAATACTATCAAAAGCTATTCATTTGATTGATGCCAAGTATTGTCCCCTGGTACTTGAGACTGTTTCACTAACCAGCATTGTTTCCAATAGGAATTTGTTAATTAGGGCCGATACAAAACAAAGCCTTTCTGTATAAGTAGTATTAAACAGCACACTGAGCTTTCTTAGTAATATTTATCATATTATAAGGTTTAATTCAAGTTTATTTTATTAATAATTAAAATATAAATGTTAACAAAGAAACAATTAATTTTACACATATAAAGCGTTTTTACCTTCTGTGTTCAAAAGGCAGCCATGGAACAAAAGAAATTACAAATTATTATGATTTTATGTTCTTATTTATTTATTATACTTAAAAGTACTTTAGTAGACTTTTAATTATAATAATGAATCTAAAAACCTTATTGTAATAAAAAAAATTGATGATTTTCTATGGTTGTCAGAGCATCATAACTTAAACTTAGTAAAAGTAAAATTCTTTTTTGAGTTCTTTGAGAACATGAAAAAGAAAGAGATAATATCTCTTTATGGTAAAATTATTATATGGTATATATTATAGGATAGGGCTACTAGAATATTAAATATTTTTAAATTGCTTTTACATAATGTAGGAAGTATACATACCTGTTTTTTCTCCATTTTTGCTTTAATATCCCTTGCTAATGTATAGAATGCATATTCAACATTTAATGAGTCCTTTGCAGAAGTTTCTACAAATTTAATTTGATATTCTATTGCTAATTGTTCACCTCTTTCTTTTGATACCTGCAATTTTAATAAAGATTATTATGTCAAATTTTCATCTTGGCAAAAAGAACATTTAAATTAAAACGAGGTAACAAAACAAACTATTTAACTTAACAATTTAGTAGTAGTAAGAAAACTATTAACATACAAAATTTATAATTAAAAATGAGAGTCAGAGAAACAAATGTTTAATATATAATATAATACTATATACATATAGAATGTAATAATTTGTCTTTGGCTCATCATGTTTTTTTATTTATGAAATTATAAAGCAAAAAAAGTATTTGTGTTTACTAAAAAATTTCCACTAATAGGTATATATCATATGCATGATATAGTTAATATATTTGAAAATATTGTTGTATCTTTTACTCCCAATATTACTGATATATTATATATAAACAGAAATTTTGTTTCCTATAATGCAAAGAAATGTTGTAGAACACGAACTATACTTTGTTGTAATTTATAACAGACAAAATTATTGTACTTACCTGTCTTTGTTCATCCAAATCACACTTATTACCAAGAATCATTTTTTCCACATCAGCACTGGCATTTTCTTCTATATTTCTAATCCAATTTTTAATATTTTCAAAACTTTTCTCATTTGTAACATCATAAACAAGCATTATTCCCATAGAACCTCTGTAGTATGCCGTTGTTATCGTGCGGAATCTCTCTTGACCTGCCGTGTCCCTGAAATAAGGATATTCTTGTAATCATTGATTCCATTTGAACTTTCACTCAAAATATTAATTTATACTCACCATATTTGTAATTTTACTTTTTTCCCATCAAGATCTATTGTCCGTATTTTAAAGTCAATACCTGAAATAGTTCGTTGTTAAACTGAAGTTAATTAATTAAAATTAGTGTGTATGATGTCATAAACAGTTTGCTCATTTAATTCGATAAGGGCTTCATTTGTCGTGATGCCGCACCCTTTTTTCAAGTTGAGTTTACAAAAAATTCCTAACAACGAAACAAAAAATCTTGTTCGATGACAATTACGTATAAAAAATACAACTTTTTGACAATAACCTTTGATACAAAGAATGAAAGTACTCACCGATGGTCGATATAAATGATATATTGAAAGCATCTTCAGAGAATCTAAATAATATAGACGTTTTTCCGACTCCAGAATCACCTATCAGAAGTAATTTAAATAAATGATCGTAAGTTTTTGCCATTTTTTATATCAATCTGATTACAGGATACACAGCCACTCATTTGGCATTTTTGAGTAATCGCTAGTGATGTCCACCTGATCGTACAAAAAAATCTTTACCAATAACACGTATGACAAAAATAATTATCTATGATATAGGTAGAATTAATTCTGATAAAAAAATATGTTTTGCAACATTTCTATTTCTTTTAAACGTTTTTATTCAATAATTGTTATTATTTAACGCTGGACCTAGTTTAGTACAAACTATTTCGCCTTCAGTCATTGAAGCTATAAGTTATCAGTAGAGTTTTAAAGTGATATTTGTTTCAACTAAAGAACTGTTGCGATTTAATATCTATGATAAATGATTTAAAACGGCGAAATGTGACGGCACTGTGCGTTGACGTCAAATGTCAAATTGAAAATTGAAACTGTCGTCTGTCACTGAACTCTGAAGCGTTTGCTAAAGAGCGGCAGAGACTCAAATAAATGTTTCTATTATTATTTTTAGATATAATTAAATGGAAAATTAGGAATTTATAATGTATTAATGAGCTACGAAGATTTAAGTATTATAATTTACAATGTTTTACCATGTACGTTATTCATTCTACGTTGTTTTATAAATATTTCAGTGTGCTAACCCTAAACAAATTTCCAGATTTCTTTAGAACATGAAATATTACTACATCCCCGATATTTTGGACCACAATTACTCGATACCGTCAAACAGAAGCTTTACACTGAAGTAGAAGGAACATGTACAGGAAAGTAAGTAAAATCTCATGACTTCAGAAATTAGCACTGAAATTTTATCAACAGATGTAAAAGTGTACAATTTTTTTTATTTCGAATGATCAGTTATCTTTATATTCTTTGCTCTATCATAAAGATATTGGTTTATCTATCTATTCTATTTGTAAAATTTGTGTATTTTATGTTTCAGATATGGTTTTGTCATTGCAGTAACAACAATAGATAGTATAGGTGCAGGTCTTATTCAGCCGGGTCAAGGCTTTGTTGTATATCCTGTCAAGTACAAAGCGATTGTATTCCGGCCTTTCAAAGGAGAGGTACTCGATGCAATAGTTACTCAAGTGAATAAGGTATGATTGACACAAACTAGAAAAATAAACATATTTTATTATTAAACATTTTTTGCTAAAAATATTATAAATCTACAGGTTGGAATGTTTGCTCAAATTGGACCTCTCAGCTGTTTTATCTCACATCATGTAAGTATATATTATAATTTAAAATAACACAATTAAAAATATTATTTTGATGAGTTACTGAAGAGCTAAAGGTTTTAATTTTGTATTTATAGTCAATTCCTGCTGATATGGAGTTTTGTCCGAATGTGAATCCCCCTTGTTACAAGAGTAAACAGGAAGATAATGTCATACAGGAAGAGGATGTCATTCGGTTAAAGATTGTGGGCACTAGGGTTGACGCAACGGGTATTGTAAGTATATAATGTTAAAAATAAAAATACTTTCTTTGATTTAGATTTGGTTTAAGTCTATTCTTAAAGTTAAATATCTTTCTTTGTATGTATCAAATTAAAAAAAATGTGTTACTAAATGAAGCAATAAATACTGTTTCTGTGTGTATTCTGGATTGTACAGGTTCAGTTACCACTTGTTTATGGCCAGACTTTTTCTATTTCAAATTCCCACATCTCTTATACATATGGTATTTTTCTTTTCAGTTTGCCATTGGGACACTCATGGACGACTACTTAGGCTTAGTTACACAATAATTTACTTAATTTATAAGAATAATATAATTTTTATATAAATGAAACAATTTTGTATTATTTATATTTATTTGGCATTCAAATAATAGTGTAAAATTCATATGCAAGTAACAAAAACAATCTGTCAAAAAAGGACAAAATATTTGGACACTTCAGTCTATTTGGGCAGTATGTGTGACTTGTCTGCGTGGTTGTGTACACTGTGGCTATTAGATACAATCTTATGTCTAAAATAAAGCAAACTTATTGTTATTCTTAGAATAATATAATGTTGTATCAAATTCAAAATTCTCATTCTCAAATCAAACTTGCAGTATATAAAACATTATTTATTCAAAATTGCACTCTTTTGAAAAGTTTAGTTTGTATGAATGCCAAAAATTATTATTAAATAACAAAACAATATGTTCAAGTGAACTCTTTGTATTGTTCATCATTCATACATAAGAAAGAAATTGTTTTTTTTCTTCAATTCCCTTTATGTAATAAGTATACATGATTAAAAGGTTCAAACCATCATTTAGTAAGTTTTTAGTAAGTTATTATTAACATTTTTATATCCTTCATGAATGAAATCTCTTTTGCTTTTTTTCAGACTTATCAATTTTTAAACTATCAAAATAAGATATTTATAATAAGGAAATTATGAATTTACTAAATAATTATAATTAAAATATATATACAAGTACATTAAAATGTAAAACGAAAATTAACCCATGCCAAATTAGTCAATAATGAAAATATCCAAAGGGACAATTCAGTGTCTTTGGTTTGTCAATTATATACAAAATTGCCACAGGAAGCATATAAGAAAATAAATTATAAAGAACCTAATCAAATATTGCTTGTGCTTAACGAAATATGGCATCTAAATAAATAATACTCAATATGAGATCAGAAACAAAACTAAGCAGTGAGTAAATCGTTTATCTAAGCACCATATAGGCCTAAATTCATAGACACAGCGAGGACTGAGATTTTGGCGATGCCTAAATGCAACCTAATGAATAAGTTATTATAAACTATTTCAGTACTCTATTTCAAATGTCAACTTAAAATATCTATGTGTAGTTAGGATATAATATAAAATTTTTAAATTAGGTGCAGCACAAATCCTTCCTGGCTGTGCCTATGTCCATACTTTAAAGTTATGCTCGTAGAATTAATATTACTCTAGCAAAACTGGAGCATAATATGCTTTTCTACAGTATAACCTATTAAATTATCGTATATTATAATTTCAATAAAATATTGACACTTAACATTGTGCATAAACAATAATATGCATGATAAAAGATATATTTGGAACAGTCAGCAATTTTAGTCACAATAATTTGCTCAATTGGCTCACTAAATACGCGTATGAGTGCTGAAGAGCTGACCCCAAATATTTTTATAATAATTAAAACAGTGAAGTTAAGAAGATAAAAACATTTAGTAGGATTTTATAAAATATTTAGTTTTTCACCATGATTTTATGTGATTCTTTTGTAAAAAAATTCTAAAACATCGTGTAAGTATTGGGGTAGCTTCATACAACCATTATTTAGCGTTTACAAGGCACAAAACAAGAGTTCAGGATAAAAATATGATTGCAAACATTTGAAACAAGTTTATACTCTGATGTACCAACAGTACAAGGAAGATAAGCGGAGGAAAAGTCTATAAGAGATTAGGAATTTTTAAGGCTGATATGATATATCTTAATATTATAGGGATAGTCTATTTTACTATGAGATTCATCTAACATTGTGTCTAGGATCTAGGAGAGTAGGTGGGGTTAGTGCTAATTTATTTCCAACAACATTTGATTACATCACCTTGTAAATAAATATCCAAAACACTACTTAGACTGTCAATGATTTTTTTTAATTCTTCACATTAAAATTAAGTTTAAACAATTTATTAATACAAAATATTTAATTAAAATTTATTGATATTGAAAAAGCAATAAAATGTCGTTGGAAGAAGACTCCTTAAAAGTTAACCTTTGATATGGGGGAAAAAATTGAAGTATCGATAGTCATTACAATCTATTTGAAACATCTTAACAATTTTAACATTTTATTCTAAACCATTGAATTTCAAACGACTTACGATAATACTGACATATTAATATGGGCCTGCTGCATCCCTTGTACATTTTTACTAATTGATCAAATTGATCAAAATAATAAAATATCAGGTATATGTAATTAAACAATTTTCACAATAGGTATAATGTATATGCTTAATTTCAATAACATTAACATGAGCATATGTAAATTGATATTTCCCATAGCAAAAGAAGAACAGGCCCAGGTAGAGAATGGAATATAGATCTAACTATTGAATAAACTGTTGAGCTAGAACATTTATTGTATTAATATTGTATTTGCTTCCCCGTCTTCTGGCAACTGTAAATCGTCCATCCGTACACTCCTGTCCAACGCCACTGATTCTATTGTGTGAAGTAAATGCAGACTGATTGCTTATAGATGAGATTTTACTAGCTAATAAAACGCCTTTCAAGTTTCAACCGATATTTAGATAGCATACGCGGTATATTTTATATTATACAATAAATATACATATAATATCATATCAACATTTACTTTCAAACCGATCACCAAACCGAAACGCGAGCGATACTGATTAATTTACAATAGCTTATATAATTTGCACATACAATAAAGCGGTTGTATTGCTCGGCTTCTCTTTACCAACGCTGTAGTCTGAGAGACGACCGTAAGATATACAAGTACCTACAAATGTAGATTTTTGAGATAGTTACGTTTTAGTACGTATGAACTTTGGTTTGAAAAAATACAATAAAGAATTTATCAAATTTTAGTTATTAGTTTCTCTCCCATTAAATTCTAATATTATCTTTTTCAAATTAGATTTACGTGATATTTATTATTTGCAATATTTTTAAATCAAAGTTCTTACGTGTTTATCTCGCACACCTTAGAGCCACTCAAATGGTAAGAAATAAATATGTTAGAGCTATTAAAGATAGTATTTCTAAGGAACCATCATGTCGATTTCAGAGTTAAGTTAAATGTATTAAAATACCATTCAAATAAACTGTTACAACAATAATACATAATAAAACGTGCATCACGTATTAAAGTATTGTAAACAAAACTGTTGTTTTTTTAATAAAATTAAGCGATGCAACTCTAGCTGTCAAAGAAACCTATTTTTTTTTCATAAACTCAATTTATTCAATCATTCTATACCTTCTATCTTCTCAATTTATCCTATACCTTCGCATCCCCCATTCTGATTCACAATTTTCTCTGATATTAGCGCACGCACACTTGCTACAATTCCCGTTAATTATAAGACATAATATTTGTACATAATCAATTCTGTATAACAAAACAAATCGACAAGACGATTACCTAGAGTTTAGACCTATCTAACAGCTTAACACTTCTATACCAAACCACTACAGCTCACAAATCGGTCGCCCCACAATTAGGTCGTCCCTCTCATCCGTCTGTCCGTCCGTCCGTCGGTCCGTCCGTCGGTCCGTCCGGCACCTATCGCGCGACGTGGAAGCACTGGCACTAGGCGGGCGGGTGTCAGGAGGCGCGCGACGCGTGCGGCACGGCGGGGAACACTGGCCCGCGCACTGCTTCTATGTAGTCTTTGATTAGAGTTGCGATCTGGTACGCCTGTTAGGACAAAATTATGTTAACTTTTTGCCATAGGTTATTTATGATGTTAATGGTTTAATAATTATGTTAGTATACATGTGATCGCAGATTCGATTTGCTTACGAGAAATTGTGTATTACATACATATGTATGTAACTGCCTCTGTGGTGTAGTGGCTAGCAAGTACGGCTGCACACCCGGAGGTCCTGGGTTCGAGTCCCGGCTCGGGCCAAGTTTAGTTATTGAGTCTTTCTGTATAGTTAGCCTAAGTAACAGCCCGGAGTTGGGAAGTTGGCGGTGTTTCACCCCCGTGCCTCGGAGAGCACGTAAAGCCGTCGGTCCTGCGCCTTAACTCTCACTGGTCGTGTCTCGTGTCGTCCCACCGGAGTATGAGAGTGACAGGAATAGAGAGTGCACGTTGTGTCTGCGCGTACACTTGTGCACTATAATATCTCCTGCGTAGTTGGCTAGTCTCAATGAGATTGGCCGCCGTGGCCGGAATCGGTCAGGAGAACATCATCATCATCATGTATGTATATTTGTTACGTTTAAAACTCAAAGTGTAATAATTATTATCAGAATAATACAAAATGAGTTATACTTTAATAATAGTAAAATGAGTACTTGGTAATGTGTGTAAACAGTAATCACGTGACTTGATCTGTGGAGAGTAAGTGGACAGTAATTGGTAGTGTGCTTATGTAGTAATAACATGATCAGATGTGTATGTTAGGACAGTGAGGGCGGGTACCTGGTCGGTGGAGAGCACGAGCTTGGCGTGCTTGCGGTCGGCGCGCGTGACGAGCAGCAGCGCGCGCGGCGCCGGCGACACGGCCAGCAGCTGCGCGTGGTCGTGCGACACCAGCGCCGCGCGCGCGCCGCGCCGCAGCAGCGTCAGCCCGCGCGCGTCCACCGCCAGCCACAGCGCGCGCGGCCAGTTCGACGTGAACGATTGCTGTACAACACATGTTTGAGTTTATTTTTCAGTTACTTAATAGATTTTAGATTTTTGAAGTGAATCTTCTTTAGAGTCATTGTGATTTGAAACTCGATGAAACGGAAATGCGACACTAGAAAGAGACATACACATAAATATAAAGGATTAAACTGGCGAGAGAATGACATAGAATACATTGCGATGTTGCCATGGTAACCGTTATTATTGTCAACAAATGTATAATATATTCTTTCCATATATGATATTCTACAAATATATGATTGCAATATGCTTTATTTAATAATTGTTTTATTTATATATATTATTGATTTGTTTTAATTTAATTGCGATATTTTCCAAAAAGTTTTTCAACTGCGCGTAAAGGCTTCACGCACCCATTTTTTTTTCAGAATGACTAAAAAAATGTAGTTAATTTGTATGTGTGATTTCTTACGTGTGTATCACATTAATCTTAGCCAATTATGAATGGATTTTTTGAAATTAATTATTGAATGTTTCAAAGAAAAATATTAAACAAAATAATGTGGAAACCACTCTCAAAGTATATACTATGTATGAGATTGTATTCTACTTGTTGCTTAAGAGACTGAAATATGTATGTATGTATATATATATATATATATATATATATATATATATATATATATATATTCATTTTAACAATCGTTAACGACCAAAACGAGTGCACGCTAACATTATTGATTACCCTATTTAACCTAGTCCTTTACAACTATATGTATTATGTACTCACAGTATTTATATAAGTGTCTATTATAATTGTATACCTATACTATAAAAACTCACCATAACATCAAATATTGTAGCTTTAGTGAGAGGCCAGGACGAAGCAAGCGTTAGGGCTCGCTGCATGGCCGCGTGGGGCTCCGTGCCGCGCAGGGCGAGGTGGTGCAGGCGCACGGCGGGCGCGGGCAGCGCGGGCGCCAGGCGCGCGGGCAGCACGGCGCCCGCCGCCGCAGAGCACTCCTCGCCCCCGCCCAGGCAGTCGCCCTTCACCACTTGTGCGTGTAGGGCTGCTAGCATCACCTGGAAGGTTTAAGGTAATAATAGTCAGTATCATTCTTAGGAATTGATCTCAAAAGTAGTATTGTTTGTCACTTTCAGTTGTATCCGAATAATTTCGGATAATAATGGAAATAATTTATTATTGACAGATTTTGTATTATTATTTGTTTATAATTCAAGAAGAATTGTAATTAGGTGATTAGATAAATAAAATTGTAACGAGGTTAACAAAAAAATGTCCCATGATTGCTTGTATTATCCTTTTAAAAAAATATTAAAATCTGCGTTATTTGCATAATATTTAAAATGATTAAAACATAATTTGCTTGGTGGACGGTGTACCATGCGATTTGCTTCTGGTACTTTCTCTGATAGCAGAGTGGACCGTGAGAGCAATCCCTTGGTTATTGTGGTCAGCTTTCGATGGCCTGCCGTCGGGGCGTTGTATGCAGGTATGTGTAAATGCATTCATAACATTCAAAACGGGACGTCTTCCTATTCCCTATTACTTGTTACCTCAACATATATGATAATAAATCCAACACTCACAGCCTCATCAGTCTCTATGGGCAGGCGGTCGTGGCGCACCGCGTGCAGCACCTGGTAGTACAGCAGCTCCATCTCCGCGACGCACGCCGTGTGCAGGGGACGCTCGCCGAGGAACAGACGCTTTTTGAACACCAATCTAGTGTTAGGAAAAGGTAAAATTAAATAATTAATAAGAAAATTATATAAGTTTATATAATTTTAGGTCTAGATTGAATATGATTTTAAATATTTCTAGATTACTATAATTATTTACGCTGCTGTATTCAAAATAATTTGGTTTTCAAAATATTCAAAATTTCTTAAGCGTTTATTATTATTTCTGCTTGTGCTTTTATCTATTGTATTGTACCTAAAGGTAAAATAAAACGACATATATCCATTAAAACGTAATAATTATAATAATACACATAATATGTACTTCATAGACATTGATATCAATATGCACTCACATATAATTACATACTTGAAAATTATAATGTTTATTCATGGGTTGAAAGAGGTAGTGTGTAGTTGTACAGACAGCGCACGTTAACGAGGCAACTCAACTGCCACTTTTCTTTCGATTTCCATTAAAATAATTTCATTTTTGACAAAAAATAAACCCATAATACTTTCTTAGATTTACGCGAATGTTTGACATTATTAAATAAAACTATCTTTTCGGATTATTTCGCGGATTTATTTTGATTTTAGACTGATTGGGTCTCTCCCGTGACCATGGATGCTGTAAAGCATTCGAAACGTCGGGAACCAAAAATCAAAATAAATCCGCGAAATAATCCGAAAAGATAGTTTTATTTAATAAAATAAACCCACTTTTATCTTAATAATTACTTACTAAAAGGTTTTCTTGACTTGAATTAGTAATTTTAGAGATTACCTCCTACATACAAACCTACAAACTTTACCTGTTTATAATATTAGTATAGATAGTATCTAATAATAAATATGTATAATAGGTGCAATGCTAGCACAGATCGTACCTGCAGGCGGCGGCGGTGGCGCCGGCCTTCTCCCAGCGCGCGAGCACGTCGCCGGCGCGCTCGGCGCCGCCCAGCGCGCGCTCGCCCGCGCCCGCCGGGCTCGAGTTCGCGCACACCTCGTACAACGCGTAGCCTGTGGACAATGCATATTGTTATAAACTTCGATCGTTGTTAACAGTTTCGTTGGTCCAGTTACCAGCATGTACGGCTGTAGATCTGTAGATTCGAGCTCCGAATCAGCCGCCGTACTTACGATCCACTAGATCATTAACTGAAAGGCAATTGTAGCGCAATGGTAATGCGTTTGTTTGAGAAACCGAGTGAAGCAGGTTCAAATCGCGGGTTTTTGCACCTCTGATATTTTCATGTGTAAATCATATTCAACATGATTACCACTTATCTTACGGTGAAGGAAAACATCGTGAGGAAAACTGTATGTCTGATAGAACCTAGCAAGTTTTCGAAAGACGTGTTTTACTTTGACCTAATCGGCCCCGTATTAAAGGGAAGTCCATGTCCAGCAGTGGAACGTTAAAAAAAAACTACATATAGACCACTAGAAAGACAAATAGAAACAACCAACACACCAGTAGCAGCATCAGTGAGTCCGATCTTATCCCGCAGCATGGCGACGAGGTGGTCGGCGGTGGCGGCGGGCCCGAACACGAGGCCGTGCTGCTTGCCGTCCAGCAGCAGCACGCGCACGTGCAGCGGCCGCCGCGCCGCCGCGCACAGCAGCTCCTCCTTGGACGGCGCCGCCAGTCGACGCGGCACTTGCGCTATGCTTAGAGCCACCTGATAAAAGTTTATCGTTAGAGTGGATTCACAGCTGTTGATTTATTCGTATTCTGTTGATAGTTCGTCTCTATCAACGAATTTGCCGTGTCGGAATAAAGTATATGTGTTTTTATGTACATTTATACTTTTTTTATCGCTTTGCGGAAAATTGTTATTTTGTACCTGTATTATTAAATTAAAAATAATTAATAAATAGTTCTCTATAGGGCTGCTAGTACCCGAACTCGTATGTTTCTATTTGAAAGACAACAGATGACAAAAAATGACAAATAAAAAAAATCAAAATTCAATTACTAGTTTCGGAGAATTTCGAGGACAAACATACAAAAATATAGTCACTTATACATAAAACTAACACTTTATATATTTATTTTTTAGCCTTAATAAATTATTATATGAGAATATTTTTTAGTTCCATGAACTTACATACATACATGTCGAAATGATAACCTCGTTTTTTTTAAATTGGATAAATTACGACTAGTCGCTCACCTGCTCGGCCCGCCTCGCGAACTTGCCCTCCTCGTCGGCGTGCAGCGCGGCGGCGCGGTAGCGCAGGTGCGCCAGCAGCAGGCGGCGCAGCGGCTTGGCGGGCGGCAGCGCCGCGCCCACCGCCGCGCACAGCAGCGCCCAGTGCCGCGCCGACACGCGCGAGTTGGGCTCGGGGTGCTCCGTCGTCTGAGTGGGGACAATCGCATACTTATTATATTTTTACCAGTCCATTGAGCCATACATTATATGGCTATTATGACATTCGTTCCTAAAGATATAGAATCTTCAAACAATTATAATCATAAAATTAGGAAAATAATTTCAGTAATCAAGAGAAAAAGAAGTATAATTTTTTTCTGAAAAATCATTAAAATTACACTCATTCATTCTAAAATCACACTCATGAACAAATACGTCGTTTCAAATACATACTTTCAAATAATAATAACTTTTTTTAACTCCATAGCTGAATCCGCGAAAGCTATCCAACTTAACTTCCTACAGAATCCCACAACCGAGCCACATTTACCATGCACAGATCGCACACACACCTGTTTGATCAGCTGCGCGTACAGCTCGCACAGCAGCGTGTCCTTCTGTAGGCAGCGCTGCAGCAGCGCCTGCGCGAGCGCCACGCGGTCGTCGCTGTCCGACTCGTGGCTGGCCGTGCTGTTGTTGTTGGCGAGGTTGTTCGTGCTGCCCTCGTTGCTGGTGAGCCCGGCGTGGCTCATTATATCCTATATTTAATATTTATAGCATTAATATTAAAAATATACATGATTAATACTAGTGATTGGACGCGGTTTTACTCGAGTGATAGATAAGCTGATGTAAGTACCTTACATGCTTACAAAGTAATTCCAAACACAGTCGCTCACAAACATTACTAAAGAAACATAATAATATTTCAAAAAACTTCTGTTCTCTCTATAAATCGAAACGTCTGGTATATTAATCTACACTTTTTTTATTCTGAGAGGAGAAAATATTATCACTCCTTTGCGAAATTATCATTGGTTTATAAATAGCAGTCTCAAATGTCGTGCATATGTTAAAAATCAAGTCATAGCTAAATAATTTAAATACATAGTATTAATTAAACATGCTCCATCGTAAACCTTAAATATCTGCATAGCGGCGACTTCTTCGGCCTCGTTGAGCTTGGTGAGGCTGTGCGGCAAGCTGCGCGCCCAGCACCAGTACGCGGCGGGGAAGCCCTTGTAGCACTCGCCCTGCGTCTCCGACGATATGTCCAGGCGCACGCGCTCCAGCCGGTGCTTGCTTAGTCTGTCATGAAAGGTTGGGTTTGATTTGTGGTACGTTCTATGTTGCTATACGATTTCATTTCTTAATGTTTTATACACTAATTGATATCGAACATAAGAAATAAAGATTAATAATTTTAAGGTCGCTTAAGATTAGAGGCCGCAAGTTTATTTTGTAAATTTAAAATTAAAGTTTGGAAGTAGGTACACATTTAACAAAGGGTAATAACTCTATTTGAAGTGGACGTGATCCCTAACTAATTTGTATGAAAATTGAGATGATTGTGATAAAAACTTTGGAATAGTATATCTAGAAGTTTTTTAACATTTGAAAATGAATACATACAGATTATGTATAAAACATACACAAGTTTATGTGGAGGCTCACTGTTAAAAAAACTAACTTCAGGCTCACTTACACTCAACCGACGACGTCACCATAGCTGCCTTAATAAGGACAACAAGAACCAGGGGACTACTTTCAAGGTTCACTTTGCGTCAGAACAGTATTTCAGCTTTATGTTCCCACCACAGACCTAGAATGTGTATAACACGTAGTACTAACCTCCTGAGTGTGTTCCTCAAGAAGCCGCCGGCGGAGAGGTCCTGCGGGCGCCGCAGCAGCGCGGAGTCGACGAGCGCGCGGCGCGCGGCGCGCAGCGCGGCGGCGAGGCGCGCGCGCTCGGCGGCGGGCGCGGCGCGGCGCGGCGCCTCCTCCGCCAGGCCGCCGCCCAGCGCCGGGCTGTACGCCGCCATCAGCCACGCCGCCTCCGCCTTCTGCGCGCACTCCAGCACTATGCATCTGATGGGGAATAACATTAGCTTATTATTGATTATGAGCAAATTTCTTATTTCGAGGTTAATTTAAGTTTTATTTATTTATTAGGTTTACGCCTAATAGTCTAGCTGGCTAACAATATGTTAAATTATCGTAGAGAAAACAATTAAGTGTCTAATCTCAAACGAAGCAAATTACGATAATTTAACATAATAACAGTCATTTTTAAAATGTTTTAAAGTTAACTATTAACTTAAAAATAATAATTTATCAGGCAATAAACTATGTACAGAACTTAATAATTCAACAAACTACTTTTAACATTGAAGTAAATTTTCTTGAATGTAATATCATTTTTTGATATTTTGCCAATTGAAATATAGCTTTTATTACATAACACCAAAGTCTAATAAAATAAACAATATTTCGGCTTACCTCAAACCATCATGCTGTCCGTGATGCGTCAAACTAAGAGTCAAGCCATTGTCAACGGGATCCATCAATATGGCTGCAATATTGGTATACGGATACTCAGCCAGTACGACTTTATCAGCCGGTCGAACTAGCACTACTCCTTCTGCACCAACTCCGAGAAGCACATTTGGACCTATCAACAAAATAATTTTTATTTAAAAATAAATAATAAATATAATTAAAACTAGGGTAAAGAATAAATGTAAAGTTTAAATAATTACGTTAAAATAACAATTATTTTAACACCTGCGAAAAACAGCATTGTAACTTAATATTGAAATAATTTAAAAATAGAAATTTATTTCTCATTAATTAAAATCGCAATTCGCTACAATACTGAGTTATAATATAGTTCATTGCAAATTTTGAATTTTTTACACTATTATAATATTACTTCTGCTTTTCAATGTAATATAACATCAAACTTCTCATTTATCTTATTAATTATTATGTAAAGAACAAAACCTGTTTTGTTACATGAGTAACAAAAAATATAATTAATATTTTTAAATAATGAATATCCATACCATGGGCCCAATACCCCTTATAAGTGACAGGGAACAGCGTGACGCCGTACAGGGGGTACTGCATCACGCAGGACAGGTACAGCGCCTTGGCCGTCAGCTCCGCGCGGCCGGCGCCGTACTGACGGTGCGCTTGCGCGAGTATCGTTGCCTGCGACAGACATAACATTTAGTAATCTTTAAAGTTTAAAAACACATACATAAATATTCTTAGAGACAAAGCTTCGTAAAACCTTGCTTCATAAAGCCGCATACGTTTTACTTTCAATGCGACTCCGTTCGAAAAAAATCGTCTTCGTTAACGCGTTCGTGAAGTCGTCAGTGAGCTGTTAGTGTCACGCGAATACACAATAAATAAATAAATTCATTTATACCTAACATTTTTTTTATTTTCAATTCAAACATAGTGTTCTCAATTACTTGACCATAACTATACCTTTTCACCATTAAAGCTTTTCACGTAGCTGATATTTCGGTATAAAAAGAAGTAAATTAAGGCCCAAATGCACAAAGTATCCGTAAAATACCGAACTACTAAACCAACTCACCCACTGATGCGCCGCGCGTTGCTTCGCAATACGCGGCGGCAGGAACTGGTCGGGGTGCGCGTAGTAGGCGCGCGTGTGCGGCGGCGGCGGGCTGGGCGGGGGCTCCCCCAGCGACACCTGCGCCTGCAGCCCTGCCAGCTGGAGGGCCACCTTCTCCGATACTGGGAATTCGTCCATCTGTGGGTGGTTTTGGGGTGTTTAATAAAAAGTTTTTTTTACAGAGCACACTTTGCATGGTAAGTAAGACCTGACCCTCCCCACCTCTTCTGTATGATAGGGGGATAAGATAGCGGGGTGTTTAGTTACGAAAATTTTACTCAAATCTACACAACATTTTGTATAAAAATGGACGGTTTGAAAGTTCTCCTTATAAAATTTATAACAATATATTATGTACTTTGAAGTTCGAATTTAACACTTTAATTTAAATATCATATACCTTAACAACGCTGTGTACAGCTTGAGCATACAGTAGAGCGACTTCCACAGGATCATGAGGCAGTTCGCGGCCTCCACGGAACAGTCTACGCTTGAACACGAAGCGGTTATCTGCAGAACCGCCGCCTGGACCTTGTTGCCTGTTGAAATATTCATGGTTTTAAAGAACTTTAAGATATGCATTTGACTATCTGTAAAAACTCAAAACGTGTTAAATTAGTCGTAACTCGACGTGTTTATTTAATTATTGAAGAGCTAACCGTAGATGCGTAAGCTTGATCCAATCAAAATATTGTTCTAACAAAAACCTGTGAAGAAGAAATCCGTAAAAAAATCAATGTAAATCAATCCAAAAAGATAGTTTTATTTCAAATGTCAAATATTTTTGTAAATGTAAAGAAGCATCATTATACTGCTATTTGTACATTAATAAAGCTTCAAAGCGATACGATATTTATAAGTAGCAAGAAACTGACTTGAGTGAGAATCTCTTAACAGAAAAACTCACACCGATATTTAGCTAAATCTAGTCCTCGCACCTAGAACCTCATAATCTCCATCATCATGATCTTGAATGGCTTGAAGATGATACAAGTGTTAAGCACCTCATACATATATCGTGATCTTGAATGCTAGCAACGTGGCAGTGAAACTAATAACAGAGTGTTAAAACAAATAATATCCATACATCTCCCAAGCAGCAATAACGTCGTATAGATAGTGCGTGGCGCGCACGTGTTCCTCAGCGCCGGCGCGCTGCTGGTACACGGCCCAGCCGGCGCGCGCGGGCGGCGCCAGGCCCAGCTTGTCGGCAAGGCGCGCCGCCGCCGCCGCCGCCGTGTCCGCCGGGTGCACGTCGATGGCCTTCGTGCGCCCGTCCAGGAAGAAGAACCGGCACACTATCGTGCCTAGGCGACGCATTGCCTGTCATAATAAGGAACTAATATTATAAATGTGAAAGTGTGATTGTTTGTTTGTCTTTCTTTCACGTCGAAACGGATTTTGCGAATTGGCGTGATGTTTTATGTGGAGATAGTTGGAGGGCTGGTGAGTGACATAGGCTACTTTTTGCCGCGGGAGATTATATCATTCCCACGGGAAAACACGTTATAAGACAGCATTTTTTGAAATTCATCCTATAAGAGGGTATAATAGGGGATGAAAGTTTGTATGAACCCGAACTTTTTAGTTTTTTTGTAGTTTAGCGCGAGCGAAGCCGCGGGTTCTGCTACTAAGGAATAAATAGATCTATACAGATAAACAAAATTTATGTGTCTGTTTGTAATGTCAAAATAACAGCGTTTTACTAAATGCATATGAAGTTATATACGGTACTTATAAGAAAAACACATTTTTTTAAATTTTTGTCTGTTTCGGATAATTTCTGAAACGGCTGGACTGATTTCGACAGGACTTTCACTGGAAGATAGCTGATGTTATAGGGAGTAACATAGGCTAATTTTATTTTAGAAAAAGAATTAGAGTTCCGCTCACAAAAAATTAAAACGTACAGGGACGTATTACGTATACATATGTACGTAGTACGTATAGGGACGAACCCAAGCGAAGCGAGGTTGAGTCGCTAGTAAATAAATATGTTGAGACATTAACACAGCACCATCTAGTTCCATGTTAAGCTATGAAGCTTGTGTTATGGATACTAGATAGTTGATACACTACACATAACTTTAACTGCTACATATTATAAATATAAACAACCATGACTGGAGTACAAACATTTGTGCTCATCACACAAATGAATACCCCCAGCGGGACTCGAACCCGCGACCGGTGGCACAGCAAGTAGCGTCACTACAAACTGAGCCAAACGTATCGTCAAATATGCGTGTGTGTTTTAAATAAAGGTGAAATATTTTTTTTATAATCTTTATTGCTTCTGACTATATCATTATTTTTTAATGTAATTTCTTATTGATAAAAAAATAATTAATGAAAAGTGCAAAAATAGGTGCGAAATTCAAAGTAGTTAAAACACGCCATTGGTCAGATTGAATGTGACGTCAAAGTCTATAATAACAGAAATACCCCTATGAAGAATTTGCTTTTCATTTATACATTCTAAGATTTCATGAATAATAGTAAGTGAGTTTTATTTCGCTTTTATGTACAAAGATTCATTATATATCATTATTAACAGTAAAAATAACAAAATCTCATTAAATTATCCACGTTATAAGTAAAACAACGTACCGCGATCTCCACAGTACTAGGTGGCAGGACCCTAGGTGCAGCGCCCCTGCAGTTGTCGAGGCACCATTGAGCGCAGTGTGCGGCGCGAGCGCTGGCCGCTGACGTCACAGAGGCCACAGAGGCCATGGAGCCAGTAGAGGCAGGAGAGACCATGGCCGACGAGGCCACACGAGCACGCGCCCGTAGCCACGCACAGTAGTGGCGCGCCAGGCCACGACTGGGCTGCCACGCCACCGCGCACAGGCATAGGATCAGCCACACGCGCTCTGCCCACTCTTCTACAGGACATTCTGTTATCTGTTGGATTAGTCAGAACAAATATGAGATTAGATTTTATTTTTAACATATTATATTAATAATGGCTGAGCAACAAACTAGTATGTATTTCAAATGCTCTTAATACCCTTTGCCTTTTATAATATTATATTCTTACCTTTTATAATATTATATTCTTAGACATAATTCGCGAATAATATTATACCGGTAGCTTACAGCGTACAAGGAACAAAAGTTATTACCTCTTCCTATTGATGAAAATCGTATGATTATTCATACAGAAGTTTCTGAGATTAGTCCGAACGAACCCAAACTCAATGCAGAGGGAGACTATAATATGAATTTGTGTGGTAAGAAATACATTGTTTGTTATATATTGTGTGCATAATTGATTACTTATTAACTAAAAAGCACACCGAATCCAATATCTCCTTAAAACTAATGCGCCATAAGGTTTGGAATATTAAGAAGTTTGTATAGAACTACTCTTAGGAAATACGGGGATAAGCGAAGAATTGTAGAAGATATTGTACACATAAAAAAACTTTCTCCTTTTTTTAAAATCAGCCAATAAAGTGAACACTCACCTGTCTAACACATTGCACCAAAATCTCATCACGCAACTCCTCGCGCTCCAGGCCTTTACCAATTATAGACTGTATAACTTGAGTTTCCTTTTCTGCAGTCAGTTCTCCTCTCATATAACGACACAGATCCTACAAAACAACATGGACAACACTCACTTTTAATAAAAGCCTACTTTAAAAACTTTTACAGAGTATATTACGGAATATAGATAATAATTTTATTATTATTTGCTTGAACGAGTAACAAGAAATACAAAAAGATATCAGTACAAAATGTAAGCATTATTTTTTCCATATATACTAAATTTTAATTATTTATTTTAACATTTTAGAATTTAGATAATCTGTTAGACCCTACTCACTCTGAATATGTTAACAGCGGCGGTGACACTGTCGGGATCGTGCAACTGAATGTGAGACGTGGGAATATTGTTGCCTTTATGGTACGTTATCATCTCCTCTTTAGTTAGTAACTCCATTGATTTGCTTTTACGAGTAAGTGTTGCCATTATAGTGCCTAAAAAATAAAATTATAGTAACTTTATTATTTTTATTAGGCAAGTTGCACGCACACATCTTGTGACAGAAAAACCCAGTAACTATTTTGACCGGATCCGGGACTTGAACTCGAGTAACCACGAATGCAACTGAACATTGAAATTTCTAAGCCACCGAGGCAATGCATACATACACAATAACATGACATTCGTAAAATACGAGTCAAAAACAAAAGTGTGTCATTATGGCATATATAAACAACATTGTTTAACAAAGAGAATTAATTCAACTGGCAACCCTAGTACCTAACCAAATATAATAATTATATACACAAATAATAATAATTAAATCTACACTACTATTATAAAGCGGAAATTTTTTTATTTTTGTATGTATGTAACTAACGAATAAACTCAAAAACTACTAGATCGATTTAGTTGAAATTTGGTAAGAAGATAGTTTGAGACCCTGGGAAGGATATAGGATATTTTTTATTTCGGAAATCATCCCTTAAGGGGGTGAAAATGGGGATGAAAGTTTGTATGGGGAATCAATCTACAAATATAATAAGTTTACCTTCTGGAGATCTAGGATGATCGTTGAAATACATCTTAGCGAATTCGCTGAGATCGTTTAGGGAGTCGGCGGGCGCGTCGCCGCTGGGCGCGCTCTCTAGCTGGTGGAGGCGTCTCTCCACACGCTCCTTGCGACGCGCGTTGCGGTCCGTGTTCTGTTAAGTTACATAAATATATTATTAGAAACGTTTCATAAATTTATTTACTGTGTAAGATGATTCTTATCACATATTATGATATAGTTTCAGTTGTTTTAATTGCGACGATCAATGCTAATAACAAATGTGTTGTTAGCGTAAATACCTATATATAGGTCTTATTTCTAATAGCTATCTATAGAATATTTTTTTAAATAATTATTTGAAATACAAAATATAAACATTTTAAATATTTAGAAATATTTACATAGATACTTGATATATAACTACGCTTTTTAATATTGCCTTTTTATTTTAAGCTTTTAATAAATTATCATAAAGGAACAATAGATATTATCTTTTATAAGTACTAGTTTTAAAATCATCTTACATTGACATCTCCATTGAGTGCAGGCGGCGGACTTATACAAGAGTCGGAGGCAATGTTTGGAGAAGAAATATCATTCATTTCAGGTGACGTCAAATTGCTAGGTAATGGCGGAAGAAGTACATCTGGTTCTACTTCCGCTTCTTTGGATAAAAATCTAAAAAAATTGACATTATAACAGATTAATTGCATAATATATGTATTCATGCAGACTATTTGTAGTTATAAGTTAGAAACTAAAAGAAAAAGAAAAAAGTTACACTATGAGCGCTAGATATAGTAGAATAATAACCATGTATTATATTGTAACAATTGAAAACAGCAATAAAGGCTTTATTATTATTATTTACTTGTGAAGGATATCACTATACCTAAAACTTTGAAAATAAAACAAACTCAATCATGTACCAAAAGTGCGTGCAGTAAATGGGATTGCACATACGTCCGTATATACAGACATACATACGTCCGTGCCTTTTTTTGAGCTTTTTTTCATTTGTTGTAATTTGTTTTTGAGATAGATTCGTGCATGTATAATTTTAGACTCAAACCGATTTTGCAGTATATTTAATTTCTCTTACAAAACTCACCCGTTATTTTCAGGTGGGTTAATTTTCGGTGGTGGCGTAGATGCGGGCAAAGCTTCTGTGTTCGGTCGAGGAATGACCGACTCGTATATTGGCTCCTTGTCCTTTATTACAACTACTTTACCATTTGGTATTATACCATTTGTCAGTTCTGGTGGGGTAACATCTGCAAATTTTTTGTTTATAAATTAATAAGAATACTAAAAAAGCTTCTTACAAATTAATTAAATCTAATAAAATTTAGCATTTTTAAGTATATACGAATTTTAGTGTGTCAATTATATTTACGTGATGCATGTTATGTTGTGTTTACTTGTAAGTGACTTTGCATTTTAGATTTACATTTTTAAAATTATTTCTTGGGTATTTGTGGAATGTAAAGTTGGTAAACCTGATAGAGAGAGAGAGAGAAAAAAAAGACGTACCTTTGGTAGAAGGAGGCGGTGGTGGGGGTCCAGCAGGTTCCGGGAGTGAACAAATCGGTGGTGGAGGGAATATCGGAGAGCCCTCCATCGTTTCCTCCAACTCTGGTGGAGGAGGCATGATCAATGATGAGGACATGACGTCACCATTTGTGAACGATGAGGTCATGTCACGAGGTGACACGCCATTTGACATGATCCCGTTTGTCATAGAGGACGTCATAGATGATGTCATATTGGGTTGGTTTATAGATTGCAATGCTAGAGAAGATGGTGGAGGAGGCGGGATAGCGTCAGAAGGTGCTCCATCTGGTTTTCGTTCAACGTCAGTGTGTTTGGACAATTCTTTCATCTCTTCCGCTAGTACGTTCTCAAGCTGTAAACAAAAATATAATATTTGTATGTAAATATAATATTTTTTAAACATAATAATTTTACTATATGTTCATTAAAGAGAAACAATTATAAGCATATATTACGAAAATTTAATATTTATTTGATTAATTATCCGTTAATTAGAAACCAACAATAACTTCATATCAAGTCTTCTTCGCATGTCATACAACGTACCTCTTGATTCAGATCATCTGCCAATCTCTCCATGGAGTCTCCGATCTCAGCAATAGTGGGCTGGTGGGCGGACTGCCCATCCGGCGCGCCTCTTTGCGCGGGCACGTCCGCCAGGAAATCGAACAAGTTGTCTAAATTTATGGACTCCGCGCGCGCGCCCGCACACGATATACCTCGCAGCTGGTCCGCCATGCTTTCTAGTTCTGCTCGCTCTTGTTCTGCCTTTTCGGCGAGGCTATTGGGAAGGATTTGTTTTAAATCAAACGTTACATAACTCTTAAAAAATATGAGTACTGTTATTTATTTTTATGTTGGTTTTAAAATGGATGTTATTTTTATTGACCAAATAATAAAAACAAAACATGTCAATTTTGACATCAGATCAGACTGATTATATTTTTTATTTAAATATAATTTGCATATCTATTTAATATAAGCACAACTGTCAGACGTGACTGCTCGAATTATAATACCGCACTTTTAACCTTACTAGCGATTTACCAACGTTAGGTAAATAAAAGACCGTCAATCGTTATGTGACCATTCCTACATATTAAAATAATTGAAATTTTTATTGTCTAACATCCTATTAACATCTCGCGGTGAACTAAAAATAACTTAAAGTGTTCTTTTGCACATATATCATTGAAATAAGAGATCCATCTCTATCTCACAATCCATCTACACGTCAAAGCAAACCTGTTCCTCTCCTCTCTCAGCTTGATTTCCTGGTTGACCCTCTTCATCTCGCGCAGCGCAGCGGCCACCTCGCGCGCGAAGGCCCCGCGCAGGTGGCGCTGCAGCGCGAGCGCGGCGCGGCGCAGGCGCAGGAAGGCGGCGCGCTCGTACCAGCCGCGCCACGCCGCCTGCAGCACCACGGCCGCTCGACGCCATTGGAGGTACTGACGCCGCTTTGTTGATCCTTTGTACCACTGAAATTGTTTTATTAAGTTAATATTTATAACGAATAAGAGAAAGTTATTATGTCTAATTAATTATTTGTAATACTTTTGAATTATAGTATTTTATGTATGAAATATGGCACGGAGATAAATTACAGTCTGGAATAACACAAGTTTTTTATCCCGGAAAAAAATATATTTATTTATTCCTTATTATATTTTACAAATATTAGGACGAAATATGATTATCATTAGTTCCATGTTTAATTTTCTATATGTACACTTTAGTATTCGTCGAACAGCATGAAAATGCCATGGAATTGATAATTCTGAATACAGGTAGGCATTTACAGATTGTATAATAGGTACATAAAATAAATAAAGTGATGACCGATTTTGACCCTGGCGGTTAATATCACCGAGACTAGTCAAGTGCGCAAAAAATATTATGAGTCCAGCACGCGCAGACAACGTGCGCTCTTTATTCCTTTCACTCCCAAATTCCGATGGCGCGCTACTTTGACACCCGATAAGAGTTAAAGCACAGAACTGACAACTAAACGTGCTCTCCAAAGCACGGTGGTGAAACACCGCCAACTCCCCAACTCCACGCTGTTACTGGGACTTTCTTAACAGAAAGACTCAATAACTAAACTTAGTCCGACTCGGTACTTGAACCCAGGACCTTCGAATGTGCAGCCGTACATCACAATCGTAAGATAACGGTTGTTAATATACATACGTCGTTTGCAGACGAATGGGGAAACAACACAAAGGATAGTGCAAAATACGCGAACTAAAACCGTAACACACGCTTTCGAACATTACCTTCTGTATGAGTAATGCTGACGATTGCAACAATGCAGTCCTCCTGGCTTCCAGTGGTCCGTGTACTGAACTCCTCATAAATATCTTAGTGTGTCCGATTTGCCAGTCTGTTTCCGGCGCGTTTGCTAAGCACATTATCGTCCTGTAAATTATGTTATATAGTCATATTATGTTATATAGTCACTCCTATCCGCCGAAACGGCTGGATCGATTTGAATAAAATCTAGATACACATATAGTCTAAAACCTGATACAAACACATAGGCTACATAAATAGCTAGTATATAGAAAAATGAAAAACAAACTCACCCAATATCCGGATCGATGGGCCGCGGGTGCGGCAACAAGCACCGGTACCGCGCCTGGAACATCGGCGCGGGGAGGTGCACGGGGAAGCCGTCACGCCTTATACGAACTATCTCATTCATGCCCAAGTACCTGAGCTGCTCGAGTACCAGCTGATCGTTGTATTTACCAGCCACTTTGTTCTCGTTGGGCTTTATGCAACGCACATACCTGAGAGAATATATAAATAATTTATATTAGTCAGTTATTAAGGTTTGTTGGTAAAGTGTCATCTCAAATATAAAAAAAGTCTAAGTATTATTTTAGGCTAAGGTCTCGAATTAATTAAGCATCATCCGGTTACGACTGGACTGGTTTTGTGATGTTTTTTTACTCCTTTCACTCTTATAGTCCGACAATTCGCACAAACGCGGTAAGAGATTAGGCACGCAGTCACTCTACCATCTTTCTAACTGCAGACTATTATGGAGAATTTGTTAACAAACCCAATATACTCGTATACTTAATACTATCCCTAAACCACTGAGTCAAACATTAAGAGGCATATGTACATACCAAACATCAGTAGCCTGCAGCATATCGACAAGGGATTGCAATTGAGCGCGAAAGGTGTCCACGACGGTGGGTCTTCCTTTCGACGTGCCCCGCTGGGTTGTGCTCGTTGATCCGGGACTGGATAGGGAAATATCCTGAAATTATATAAAAAGCCCCTAATTAATAAAATTGTACAGTAATATTACTGTGATTATAATATATATTATAATTGCATTGCCCTCCGACTCCGCTCATTATGAATGTGTAATTAATCCGCTCTTAAGTTTATATCATCACCATTTTTACATTTACGCCGCGGTCAAATCCTAGTTTTTATATAGATTTATGTAGAAATGATAATAACACAGTGTTCGACCACTCAAAACTGTCGAAAGGACATCAGGGTTGGCGGGCTTAGAACCTTTCGTCAAAAAGAATAGTTTTTGACAACCCTTACATTTGACAGTATTTCTGTTGAATTCAAAGACTAATACTGATCTTTATACTGTGATAATAGTTTAGAACACTACATATCAACTTACATGCCCTGGCGGTGCCAAATCTTGGACATAATCCGCCAACTCCCTCACAAAGGGGTTGGCTGATCTACTCAAATGGTCTATAAAGGCGTCTTGTTGCGTGTCTCTATTCTTATCGACGAACCCCTGTACACTGTACGTCACAGTACCAGCGTAGTGTTGAACTCCGAACTCTTCCTCCCACTTCCTTCTGGAACCCTTCACAAAGCTCTGGTGGTCACCGAATTCGCCTTGGATGTTGGTGAGATAGGCGCCGTCGGAACCCTAAAATGTACATATTTTCATAAGTATCCATCGATCAAAAAAGTACTAGATGTATTTAAAACTGTCACCAATTGTGTTTAGGTAATGATTCCAGTTGAAATAAATATACAACAATGCATATTCAACTTTAAATGCAATGCTTAAAGTTGTTTTCACAAAAAAAAGCGCGCTCAAATGTCCCAATGAGCGCTCATTTGATGAGGACATTTTTGTAGCTATTTTTTATCTAGTACTTTTTTGATCGATTCAAGTATCAGATTATTATTAGTAATTGCTATTTAAACTAAAGCATTGCTTTGATGAATATTTTTCAAATAGCCGTGAAATTTTATAAATGTCGTAACTTCAAAACGAAAAATAAATATTTTTTTATTACCGTAACAAAAAAAAAACTATCAAGAAACTGAAACGTATATGTGAATTAGTATTTATAAAACAATTTCCCTAAAACATTTTTACATATTCCATATACGTACTTGGTCCATAACAATAAAACGGCGTTACCTTTGGCATGTGACATTGTTCACTGAGTAGCTTCAATAGACTTCTCGGAGGCTTCTCCAATAACTCCAAACACACTGCGTTATCAGTGAACTGTATTTGGCTATACTTGATTCCTTCTTGGCGATACTGGAAAATATATACATATATACATTTTTTAAACTCTGTTTTTCAGAATAATACAACTTTGAAACAAGTACCGCTATATATTCATCAGATAATCTTAATCTTTATGGATAAACATAATATATAAATAGGCAAAGAATAAACAGTTTAGTACCTTTTTCTCTTCTGTCGGTTAACCGATTTTCTTTTCTTTTTTTTCTTTAGTTTAGTAGCTATTGGTGAGTTTTAGTGTTACCAATGAAAAAAATGTTGAAAGCAGTGTTTTTTTATTATAGATAAATTCTATTCATATAGGCTTTCCCTCAATTACTTTTTCAATAATAATTATGGTCTAATACCTGGTTATATCTTTTTTTTTGTGTAATTATGGGTTTTTGCCTGAATTAAAGATTTATTATTATTATTAGACCACTGGGTGAACGGGGTGGTATGTATAAATAGTTCATACACGCATCAATCACCCCAAATCACTAAACGCGCGATAGTTAATAATCTACATTTCTAATAAACAATAAATACATATATAATTAACTCACAATTTCCTGCTCAAGCGCGAAGACGTAATTATTGAAGAACATATGCAGTTTCTCATTTGCATAATTAATGCACAGTTGTTCTAGAGAATTCGAGGCGAAGTTCTCGAAACCGAATATGTCTAAAACCCCCAAAGCTCTCCTGGCCTCTCTTCCCGGTGCAGAGCAAGAATTAACATGGCGAACTAGCCATGCAAATGTTCGTGAATATAGCGCTCGCGCCATTGCGTGTCGGTTTTCGCGGGCCTGAAATCATCATATTTTTGCAATACACCTATTTTTATGAATTATATTATTATAATTATATTTTCGCAGCTTTTTATTTGAACCAAAGTACTTTACAAAGACCATACACAGCTCGAAGGATCAAACATAAAAATCAGCTAAACTTACTATTAATAAAATATTCATCTATATAGGTATAAACAAAAATGAACTGCTATTCGTTGATACGCGCATCACTAGGACACGACTGGTCCGATTTGTTCTTTTTTAAATATTCGTAATAGTTTGAATAAAGTTAGTTGGGAAACATTTGGAATATTTACAAGGAAATATAGGAAATTTGGGAACAAATAAAAGTGCTTTTTTACTATAGCCATTTTATGTGACAAAAAATACAATTCGGATAGGACATAAAACCAAATAAAACCTACCTCATGTAACCGAAGGGGTATATCGGTAACATTCCCCCTAACATTGATCTGTCTCTCCAACAGCACGCGCTGTGCAGTGGGCGGCGCGAGACCCAGCAAGTTAGCCACCGCATCCACTGCCTCCGCGTCTACAGGCGCTAGTGTTGTTCTTTCGCCATCTACATCCTAAAAAAAGGTGTTTATTTTAAATAAAACTATCTTTTCGGATTATTTCACGGATTTATTTTAATTTTTAGTTCGCGACGTTTCGAATGCTCTACAGCAATCATCGTCGCGGGAGAGACTGAGTCAGTCAGTCAGAAAAGATAGTTTTATTTAAAATGTCAAATATTCGTGTTTATAATAATAATAATACGTATTTATTTCAGATCAATAATAATCCATAGTAGTTAGTTGTTTAATTCTTTATTATTCTACAATTGCCGTGTCAGGTCACTTGTGACTTCCGTTTTTTTTTAATTTAGCATGTGAAAATAAATCATATAATATTAAAAGAGCAATTCTTACATTATCTATATAAATTTATTTTGTGTATCTCGGAAACGACTTAAACGATTTGAATCAATTTTTGTATTTAGATAAGGTTTTGCTTTTTATTAGCATATATATAATATACTCGTAGGTTTCTTTTTGGAACAAACACAATTTTTATATCTTTTTGGAAAAAAAAACGCTCAGTTCAGGTACTACTTATAATCCAACTATAATAAACACTAAAGTTTCTATGTGCGTATGAGTGTGTGTTCCTCCATCACGCTGCTATAGACGGATTTGAATGAAATTTAGAATACATATTGACTTTGACCTGGCAGTCGCCGTAAGTCTCTAGTTAACTTTGATTTGTTTTAGTTGTGTATGATAATGTTTATTTAAGCTACATATACATAAAATTGCAGATGATGAAATTTAATAATTATTGCTTATTATTATAGAAAAATTCTACGGTTAAAAGATGATTTACCAAATTAAAGTTTTTTTTTGATTCTTATATCTAATCAACTACACTAAAACTAACCTGGAATTGTATATTCCCTAGCCACAGAACAGCAGCCAGGACTTTGAACAGTCCCTCACACATGTGCAAGGGAACTTGTAGTACGGTTAGCGCGAGCTGCAACGCTTCTAACTTGCCCTGCTCTCCACCACGACCTTTCCGGGCTTCGTCATCCTCTGGTCTAAGATACTTGAACTGAACATCATCTCGCAGTCGAAGTGTATTGCGAAGTTCTGCGTTGTGCTAGAAATTTCAACACGTACAACTTATAAATTAAATATTAAACGATTTCACCATTGAAATGTGTTATTAATTTCTGTATTAAATTTATTTTGCAAGATTCATAAATATTTAAAATTATTTGCAATTTTCCTCTATAAGTAGGCCATGGTTATAACAACGTAGCACATCATACAGGACACGTAATCTTACCTTAGCCCCTTCAACCAGTTGGTAGAAGACGTGATAGTTGGTCTCCCTCGGCGCCGGTCCGGTTATCCTAGCTCGTTCTAAGAGGAAATCCCTTAACACGGCTCCTCTAATCCCGCCCCGATGGTCGAGCCTCACTTCCACGAACTTACCGAAACGAGACGAATTATCATTTCGTACGGTTTTGGCATTACCTGTAAAATTTCATATACAATATACACACACACACACATACATATATACGAGTGTTACCAGCGGTGGATTTAAAAGATTTAAAATATTTAGGGGCGGCAAAATTCGGAGGGCGGGAAAAAAAGTTCTTCGCGTTATCGAAAATACTTTTATTATTTTACAAAAAAATTAAAAATAGAATAAGATTAACTAGTAGGTACCTACATTTTTCGAAAAATTAATATCATTTATAAATTATTTTATTGCATTTTTCAAAGAAATAATATTTAAAAACATTTAAACTTTCAACATTATATTCAAAATTTCGATAATAGGGCGGCATTTTTTAATATGCCTAGGGGCAGCGCTAAGGTTGAATCCAGCACTGAATATTACATTACATACCTACACTACTTGCTGTGCTAAAATTTTATAATTAAGTATATTTAATTAGGTTAAAATAAAAATGAGTAAATCTACAACTACCATCTAGCCTTTTTCGCCCATATTAAATGACTAACCTTTAAAGTACTTTCGCTTTCCACAGCAGTAGTACTCACTACATTATTCTAATTGTTTTGAACAACATACATATATTTGCATTTTATTAAATTAATTAATTGTAGGAATGTGCATGTTTGTTACCTAATATTTTACTATTATTATTTCGTGCATAAATTACATAATATAAATAAAATATTTAATAGTTGCAGACTTGATAATGTACACGAAAGAAGCCGGAGGCAAAATGTAATTTAATAATACACAAAAATCTGTAATTTTAGTTCCAGAAATTTCCAGTAAAACAATATCTTTAAAACTTAACATAAAAGCGTCTACATTCATAGAAATAAAGATAAATAAATCAAAAAGTAAGATTGCGGGCTATCCTTTGTCATCTTAATTAAAACTGGAACAATCGTAAAGTACCTAACTATTAAGCGCAAAAACCTAACAAGGAATCCTTTGGGAAAATGGCACATTTAAAGTCACGACGCGACGATAGCGAGGTCGGCCGTGAATATAATTAAATTACTTCACTTTAATTGCTCAGTGGTAACGACATAATAACGCTTAGGAATTTTGATGAATATTAGGCATATATATCTACAGGGGGTTATACAAGATTTCATTCTACAATCGTTAAAAAATAGAAAATTTTAAAATTGTATTGAAATGGCAAATGTTATTGCTATGAATAAAACTACCTTTTCGTTTTTTTCGCTGATTTATTTTTTATTTTTTGGTTCCCTATAAACCAAACCAAGGGAACCAAAAATAAATAATAAATTAAATCCGCGAAAAAATCCGAAAAGATAGTTTTATATAAAACTAGCGGTTCACCCTCGCTACGCTCGGGTTCGTCCCTAGGTTGCTTCCCCATACAAACTTTCATCCCCATTTTCACCCCCTTAAGGGATAATTTCCGGGATCAAAAGTATCCTATGTCCTTTCCAGGGTCTCAAACTATCTTCTTACAAAATTTCATCTAAATCGGTTTAGTAGAGATCTAGAGTTTACCCCCTACAACATCACAGCTTTACCTCTTTATAATATTAGTGTAGATAGATTGACGTATTATTTAAGAAAAAAACCATCTTATAGAAATATCACTCAATAAGTTACGACGCGGTCGCGGTTCCATACCTACGTGAATGTCGTATTATCTCTTTAACCATTTGTCCAAATTATATGCAGTAAAAGGGAAAAGTTTTTTGTTTTATACATTTTAGACGATAAATTTACTTATTTTGATAAGCATTCATAATGACAAATATTCGCGTAAATCAAAGAAAGTATTATGTAATCATTAAATCTTAGAATTATTATGATAATGTCATTCTCATATATTTTTTTAGATTTTTAAATCAACGGTTGTAGAGCGACATCTTGTTTAAGCTCCCAGAATGCGTAGAAGTTCGTCAAAATTAATCTATAAAAGTTTTAAGCTTCTGTACAGTTGTTGAAAATTTATCTAGTTAATAAAAGTAAGGGTCTATGCATACCGCGTACTTCGCGCGTATTCTACGCTAATGAACTAAGTTATAAAAAGTATGTATAATTTAACTTTAGACATTTAATAATGAAATTTACATATAATTAAAATAAAATGTTTTAACGAAAATGGGAATACACTATAATAATTATGTAAGAGCCTAATTACCGTTTGAAGTTGGTGTTAGCACTTAGCACGTAATAAAAAAATAATAAATAGCACCGACCTCTAAAAAAATTAGTAGGAACTAGGTTGGTTTTGAATTTGATTTCATGTTGATAATATTTACTATCCTTTAAAGTTATCAATGTTAAAGTCGGTTTAACTATACCTATTGTATTTTTTTCGCGGGTTAGATTCACGCTGGGGGCATTCGTTTGTGTGATGAGCACGAATGTTTGTACTCCAGTCATGTCAATATTTATAATAATTATGTATTTAAAGTTATATATATATATGTGTAGTATATCAACTATCTGGTCTCCATAACACAAGCCTCTTAGCTTATCATGGAACAAGATGGTGCTGTGTGTTAATGTCCCAAAATATTTACTTATGTTAATTAACTGTATCTTACCAAACGCTTCCAACACAGTATTAGCCTCAAGGATCTGCTGCTCGGCCCAAGAGGCTTGTCCACCGGCCGCGCAGAGATATTGCAAAATTAATTTGGTAGTTTCAGTTTTCCCCGCTCCACTTTCACCTGATATTACGACTGACTGATTTTTCTCGCCATTCTGTTGAAATTATATAATTTAATATACAAATTATTATAATTATAATGAGAAATTAAAATAGAATAATGCATTTATATAATAAAAAGCGAAATAACTGCATTTATAATTTATAAAAATAATGACATAAATATTAAAAAATATGCTAATTTTCTAAAGATTATGTTTAAATATTCACCTGTAGGGAGCTATACGCCGATTCTGCTAAGGCGAACACATGGGGCGATAGACTCCCAAAGGCCTTGCCTCGGTAGTTTTGCATATCCTCCTGTAAATTAGCAAGTTTATGGTGTGATTGAAAATTAATATAAATTCATTAACTAGAAATGTTTACAATAAATATGTGTACAATTTATAACTTTTATTATATTCAATAAGCTTTCAAGAATGCCGGAGAATGGGATAAAATATTCCATGTATACTTTACCCATCTCCTAAAAATTACCACTACAAATTAGTAACTAATATTTTGTCTCAAATAATTTAAAAAAAACTATCATAAATATAAGCAACAATTTATTATGAATTATTGATAAATAAATACTTATTTTTATTATGAACATTATTCATTAATTACTACACAAAAAATATTCAAGTTACCACGTTGCATTTTATTGTAAAAAAAAGAAACTACCTAATATCAACCGTAGATTACATACGCCTCTATTGAAAATACTCTTTCAATCTGTTGTACATCGCCATTTAAAAACTATCAAACACCCTCAAAACAAAAGGATTTAAAACAACGCATAATACTTTTAATTGACGTAAATATCGTTTATGCCTTCTCATGGTTTGCCCTTTGAACTCTTTCCTCCGCATTTACACCTACGCACACCGTTTTACACGAGGGATGAAGTTCAACCCCTATATTAAAAATGGGTGAAATTAATGAGCGTACGATAATATTGCCTCAAGCTTATAAAAGCAAGCTATTAAAAGCTGGCTTGTTAATAAATTTCTGTTCTTTTTTGATATAACTTCGTATTAACTATTAATGATATGGAAAGTTATTGTTTAATTAACAGATTAACTGGAGTAAATAACGATGGTAGGAGTCTTTACATTATAGGTTTTTAAGTAAACTCCATTTGGGCATTACAATGATTGTCTACAGAGGTTTTAATATTATTTAACAATTAGTGTATACAAAAAGATACAGATAAAGAAAAAGATAGTATCTGTGTTACTTTTTATATTGAATAATAATAAAATTACTTTGAATTTGTTTTCTCAGTCTACTGAACAACACAGCGGGTGAAAAATAAAAACTTTGTTGTAATAACTATAAAGATTTCAGAATTCAAATAAAAATAAGATCGCATTTCTCTTGCCTGTCTACTTACAATTGGTGATTCAATTGAATTTTATATTTATTTAGCGAAGAGACGGTCGGGAGTTTCCACGAAGCCTACGAATAGTAGGTACTAATACGTTTTTTTTATATCGCAGTACTTCGTCTAATTATCTTCTTACTCGAATAATTAATATGTAACATACAATTGTTACTAGACATGTTTTTATTAAAGATAAATGATCTCCCATGGAACAATGACAGAAGAAAACTGTTAATTTTCAGATGAAAGTGATTTAAAGTTTAAAGGAAATGATGATAGTAAAAAGTAATTTAATATAAGTTACTCTGTTTCAACTTTCTAGTTTAAAATGGTTCAAATTTCTATTTTAACAATGGATAAATATTTTTTAGTAATATACGAAAAAATATACGGAAAATATAAAATGGACGTATGATTGGAGATGTTTCATAATCCATTGCGTAATATTTAAAAATATAATAATGTTTCTACTAAGTAAAATTGAAAGTTGTTTAAAGACTATAAATAGAAATTGCCAACGTTATACTCATTTTTAGTTTACACTTAAAGAGAGCATATTAAGCTTAGAAAACTAAGAAAAGCTCTTTATTTTACTTCAATTTAAAATACCTAAGCAAGTCTATACTAAAGAAAAAAATTTACTATGACAATGAAATTAACACTTGTGCCAATAAAATTTTGCACACTTGATAGATTAAACTATTAAATATATTTTAGATTTTGAAATTGGAAGGTACCTACTCAATTCGTGTGTATGTTTTTTGTTCGTGTTGCGCGATATATTCACCATTTTTTTTAGTTATATGTATCTAAAGAGTCGTTACATATGAATTTAATGAAAAAAAACACTATAATTTCTACGTAAGAATAGGTACTTACCATATTGTAACATCCTAATTCCTTATAAGGATTCACTGCGACTAGAATTGAGCCAGTATAAGTCTGATTATTTTATAGGAAAATTATGCCATTATTTTGATTTAATTATTTTTATTGTCTAATACATATAATTAAATTCTAACTAAGCCGAATCTTACATTAAATATTTTTTGAAAATCTTATTAAAATAGACATTATTATCGATACAGAGGCCGAATCTATAGTTTTTAGAATTTTTGGTCTGTCTGTCTGTTACCGCATCACTGAAAAACCACTGCAGAGATTTTGATGAAATTTGGTATGGTGATAACTGGTTATCCGGGTCAACATATAGGATACTTTTTACCGCGGGAAAATATCTCATTTCTGAGAAAAAATACAAAAACTGCAATGTAAGAGTATACTAAAATGTAAAACCTAAGAATTTGGTTCTTGGTCATCTGAACGCGGGCGGAGCCGCGGGCAATGCTAGTTACATATTGTGTAATAAAAAAAATATCTTTTTTTATTAAAAGAAATACTTCACTATAGTAAAGAAGACGTGCATTAATTTGATTAATACTTCAATTAAGTTTATAAAGTTGCAATTCAATGAGTAAACTACATCAGATATCGTAGAATATGCATGAGTTAAATTATGCTAACTATTATTGCCATGGCAACGACCACAAACGCTATAACTTTTGAAAAATAACGACTTATGATATGATAACATTAACAACTTGTAATATCCATTTATATAATAAAATGTTCAGAAGGAGTGTTTATGCGTAATTAAAAGAAGTGAATAATTAATGAGAGCCGGAAACGATTATACAGCAATTACCTCAATTGATTGTCTCGACAGGCACAAGATGTAATTAAATTGGTAAATTCATGTATAATTAATTGTTTATGGTAGCGTTACGCTCTTGATGTAACTAGTCTACATACGAGTATGTTACAGAAGGTATAGAGGGAACTAGAGGAACTAATTTGTCGTCGTAATGTTGATGAAAATATGTGTGTAATCTATACATATAATAAAATTGTAACTAAGCCGAATCTGTACATTAAATATTTTGGAAAATCTTATTGAAATAGACATTATTATCGATACACAGGGCGAATCTATAGTTTTTAGAATTTTTGTCTGTGTGTACAGTGGTTTTTCCGTGATGCGGTAACAGACAGCTGTTACCGCATCACGGAAAAACCACTGGAGGGATTTTGATGAAATTTAGTATGATGATAGCTGGTTATCCGGGTCAACATAATATAGGATAATTTTTACCGCGGGAAAATATCTCATTTGTGAGTAAAAATACAAAAACTGCAATGTAAGAGTAAACTAATATGTAAAACCTAAGAATTTGGTTTTTGGTCATCTGAACGCGGGCGGAGTCACGGGCAATGCTAGTAAGTAATATGTATTTCATTAATTTATTTGATGCATTGGCATGTCTATCATTTTTTTTTTTTTGCCACCTAGATGTAATAATATATTTTTACTCAACCTTTATTTTTAACTGACTTTAAGCAATCTTCTTTAAGCCTCTAGTTAAGCAATTTTAATGATTAAAAATAATTATTAAATAAAGAATAATATTCGAGAGTAAATTTAAACTTCAAAATAATATCTTAATACAGTAGTATTACTATATTAACTCTGGTATAATTTACTGTTAAACTGACAGGAAATTGTGCTATCTAATAACGGAAATTAAATAAGTGACTTTACCAAATCAATTATAATAGGCATATTGAAAAGTTTTCGGGAAATAGCTTTCAATCAAGTTTCGAGCAAAGTCTTCATACTTTTCTTTTTTTTTAAATATTAGAAGCTACCTAGTAGGCAATATTAAATAATTACAAAGCAAAACAATAAAAAAAACTTTTGATTATTAACCGGTCCTAGATCTTTTCTTTGATTTATTTTAACCAGAACAGCGTATAAAAGGATACATATATGAGGTCGTGGATGTATCGCCTTTTGAGATTGTCGTTGATAGCCTGCTCCGTGATCTGCGGCATCATGGTCATGTCGGGCACGCCGGGCCCCTCGTCTTTGTCTCGTTCCTCCATCTTGTCTGTAAAAAATATAAAAATATTTAGCTTCATTGTTACTCTTTATTAGTACTAGCACATGACAAAATTTAAAAACATCCACTTATTAAGTGGCCAGTCCTACCTATATTTATAATTTAGACTCTTAACACGTTAACTTTACTTTTAATAAAATAACATGACATTAAAGTAATATCATGTCCTGACATCATAAATCATTGAAGTATCTTATTACTCTGCGGAGGAATGTAATTAGTATTTTTAACATTACTACTGTCCGAATTGGTCGAAATCCACTATAATAATCATCATAGAAAATTTTAGGTAAACTCATAATAGAACCTATCCATATAACATAAAACAACTATGCTTCAGAAATTTTTATGTTGATAACGCTAAAGCTCGCCAATAGCCAAAAAAAATCTGTTGACAAACAAAAGAGAAAGAGGTACCTACTAGATAACTGTTTTGTCTTTGTCTATTTATATATAGATTTATTTTCTTATATTTACCCTATTAAAATTATTAATTATTTAGTGTTCAATCATCCTTATATCCTACGGAAGCTGTTAAACTTAGGCCGGGGTAAACCTGAAGTTTGTTTTGTATTTATTATTTGTATACGCAATAAGAACTGTTGCCTTTAATATATAAAAAAAACAATATTATTATTATTTATTGAGAAAAGTCGAAGGATAGTCTATATAATATCACCCTGCGACTCTCATGCCCGGAGTTCGGGGCAATTATTATACACTAGTTAAACACACTAGAAAAACAAAAACAAATCTATTCCACGGCAACCATATATTTTTCCGGGATAAAAAGTAGCCTATGTGTTATTCTGAAGTATGAGCTATATTATTGTAAAGTTTCATTAAAATCCATTCAGTAGTTTTTTTAATGAAAAAGTAACAAACATCCATACACACAAAGTTTCACATTTATAATATTAGTATACATAAACTACGCGAGTAAAGCCACGGGCATATAACTATATAAAATAATAAGCTATATGATTCCAATTAAGGCAATATTATTTGATTAGGCATACTCATGTTAATATAAAAATATCCAATATTATCCATCAACATTGTACCCGACTATATCATAGATTATCCGCATTAAAGTTTATGAATCATGTTGGAGGTGAAGTTACGTGTAGTATATTGTTCGTAACTAGTTTACTTGTCTACTTCTATTGGATCAGATGCCATGATTAAGCAATAAGCTACTTAAATTGGCAAAGTTTCAGACTTTCTAAAGACCTATGAACTTATGTGATTTGTCCATACAAGTTAATGAGATTGTCTAGAAAATGTGTTGTGAATTGTAATATACTGATGTTATTGAACTTTGTCAGAAGCTTCTTGATTTAAACTATGGGTTTTTGCTTTTTAATTATATTAAAGATCATGACGTAAATTTCGTAAAATTATAACGCGACATTCGTCATTTCCCATTCGTTTTCGTCGTTAGACTCCATAAATGTTACCTATTTGATTTACAGCGCATCCCAGTAAGTAACCTATAAAACTGTGGTTTTTCTTACTAGAAATATAGGAATTTGACTTAATTAGTATAAATATAAATTCGATCCACTTTAAAAAGGAAAAAGTATTTAAATTAGCTGCACTTATGTTTATTTGTAAATCGATTTCATAATAATTTTTAGTAAGTCACATCTCTGTGTTGAAAGGTGTTTATTTATTAGTACATAAAACTAAAGGCCAAGTACCTATTGTTGATACCATATCATAATGCTCAAATATAAATAGCCTTTATCTAGGACAACATAACTTAGTTAAGGACTTACGGCTGCATACAACGTAATTCTGATATGGTGTACTAAGCCTTTATAGCGCAGAGGCGTAGCATATCTATTACTTGTGTACTAAAGTCAGTCAGTAAGTTCGATTCTCGTTTTTATTCTTTATATTTATGACAAATCCATTTTCTCTTACAATAATCTATACATATAATAAAATTGTAACTAAGCCGAATCTGTACATTAAATATTTTTTGGAAAATCTTATTGAAATAACATTATTATCGATACAGAGGCCGAATCCATAGTTTTTAGAATTTTTGTCTGTCTGTCTGTTACCGCATCACATCAAAACCACTGGAGGGATTTTAATGAAATTTGGTATGGTGATAGCTGGTTATCCGGGGCAACATATAGGATACTTTTTACCGCGGGAAAAATATCTCATTTCTGAGAAAAAATACAAAAACTGCAATGTAAGAGTAGACTAATATGTAAAACCTAAGAATTTGGTTTTTGGTCATCTGAACGCGGGCCGAGCTGTGGGCAATGCTAGTATATAAATATAGTATTGGAAAGCAAAATGAGACTGTTTTGCTTTGATACAAAACTATGTGGAACAAGTAGTTAGAATAATATCTAATACCTATTATCATCTATACTTATTATAAAAATAAGTCCCCCGGCCGCGTCTTTCTGTCCTCCTGTCTGTCCTCCTGTCTGTCTGTACGCGATAAACTCGAAAACTACTGAACGGATTTTTATACGGTTTTCAACAATAGAAAGAGTAATTCTTGAGGAAGGTTTAGGTATATAATTTATTATGCTTTTATGTAAATTAGCTGAAATACGGCGACAAATGTTGAAGAGGTCGCAAAAAATCTCGCCAAATGGGAACTTTCCACGCGAACGCCGCGTAAACTAGCAAAGATACAGTTAAGTAATGTACTAGAGAATTCAAAATCTATAAAAATGCTACAAAAAAGTCCGCGATAGCATATCTCTATCTCTTACGGTTGACTTACAATAACCACTTTTATGTTAACATTTTTAATTAAAAACATTACGTTATTTTCAAAGTTATTTTCTTTAGTTCGGTATTAATCCTTATCCAAATGAATATTTTAGTTAGCTTAGTCATTTAATGCAGATTAAAATTGCTCTTTACACTAAATCAATCAGATGAATAGTTTTTGAGATATCGTTGTTAGAAGTAATTAGTAGCGAAACATTTTTAATGCTTGGCGAGCATTGAGATGCCTACGGCGAGTCCATCCCCTCTGCCCCGCATCGCTCGACCGCCTGCTCAAGCTATATAAACCGGGCGATGTAGCGCGCGATCCTAGGATACTTTTTACCGCGGGAAAATATCTTATTTCTGAGGAAAAATACAAAAACTGCAATGTAAGAGTATACTAATATGTAACACCTAAGAATTTAGTTTTTGGTCATCTGAACGCGGGCAGAGCCGCGGGCAATGCTAGTTTAATAATATATTTACAATTTACAAACATTATTAAACATATTTCCCTAGTCTTTCATAATAACAACAGTGTAAAACAGTGTGATCGTCATAGGATAATAGGAAAATCTCTCTGAGCTTACGGTCCCCTTCCATGATCCATCAGTGTTCTCACATTCGATAAATCTCCCTAAAGGGTGTTATTCTTATCGTATATCATATTTGCTTGTTTGACTATTATTTTATTATCTCAGACAAAATGTTTGTTTGAACAATGTTCAATATATTTACTATTAGGTAATAGTTATTATTTAAATTAACCAAATATATTACTATTAGGTACATACAATTAAATGTTTCAAAATAATCTTCATATGAAAAAATGAAAATGTGAAACTGTGTTAGGAAATGCAATTGTATGATATAGGAAATTTAGTTTTTTTTCGTAAATTTAACTCTAGCTCATATCATAGATAAAAAAGCGAGTGGTTTGGGATTAGTATGAACTTGCAGGCGAGAGATTGAGGGCGTCGATTTACATCTATCTTGATTTCTCGCCCCGAGGGTTCCTTGCGAACATAACTTTATCGCTCCGATCGTCTGCTCGGAAATTAAAAAAATCATTTTTCATATATCCAAGCGTATACGCTTGGATATATATGCAAAATTCAAGTTACATTTAAATGTTATATGAAAACAGTATTTCTTATACTATTATTATAAATAAAAGATTAGTCAGCAGTAGATATCATACAATACGTAGTTATCCTTAATCATCATTTTAATTAAATCTGATGTTTTTTTACATTTACTTTACTTGATAGTTAAATTGCCTTACATACCTAATATATATTAATACATAAAACAAAGTCTTCCGCTAAACAGTGGCACATTCCATTCGTATTAATATAGCTAAGCTATCAGTGCACATGAGGAAAACAACAATCAAGTGCAGCTACTACTAACAAGTAAGTGTAGTTCATTCCACCCAATATCGATTAAATACTTAAATAGCATCGTAACATCTGGACGAGTGGGAAACAAACGTTGGTGTCGCGAAGTAATAGCCCTTGAGGCAGGACGAGCCAGTTATCGGACGGAAATGTCAGTTGCGGATAAATACGTCACTTTCATTCGCGCCCTCGACCTCGCTTAGTTATCGATATTATAATATGTATACTTTCTCAGGCCCTCACTACAAACAGATAACATATAATATTTATTATTTTATTATTTAGGATAATATTTAGGATATTTAACGATACGTTTGGTGGCTCAGTTTGTAGTGACGCTATTTGCTGTGCCAGCGGTCTGTTTGTTGTCTGTCTGTCTGTTACCGCATCACGGAAAAACCACTGGAGGGATTTTGATGAAATTTGGTACTTTGATAGCTGGTTATCCGGGTCAATATATAGGATACTTTTTATCGCGGGAAAATATCTAATTTCTGAAAAAAAAACAAAAACTGCAATGTAAGACTTTACTAATATGTAAAACTTAAGAATTTGGTTTTTGGTCATCTGAACGCGGGCGGAGCCGCGGGCAATGCTAATAAGAAATAAGAATACCTATATCGAAGTAAAATATCGAAACGTAAAGATTGCTTTATCAATTTTATGAAAAAAATATTATCGAACATCAATCATAAAATGTACTAGAGGAAATGTATACTTGATTAATTTTATTATATCCTGTTAGAATGTATGATGAGGTCATTAGCAGTTTACATATCAATAAACATTGAAGTAGTTCAACAGGAACTTTTGTAGAATATAATATATAATGTCT